ACACTCGCATCAAAGAAACCCAATTGGTGATGATAGGTTCTGTCTTATTTGTTTGCATGGCTAGCGAACTCGTCAAGGCAAGACGGAGACGACACCGTGCGATGGCCGCGCATCGACAAGTACACAAACCATCAGCAATGCTCTCAACGATCACATTGATGTTTACATGCCAACTAAATCAGGTAAGAATCCTCATCTTATTCACCCAAACAATGGTAATTCATAGCTATGAGTTCATGATACATGGTCCAAGGACTATCGGCATCATCCCACTATACATACATACATGATTAAACCCCCTCCCTGTTTGTGGTAAGCCAGATTCTGAGTCTCCAACCTCTCAGCGAAAATATACAGCTCTTTCCCCAAAATGATGCTCTCTTGGAAATGTGACTTGAAGCCCCCGGTACGTCACGCTTCTTCCTGAGAATACATGGTGTCTGTCGGCGGGATATGCATTTGCAAGAGAGCGGTGCCCATAATTATATCCCATTCTCTTCAGCCTGCATGGTTCAATGTCGATGATTGTGGTAACAGAGACCTTTGGGCTTGTTGGTCCAACAGCGGTGGTGTAATGGTTCACAACTCAGGGTATATAAGCATGCTGTCACAGAGTCGAGGTTGAGATGAATCACGGATTTTACAATCAGAGATTCCGGCACGATATTATTGACCTCAGGTATGCTATAATTGGCGTTTCGTGTGAGGTCAAATGAGAGGAAACTCAAAAGGAATGGGTTTCTGGTACCTGCTCTGAACGGCAAATGCACGTTGCACATAACGAAAGGATTGAAAAAGCTGGCCCTTCATGTGTCTCTCGGAAAGGCGTAGTATAAGGGCGGTCCTGTTAGTTACCCAATACAGAAGAGGGCGATATCTCTGACACGAGCCCCAGATGGGAGATTACTTTCGGCCTCGAGTCGCAATATAGGACACAGGCAACGGGCCTGTGACCGAGACGGTCATAGAGATGGGTTTGACGATAAGGTATATTGGTTAACATAAAGGTTCAGCAGTACCACTTCCCCACCATTCAAAGCTTGGAGAAGGACCCAAAAATCATCTCAGGGCACGCAAGATTGGACTTGGAGGTCATGTGGAAAGCTCGTGCAATGGAGTCAAATCCGCTGTATTACACTCGTTCCAGGGGCCAGTTCCAATGTCATCCTTCGCATCTCCCTTCCATCGATGTCGAGCTTTCGAAGGATCCTAGGAATATCAGGGGGTGAGACATAAGCCGCGGCTGTGCTGTCAAACATATGGACATTTGGTATACATGGCTTTGAGACCAACCACGAGGGCCGAAACGAGGAGAAGAGCAGGAACATACGAAAGTGGCGTGCCTAAGTGCAACGGTGCAGGCCAATGCCAAAAGCCGAATAGCGATCGCGCGGCCTGGCGCATCTTGTTTGCAGTGAAGGCCGCAACATAACCCGAGCGGAGATGCGGTGTCACGGAGGTCAGCCTCGGACGACGTCGTCCAGCACGGTCCGTAGTGTTGCGGTGCGGTAATGTGCGCTTCACATCCGCGGGCAGGCTCTGGATCGATACACAGGATGGCAATACGATCTTCGATTCACCCTCTCACGGCGCGCGGGGGCACTCTACCAGGATGCGTGTCTCGTGGGGAAGGAAGGTGAGACGAACGGGGGTGAGTGCCAAGCGGCAAGACTGGAGGGAAATGCAAAAAAGTATTACGACTTGGTCAGATCTTGCCTATTTCTGGGCGCTACTTTACATTTCGGAAGGATGCGAGAGGTCAGATGGCCTTCCCTCCCCCAGGTTTGTGCCACTGGGATGGGTCTGTCTGCACGCCTGCCAGTTACATGTGGCTACGTCAGCATTCAAGTAAGCGGTTGAAGACAAGATAGATACTGCTTCATGGGGAAAGTCTTTGCTCGCGTGCCAGTTTTGTGATGGAGCGCCCGCTGCTTTCTACAGCCGATATTCGGTCCATCCCTCTAGCAAAGCTCAAGCGCCAAGATTGGCGAGTGGGATGTGACTCCTTTGGGCAATCCTTCCGCTGATGAAGTCGAGATAATGTGGCTCATGATTGACCGAGGTGTCAGGGGTAAGGACACTCGGTGAGGATTGGTGTGCCTGATGACTTTTGGCAATTTTGGGATCGGGATCTCGGGCCAAGTGCCTCTACAGTTTTACGGATAGAGAGGTTGTGTCGTGAGTCAAAGAACTTGTTTCATTCAGTCAGGACGAGTTGGATCACGGACTATCAGGAAAAGCGACTCTAGCCACCGTGGTTGACGGAGGCCAACCTAGGGTTTCGATGCATACATTTCTGACTGGAGCACCCAATAATAAAGCTGTAAATGTTCACATTTGATTAGATCTCGCTGGAATTACCTCGCTGACAGGGCTGAGGGTCCCATGGGGTCACATCAGAGAGATCCTGCACCCCAGATTTTGCATTGATGGCTCCGACTGCTCGAACATCCGGCGGGTATTGAAAATTTTTTATTTTAAATTTAAAAAATACATAATAATTGTCTCTCAGGAGCTGTTGCTATGGTCTCCAGAGCAGGTGCCGCCTGAAAGCGACATCACCACACCCATTACTGCCAATCCATGCTGGTCTTGCCATCGCCAACTCGCTTGCTCGACCACACAATAGCCCATCTATTTCGTCCCAGAAAGCTGGTACCGGGATATGTGACTGATGACCGAAGAGAAAATCTTCTCACTCCTCCAGGAATCTTAGAGTGCCATGCCGACAAGGGTTCAGGGGCAGAATATCTTCACCGGTACCTCCTAGATCGGGAGTTCGCGTCGCTTAGGCTAAACACGGCGGGTAAACGCTGCTATCCTCACCGCCACACATCTGAAGCAGCAAGACGGATACTGGTGTGTAGGTGCGCTGCGAGTGGGCTGGCAGTGTGGGGTCTCCCAGCGTTCATAGCCAGCAAAGTGCTGTAGGATGGCGGCGAAGCATGCATGCAAAGACATGCACATCTTTTACGTATTGCTTCATCTTGAATGACTTCTACGACATTCCCCAGGTACCATCATGAGAAGCGGTGAGAGCCTCATAAGTCCTGAAACCTCGCTGTAGAATCTGCAAAGATTTGAGAGTGAAACAGAAAAGCCCCGGTGTCGACCGTCAAGAACAAGGGCTATAATCTCATCCGCTAGGGGAAGTGCAGCCTCCGCGCTCACGAAAGCGGTACTTCGGCGAGTGAATTGCCTGCAATAAAGAGGCAACATATTTGCGGGCCGGCGACTGTAGCCACGTGGATCAACATTCTCTGCATCGTATGAGAGCATTTGCCGTTGGATATGTCTATATCTGCAGTTTGGTAACGTTTGAGACGACCACACCACCCACCGTAGGACCTCTCCAGAGGTATCGCAGAAGGGCTGTGCAGCCTGGAGAATTCCGTTGTAAGGGGTCTGGTGACGATGTGCCACGCTGGGCATCCGGAGAATAGGCGCTTTGCCTGCGCGGTTGAAAGGGCCCTGCGTCGCATGGATGGAAATCAAGCTGAAGGGGCTCCTATTCGGGACGGGTTGCCGGGACGGTCGATGAGACTTGTATGTAGGTCGCGTGTCTTTGACGGGAGGGTTTCTGTAAGCGGCTGGGATTGATGGGGATTCCCTCGGCACGGTTTCGAGAGTGAACTCGTGATGTAGTTCTCCTGTCGCAAGCAGAAGCTTCAATCCCACCTTCGCCACGCTGAACACTAGGAGTTGATGCTTGATTGGAACAAGCGAACCAGGTCTCTCACCCAACCAGTTCGGATGCTTCGCCCCTGGCACCGAGAGCAGAACGGGCATCCCTGAGGTGTTATTGACCGGTATTGGAGACTACTTGGAAATGCCAATGTCCATCAAAACGCATCTCTATCACCATATGCCCACACCTCAACCACTGATCAGCAAATCTTCTGCGGTGCTTCGGTTATTCTCCTGTAAGGTCGATGATCCGGATCGGCGGGCTGGGGTAGATTGAAGTGCCTTATGCGCGAGGTCGCTATTGGCTCCTTGTTGACTCCGACTGGTGAGAAATAGTGATGATCTGGCAGAGGAAGCCGAACACCTGACTGCTCGTGACTGGCATTGTTAATCTGCCACGTCAACGCTCTCTGTCTGTGACTTGATCCTTTTGAACTCTTGTTCTCGTGAGCTTTGGCTGTAACGAGATCGAGATGCCTCGCCGAAGGCATTGCATCAGGAAGTCTCCGTTGTGAGCGACTCCGCTTACCTGGTCTGGTTCGGATGAGCTCCATGGCAGCTCATCTCGCAGAGGTACGTAGCTCATGTTTTTCGTGCTCTTGCTGGAGGGCCCAAATCATGATTACAAACGCCGTCTTGTGATGGTTACCAGACCAGGGTATACGGCAACATAGCCACCACTATTGTTGCTGTGTGTAGGTACAAGAAGAGCAGCCCTGTTTGACGGCCGGGAACCTATTATACATGGTCTTTTCAGTGCCGATCCATGACCAATAGGATCATAAGCATCTTAAAAATTTATGGATGAGCAAACTCTGATGTCCTCTCGTTGTTCTGTTTTCAGCCATTTGGTCCGTTGAATGATAGCAAAGGAGATGATTAGAGACATTCTGATGACTAGAATCACCATTGAACGGACTATGCTTGGCTGTTCGGTCTTAGCAAGAACAAAAGAGCCCGATTGTGGAAAATATACGGTTCTCAACGTGAATTGGCGTTCTTACTATCTATTACCATGTCCTCATGTACCAGTGTGAGCATCGAAGGGCTTATAATGGACGACCTGGAGGCTTGGAGGAGTTGGAATGTGGAACTACCTCCTTTATAAGAGGAATCCCTTGATATTCTGTAAGAAACTTGCAAGTTAATCATTGCGATACAATGATACCGGAGCGTTTGTCGGCGTGAGATTCTAGAATGCCTTGGAGACCTTGAGTCAGCAGTTCAGGGCAACTTCGAGCGTTACTCCCAACCAAGAACTAGCCATATCTGAGAGCGCCTATTGTAGATTAAAGCAGAACGAGCAGATGGTTTCAACTGCCGAACCACATTCCACCTCCATCACCGCTTGTGCCACTCTTGAGAAACTCCATCCAGGCATCATCACCCATGACGACATCAGCGGCCTCCATTGGGGGCACATTGGGCCACATCATCGAGAAGACGCTGTTGATTTGTGTTTGAGGGCTCTCATCGATGGGTTCAGGCGCAGCAGGTTGGACTGTATTGGTCTCATGGTTGTGTGTCATCCTGGCCTGCATCTGGGGTTGTGCCACCAGCACACGAGCGGCGACAAAATCGTCATTGAGAAACCTTCCGCAGAGATCGATGATGACTTGATAACAAGGAGGGGAACTGGAGTTGACGGGAGCTAGAGCAATGATGCAGCGGATCGTGGTTGTGACTTGCTCTTTCCAGTCCGCGGCATTGCTCGCGCTGGGGTCGTTACGGAGACAGATGCAGGGGATGAGGGCTGCTTGGAAGAGAAAGTATCTAAGGAAGTGTCAGTAAGCCTAAGGAATGTTTGCAAATAGGAGGAAAAACTCACAGACAATACCATGCCGCCAGTCGTGTATGCTCATTCCGATCCCAGAACTCGCTGATGCTAGTGATGGTAGCCTTCGCGTCGGCAAGACACTTGTCATAGGCCCGAACATTATCAGGAGAGTCATCCGATCTTCTATCGCGGGCTTGAAGAGCTCGACGGATTACGAATGGTCGGTACATGATGATCCGAAGGTTTCTGTATCTCCAGTTCATGACAGCATGAGCGAGAGCATATTTTGGCGGAACTATCGCGCTTTCAGAGAAGTACGGTGGTACGCCCGCTTGCCACGGCTCGAGAAGCTCTTCATCAAGTCTCAGCATTTCGTTTGGAGATGGAAGCGGCTTTGAAATGACCCTTGTGTAGATGGGCGTCGTAGCGATGTGAAAGCTTGCCTGCGTTCGTACTGCCGTGTAGGGGGTCACATCTTGGGTCTCCGGGGGATACGACTTTGAGATGGCAGTTAAAGACTAGGGGGATGTTAATAAGTAAACGAAATTGGCTCAAAACTTAGTTTTGTTACCTTGTCGTCAACGTTCAATGGCAAGGACACTTCGACGCCTTCATACGGCCAAACTGAGGGTCGACTAAAGGTAATAGTTGCGCCAACATCAAAGACGCAGAGTGACCACCACACACGTCGCCTGATCTCCATGTTTAGTGGAGAGATGTTCCATCCTTGGAACTCTTTGTGTAGACCCAAGCCCATCGCCATCCGCACGGCGAGGCCGAGATAGTTGTATCCCGAATTGGGCTTGTCCCTCTTCTGCTGATAATTGGAGATAAGGGTAAGAGCCTGGACGAGCGTAAGGTTCCCTACTTCCAGGAAGTTGAAAGACAAGATGGAGCGAGCCTGGGCGAACAATGACATGTCCAAGTTATCGAGATTGGTAGCCGTTGTATAGACACCAATGGCAGCGACAGTGTGAGCCAGGACTAGCCAACATTCGCCACTCGGTCTAGGGATCACGCCCGCATACTGTGCTCGGAAGGTGGCTTCGTGAATGATTGGGTAGCTGACATGGTACAACCGAAAGTATGCGTCAATCATGGCGTCTGTAATGTGCCTGTTGGGATCCAGTTGCGTTGTCAGGGGGGAATGCGTATGATTGATGTAGCCTGTCCTCGAGGACGAAGAATGAGACCGACGTCTGGGTTTTGTGGGCTCGAGGAGTCTTAGCAGGGCTGCGCCGGAGGCGACGCCGAGGTATCCCGATTCCTTCTCGCTGACGGCTAACGAGGCCATGCCATCTGCTATGGGGTCTGTGACAGCCTCGCCATTTGTGTCCGCCTCGAGGATTGCTTCGGGAGAGGCTGAGTAGTTTGTGGTAGTCTCTTGCTCATCCCATTCGAAGTCATCGGTGGGGTGTGCTTCGAGAAGGTTGGTGTCCCTGTGTGACGCATCATTCACTGGTCGACGATGATGGCCAGTAACTTTATGGGCTCGTGTCTGCTCGAGACCCATGTTGAGATTGCTAGGTGGGCATAACATTTGGCTTCGCGGAACAGACATGGAAGCCTCAGGCGATTGCAGCTGCGTGTCATTTGCATCTTCGGCATGAGGAAGGGAGTCAGGTTCAGGCGAGACAGGGACCGGATGGAAAGACGGGTCAATCGAAGACGGTCTGTCCAATCTTGAGAAGTCAAAGGAATCGTCTCTCGGGGCAGATGCATCGGAATTCCTATGGCTAGCCATTGAAGATCCCGATCTGACATGAGCCGGCATGAGAGCCCGCATATAGGTGATGAGGGCCTCAGCCCGTTCTAATCTTTCCTCTACTTCTGTAAGATGTCTGTGTGATGTTAGTCCTACCATCAACTACCTCAGAAGATACTTTTTATAAAGCTCTATGATAGGACAAGTTGCGTACTTCCTTGTCAGTGGTGTTCGAGCGTGCTTCTCGTACAAGCAGTGACGGCGGTACTTGACGCACAAGTTGCATGTCGGAAGTTCCCGATTGCACTTGGCCTTCCGCCTCCGGCATTCCTTGCAGGCTTGATCCGCAGCAAAGGTTGTACCTAGCGAGCCCAGGTCTGTTGGCTGAGAAGCCGTCGGCTTACTGTCACCCGGGGTACCTAACGATGACATCTTCGTGTATCAGTTGAAACTGCTGGCTTTCTCGGAGAGACTCAGGGGTGTCTTGGGATTGCGACCCAGGCTCGGAAGACTGATGTCGGTTGTGCAGCATAGCCTAAGCTTGTTGGGCTGGTCAGGGTGAGTGTAGTCCGTCTCCAAAAAGCATCATGACACAACATGCAGGAGGAGACGAACGAGGAGGAGCGAGATCTGGTGCGTGAGTGAGGTGAGGTGAGGTGGGGGTCGGACGATGTGGGTGAGTGCTCCTTCAAGGGAACCCCGCCTTCTTCTCCACACGCTTGCGCTGCGGTGATCCACAACATCACTCATCGCGATCAGGGGGACATAAAGATCCCTGCAATCCGAGCTCCGTCCGGTGTTGGTCGGCCGTAGCAGATCATGAAGAGAAGGTAGGATTGGCTCAGTGCAGCTTTTGCCAGAGAGCCTGCTGTGGTATAACAAGAAGCTCCAGCCAGAATCCTCTGAGACCGTCAGGTTTGAACGTTCCAGCAACTCATCAATAGGGCGAGGAGAATGCACGGGCAATGGAACAACCATTGAGAAGGACATGAGTCACAATATCTACGTCAAGAATGTCACATCAAAAGTTTTACATGCAGCGATCTCAACGGGTTAAACTTTAATATGGTTTGTAAAAACGCATAGATCTACTTCAACCCTTCCCTATGTATGCATCACGTGGCTTGCAATCCGAATAATTATTTGAAGGCCCAACCATTGCCGCTCTATGCAGACCTTCAGGTTGCAGGAGTAAATACACAGTCCTATTGGTCTACTACGCCCGTTCTTTGTGTACAACATCATGAAGCCCGCCCTTTGCCAGGATTGTCTCCTCCTTCAAGTCAGAACTGTCTTCAAAGTTCTCCATGGCCTGAGGCCCATCGAAGAGGACAGCAATTTCCTCTAAACTGTGTCCTTTAGTCTCGGGGAACAGATACCACGTTACAGCGAAAAAGACGACCAACAAACAACAGAAAACGATGTAGTATCTCCATCCGATGTTTCCGAGTCCAATGGGGTTGACGAAAGCCGCAATGATCAGCGAACCATAGATCGCAAAGAGCTCGACTGCAATGCCCTTCGAACGCAGAGAGTACGGAAAGATTTCCGTTGGGTAGCCCAGCAAAAGGGGAGTGTAGGCAATGTCGTAGTGAAAATAAAAGGTAAACAGACAAACCACAACCACGATACCTGCAGGCTTTGATCCAGTCTCCGTGTTCACGGCCGAACAAGCTGTCCAGACGATGTAGCTGACCAGCATGCCCGCACCGGACCATAGAAATAGAGTCCGGCGGCCAAGGCGGTCGACTAGGAACGCAGCACTGAGGGCTGCACCGAAGTTGAAAATTTGCAGCAGGCCATTGATCAGTGTTTGGGTAAAGGTATCAGTAATGCCGACGGTGTTGAGAACAAGGGTTAAATAGTACGAAACTACCCCAATGCCGTTCCATCTAAATATGAAAGTCAGCGACTGATTCCGTGTCTTGATAAGAGACAATAATATAGAAGATGGTCTTACTGGGCGAAGGCGCCAACGCAAACAGCGATCAAAGTTCTCTTCCGGTTTCCAGGAGTAGCAACAAGAGCCATCCAGCCGGTTGTCTCTGCTGTCTTTTCTTGTTGAATCGTCTGTACAATTTCGGCAACTTCGCGGCGGACGAGGGGTGTGTGACCTTCGACTGGGTCTTGAACGCCTGAGTGATACCTTGCAAGGATCAAGGCAGCTTCCTTCGTTCTTTCTCTTGCAACCAGCCATCTGGGAGACTCGGGGACCCAGGCATAGAAGCAAAGCTGAACAAGTGGGAAACCGGCTTGGAGGATGGAAGGAACACGCCATGCCCATTCGCTTTGGTAGTCCTGGCACCCGAAAGTCGTCCACGAGGCCAGAATTGCGCCTTTTCAGAGTCAGTTCAGTGTTTCGATATGCCAAGACTCCTATTGAGAGACCTACCAAGATAATACATGGTCCAAAAAGCCGAGGTATACTTCCCGCGATGCGTCGGGTAAGCCAGCTCTGCGATGAGCATTGGACTAGGATGTACCACGAACATGCCACCGAAACCGACTACCAGCCGTGAGATTATGAACATGGGCAAGTTAATTGAAGTAGACTGGATGATGGTGGCGATGATAATGAGGATGATACCCGAAAGAAGAACTGGCTTTCGACCGAAGCGATCCGCCAGATATCCAACAATGGGCAAAGCGAGCACAGATCCAATAGATTGTGCGGCGTTGACAACTCCAAGCTTCACGCCAGTCGGGTTTCCAAAGTATTCTCGCCATTGCTGTAACGATTGAAGGCCGTTCATCAATGATCCTGTTGTACATGGACTGTCAGCAGCTACTCCTCGAGGGAGACTTAAATATGCGATCTCACCATCGTATCCTGCTACTGATGAGGACAGCAATGGAACCAGCAGCAGCAGGTTCAACCTCAGGAGATGCGGTTGCTGAAACCAGTACGTGTTCGTCTTGGGGAGCACTTCGGCCAAGGCCGCGCCGACAATTTGCTCGTCCTTCATAGTGGCTTACGTCCGAGGTCGCCTGTCCGGCATTGGCCGAGAAGATGAATGGTTTACAATCGAAATCTGCAAACAAAAAACAAAAAAAACAATGGTGATGTTCTCAACCGCAAGAGGCCGATGATGGATGACCAAGGGGGACCCGCAGGAGGTTTATATCTACCCCAATTTGGTCAAGATCTTGTACATGCCTCGGAGCGTTCATACGCGGCGCGAGGTCTCCCAACCAGCTGGTACTTGGAAACATCGCGTTGGTAATCCTCCGCATGCTCGTTTTACTCCACATAACGTGGTAAATGGGTCGGTAGCATACAGGGGGTTTTCCCATGGGGTACGCTAACGGTTGCATCATCAGACAGCTGCATCGCCAGACGCGAGTCATGCTTGTGTCTGGGTTTGTGAGGAACTACGCTGTGTGTTTGGTAAGTGCGGGGAGGACGGACGACTGTCACCCTCACTAACCCGACCAGGTTAACACCTGCGCTGAGTATTATTGGCGGTTAGAAGGATGCCAGGTCCATAACAATTCGGAGCGGTAATAGTGCATGGTTTAGGCAGCCTAGGCCGAGGGTCGGCAACGGCCGCCCTCAGGAATCATTCGATGGTCGAGCGAGGATGAAATTGAACCGATTCCGATTTGCTTGGGACGTCTAGGAAACAAGATGACTGAATTGCTTCGATGGCCATGATTGACGGGACCTACCAAAAACTCGCCCAAGAGCTACTTGACGAGAATATGTGGGGCCGGAGTTTTATTTTTATTCCCGTTTGCCTGTGTCCGTATCCTTTTCTGTAGTGACAGGATTGTGATACATGATCCTGCAAGACTTGATAGAGCTAAGCAGTGAAGATTTACATTACTCAAGTACTTGGGACGAATTTTCGGTCAGAAATGTCTGGTCCCTGAGTGAGCATATTAAACAATCAACTCGTCAGCGTATAATGGTGTCTGATGGACTTAGATAGCAAGTCCCATATATACGAAAAGACACACATCACAACTTCTGGCATTTACGGATCTAGTTCTTCTAAGCAATTCGTGAGTTGTGGTTTTACACGTCTACACGACTTGACCAAAACTGTCGGATAAATGAGGGACTCGAAATCTTTTATGTTTCTCTCCTTATTCAAAGTATTCAATGACCTCAAGCAAAACATGAGACTGGATACAAATAAGAGAGAAAAAGGTACGAAAGCTCATACTCGCCAGAATTAACTGCTTATTATTCACACCTGTGTTTCTTTTCACCGTTTGTTTAAAGAGTTACCTCTGGACCAACATGAGATTGACTCTCTCATTCTGCTAATCTACGATGCCAACCCATTCGTGAGGCACTGTCTACCGCGCGGTGTAACCACCATCAATGATGAAGTCGGCCCCAGTCGTGTAAGAACTAGCATCACTAGCCAAGTACAGGTAGATCCCTTTCAACTCCCTCGGATCAGCATCTCTACGCAACGGCGTTAAGCTGAACCACTCCTCCTTCATCTCGAACGGACAGTCACCCGAGATGACAGTATCAATATAGCCTGGCGAGACTGAGTTAACTCGGCCACCCCATTTGGCCCACTCAACAGCCAGTGATCGAGCGAGATGGATCTAGAAGAGCTCAGTGTCAGTCTGAGCGTCCATCAATCAACTGATACTGAACTTACTGTTCCTGCCTTGCAAGCGTTGTAACAGCTCTGTTCCTGCGGCACATTTGCAGCATGGCCACTCATGGATGCAGTGATGATACCCACACCCCTCTTCTGTTCGCGGAAGACGAGCCCTGCAGCCCGCATACAGTAGTATGCACCATCAAAGTCCACTGCCCTCACACGGTTCCAATCTTCTACCTTGTCATCCAAACCCCCAGCTTTGGAGGGCACTCCGGCATTGGCAATCATGACATCCAGGTGGCCAAAGTCCTTGACGGCCTCCGCAACCGCAGCTTCAACGTCACTATAGTCAGTCACGTCGACACGGTATGCTTTTGTCTTGACTCCAAAGTCTTTGGCAATGCCTTCGGCGATGGCGATGGCGGTTTTGGAACTGTGGTACCAGATGGCAATCTCCAGCGGCGTTGACATTAGCAACTCTTGTGGCTCTTGAGAGACATAGGGAGACATGCTTACATTGGCTCCAGCTTCCGCGAGGGCCCTGGCAATCTCCGAGCCTATGCCGCCTGCTCCACCCGTGATGATGACTACACGTCCGTCCAGCCGGAACTGCTTGAAGACACTGTCCTCAACTGACGGGTTAGGAGCCCTGATGGACTTTCTCGTCCCGTTTGTAACACCGTTGGTTGCCATCTTCAACAAAGACTTGACCAGAGGAGTGAGAGAACAAGTTGTTTGAATGAGGGATAAAAACTCGCCCTTTTGATATTGATATTAAGATGTAGGTAGGCTGAGTGTTTGGGGACTCAAATAGAATTCGTGCAGTGTCGCTGTTTTCCAAACTGAGAGGAGGGGATGCAGGATCCCGGAGGAGTCATCCGAGTAGACTGGCTGTGAACGAGATCGCCCCGGAAATCCAGTGCGATGTCTAGAGCCAAATGCCGGACGGGATACTGTCGCCCTCGTCCCGGGTCCTCACAGTTCACCTCGCATGTCGATGCAGACCAAAGAAAGTATGGGGTGGCCGGAATGAGGAAGGGGTGTTTTCTTATCACGCAAAACAACACCATCCTAGTTTGGTAGTTGCTCTATGCTATCAACCAACAAATCATACCTGCCCTCGCTGTGCCTGACGATGAATTCCCCGTTGACCATGTCGTTACTTTCCGTCCGAAACAACGCCTTCTCAATTGTATCTTCAATCCCAGCTGCAACATGTCGCGCAGCAACCCTGTTGCGAGCCAATTCAGGCTCAACTCTCACAAGCCACCGGTCATCCACCAGCGCTGCAATCCGACTCCAGGGTTCCTCGTCCGAAAGCAGGTAAAGTCCTTCCACAATACAGACCTCGACATCCGCTTCAATGGTAACTCCGCAAGGAACTGGATCCTTTACCTTGTGGTCAAACGTGGGGGCTGAAACGGGCCGTAGTCCTGCAGAGGCCCGTAGTTGGTGGACAAGGTCGACGGCGCCCTGGCCGTCAAAGGTCCACGGCGCACCGCGCCGGGCGATGGCCTCCGCGGCGTTTGGGAGCGCATGCAGTGTTTTTAGGGGTAGGTGAAAGCCGTCGGCGGGTATGACTACGGACTTGGGGTGGGGCCCAGGGGTGGTGTTGATGGCAGAGACGACGCGCTGGGCGATGGTGGTCTTGCCGGATCCCGGTGGCCCTGCGATGGCGATGAGGAGGCGGGCATGTTTGGCTGCCGTGTCGGGCATAGATTGCCTTTTCTCATCCCACTTGAGTAAGATGCGCTGGACAAGGGATTGATAGGTCGATTCCATAGTGACTGGATAAACGGGTGTTGGTCTGGGCCTTGTGAACGATTAAGAATACCGGATATAACGACGCTCACGAACGGGAGCAAACGTAGGCCAATTGAACTAAACTCGAGCTTGGCAACAATAGTGGCTCAGGAAACCCTTCCTGCTCTGGACACTGCGGTCAGACGCTGGAGGCCCATCGGACAACAGTCACCCGACCTTAGTCCGGCCCCTCACGGCGGCCCCACCCCGGCCGGCGCGGCAGTACCCCGCGTCGACGTCACGGCCATGCTCGACTCCCTGCACAAATAAGCTGATTGCGAACTTGTGAGCTTGTACGCTGGTTTACTCCGTTCCAAGCGCCATCACTATCCGGAGTCCCGACCAAGATTGCATCCATCGGCACGATCGAAATCTCAAGATGACTGAAATAGTGAGCACCCGAGGAGCCCCTGCCCTTGACATCGTCGACGTCGCTGACCGCCCAATTAGAATCCTGCCTTCGTGCTCCAGTCCGTTAAGAACGTCTCGTTTGAGAATCGCGAGGTTCCAAAGCGTCGTGACGAGTACGATGTTCGAGTGCACGTCGAGCAGACGGGCATTTGCGGCAGCGATGTGCACTACTGGCAGCGTGGCCGGATCGGCGACTTCGTCCTCGAGTCCCCCATTGTCCTCGGGCATGAGAGTTCCGGAACTGTCGTTGAGGTCGGTAGCAAGGTGAAGAATGTCAAAGTCGGTGACCGAGTGGCGATCGAACCTGGTGTGCCATGTCGGCAGTGAGTTCCATACCTCATGTTGCACGTAAGAGAGGTAAACTGACCAGCCCGAAGCTGCGATTACTGCCGAGCAGGCGCATACAACTTGTGCGCAGACACAGTCTTCGCAGCAACACCTCCATGGGACGGTACACTCCAGAAGTACTACATTGTTGCCGGCGACTACACGTACCCCATTCCGAGTCACATGTCAGCGGAAGACGGGGCCTTGGTCGAACCAGTCGCCGTTGCCGTTCAGATCTGCAAAGTTGCCGAGCTCAAGGGCGGTCAAACGGTACTGGTATTTGGCTGCGGGCCCATTGGCGTGTTATGTCAGGCTGTCGCCAAAGCGTACGGCGCCAGCAAGGTTATCGGCGTCGACATCTCTGAGTCTCGAGCGCAATTTGCAAAGGAGTTTGCCGCGGACGACGTCTACATTTCGAAGAAGCTACCTGATGCACCGGAGGACCCCGTCGAGGCATCTCGTGCTGTTGGGGAGAAGATCGTGAGGGAGTATGGCCTCGGAGACGGTGCTGATGTTGTTTTGGAGTGCACTGGTGCGGAACCGTGTATCCAAGCCGGAGTATTTGCGGCGAAGAAGGGAGGCACTTATGTGCAAGCCGGTATGGGCAAGGAGGTATGTGAACTACCCCCTTGGACTACGAATTATTGCTGACATTCGGTAGAACGTGGTCTTCCCTATCACCACAGCTTGCATCAGAGCATTGAACATTAAGGGTTCCATCAGATATACAACGGGATGCTATCCTGAAGCAGTGAACTTAGTTGCATCAGGGAAGGTCCAGCCAAGAGAGTTGATCACCCATCGTTACAAATTTGAGGAGGCTCTGGAGGCATTCGAAGTGGTTAGACAGGCAAAGGAAGACACGCTAAAGGTGGTCATTCAAGGTGTACCGAAATAGACAGCAATCATCACCAACGAGACTCAGATAAAGTTTTCTCAGACGTCTGTGGCATGTATGTATACTGAATGATCCAGTTTAGTGTCGATTGGTAGCAACTCCAGTTGTATATCCGTGAAATTCCTGGAAGCAACTAATGCTTTGATGTCAAAACTCAAGTCGGCCTTCGACCATATTCATCACTGCAAACTATTGAGATGATGCTCCATGGGTCGCGCCAGCCGTCTCTTATCAAGCCGACGTGGGCACATCTGCTAGGATGATCACCCGCAAGCTCGACAACTGACTTTAAGAGCAACTAATATGCGATCATTCTCGGTCTGCGATTGCGGGTCTTCGACGTTTGAGGTTGGCCTAGCTTCGAGAAGCTTTGAGCTACTGACGTCCGGGGTCACAGTTGTCCGCTTCCCCACGTTCCCCGCACCGAAAACAGCCTCTCCCGCTCCGGGCGACTGTCGACCGGTTATCTCATTCGCCGGCACGCACAATGACGGCAGCCTACCCCACCGCTCCCGTAGATGGCCCGGTACAAATGACCCGGCTCATGCTCTGCCCTGGTCGGTACTGAGCACCTCAAACCACCAAATATTGAAAGCAACATAACAACAAACGGGTGTCTACCCCAGTCTAGCAATCTCGGAATAGTAGCAACCATGGTCCTCCCGAACCACCCTAACCCCGCCGCGCCGGTCATCTCGCACTTTGACCTCACCGGTAAGACGGCCATAGTCACCGGTGGAACCCGCGGCATCGGCCTCGAAGTTGCCCGCGGCCTCGCCGAGGCCGGTGCGAAAGTTGCCATCACCTACACCAGCACGTCCCCCTCGGAAGCCGACGCCACGGCCGCCGCGCTCTCGGAGTCTGCCAACGGCGTGCTTATCAAAGCGTATAGGTGCGACGTCCGCAACCGCTCCGAGGTGGAGTCTGTCATCGAGACAGCGACGAAAGAAGTCGGCAATGGAAAACTCGACATCGTCGTGGCCAATGCCGGCATTGCGGACCATATCCCTGCAATTGATTATCCCGAAGACAGGTTCCGGGATATGTTGGATGTGAACTTCCATGGTGCTTTTTGGACGGCGCAGGCAGCTGCCAAGATCTTTGAGAGGCAGTTCAAGGCTGGCAGTGATGGAAGGGGAAGCATCATCTTCACCGCGTCTGTGTCGGCGATTCTGGTGAATGTGCCACAGAAGCAAGCCGCGTATAACGCTAGCAAGGCGGCGGTGGTGCATCTGGCCAAGTCGTTGTCGGTGGAATGGGTTGAGTGGACACGGGTCAACTGCATCTCGCCCGGCTTTATTGCGACTGATAGTAAGTTAGAGCATAGCATGCCTGGGCTGCTGAGACCGATATGCTAACGGCGGCAGTGCTCTCGGTGCATCCCGAGGAGTGGAGGAAGAAATGGTTTTCCATGATTCCTGGAGGGCGACTCTGCAAACCTGCAGAGTTGAAGGGTTCGTATGTATATCTTGCCAGCAATGCAAGCAGTTACATGACTGGTAAGTCCTCATATACCGACGGCCTTGTTGATCGCGTACTGATTGGAGGATTCAGGGGCGAATTTGGTTATTGATGGCGGATACACACTGCCATAAGCATGGTCTTAAACCATTGATAACAGTAGTTTAACCTCGTTTCACAAATAGTCTCAATAAGCTGCTCGCAAACTGTAAAACATACACGCACTACATACATACACATGGCTCACTCTTACACATAGCGGTCAAAAGTTTTGTTGGGCCAGACTTAGTACAAAGACGTCATAAAGAATCGTCAAGAAGCGTATAAAGATGTGATCAAGTTAGAACGACAAGCAAAAAGCAAGAAAAACAATCTGATCTCAACTACAGGTGGAATTTAACCACTGAATCTCCCCGAGGTGGGCTCGAACCACCAACCTCCAGATTAACAGTCTGACGCGCTAGCCAATTGTGCCATCGGGGATTTGAGATCTGATTGGATGATGGAAGGGGGATACATTGACGTCTAAGTAGTGATGATTAGACCCACGCAGTCCAACTCCACAACTGTCTATGAGCGATTCTAGTAGCTGATGGTCGCAGTAGTCTATTGGCTGACCAACGACAACGTTGACGAGTCTGCTTTATCATCCTTCAAACCTGTGCCTTAAAACTGTGGTCCATTCATGCTGTACCTAATAGTCTAGATCGGTTTCTGGCATTTGCAAGCAAGGAAAACCTGAGACTGCATTGAGAAGAGCAAAGTCACATGAGACTTGCATTGAACACCTATGATTGGCCAAGCCGGATGCCGGCGCCGATGATGGGGGAAAGCCACAGGTGACAGAGCAGCCCCTGCAGGGTTGAGGCCGGCTGATTGATGAGTAAGGTCCCGTGCTCCAGGAGCTTGTGCAAGCTTGTTTCGTTAGATGTCGGGCGCGAGAGTCAGAGCGAGTTTGGTAGCTTAAATCATGGTGGACATCGTCAGCCTTGTGCGGCTCAGGGTCCGAAACTCTGACGGGAACCCTCAGGAACAGCTTGAGTGCTTTTCCATTTTGGGTTGATTTGTTTTGTCTGCGAACAAGGGCTTGGCGGCTTGATACCATGGTCGGTTTCCCGAGTCGGTTCCACAGGCTCTGAATGAAACTACGTCAGCGGGGCCACCTCATCTCACCTCACACATGCGCTTGGCTCTGGTTCCGTAGTGCCGGGGTACGTACCGGAGCACCCCGCGGCGCGCAAGCTTGGAGCGCCCTGCCCCACCACGGCTGCCTCGTCCGTCCCTCATCACACAATTCATGCACATTCCCTCCCGAGCCCGAACCGGAGCCCGATCTTGACGACCAAACTGCACAACGTTTCCTCCTAGCCGCACGTCTCATTTTACTTGCCGGCGACGATCTGCGCGCTTCGGGCCGCATACTTCGCTCTTATCAACGACCTCCGACGACCGTCTGGCCCCTTCTGCTTAGCCGACGGCATTCTCTCTCTCTCCCTCTCTCTAAACCCCTCTTTCCATCAGCCACCTGAGTTGAGCCACGCCACTGTCATCGACGGCTTATTGAATAGTCTGGATCTAGTCGCTTTGTCCTTGAAGATATCACGCAGCGTCTGACTTTCGACATCATGTTCTCTCAGGTAGGCGTGACCCCTCATGTTCCCACTTTTGGCCACCTCGGCAAACCATGGCACGCGCGGGGGAACCGACACGGCCGAACGAATCAAGTACGGTCCGTTTGGAGCTACGTCTGTCGAGCAAGCGCAGATCGATCTCTCGGGCTATACGAGTCTCCAGAGTGTCGTCCAGATGTCTTGAGCGAATGAGCACTGACCTGCCGACAGAAGAAGCCATACTCAGCTGTTACAGTGAGCATCGAGACGCTCACCGCCGAGACATATGATGAGGAAGACTTAAGCGGCATCCCCGACCTTGTCGAGGTCATCAAGCTTCAAGCGTCCGGTCCAGCCGAGGCTGCCCGTGCCATTCGCAAGAAACTCAAGTACGGCAACGTTCACCGCCAGCTCAGAGCCTTGACCATTTTGGACGGCCTCATTCAGAACGCCGGCCCCCGCTTCCAGCGTGCCTTCGCCGATGAGCCGCTACTGGAACGACTAAGAGTCTGCGGTACTTCTGATTTGTCCGACCCGGATGTCAGGAAGAAGTGTACGGAACTCTTCCGCAGCTGGTCTCAGTACAAGAGCACACCGGGCTTGGAGCGTATTGCCAAGCTGCACCAGGTAGGGCAGCCATCTGCCGACATTGACGATAGCAGCTAACGTTTGCAGGAACTTCCCAAACGCAAGGTTGTTGTCACCCAGGAGAGGTCCAAGGCTGTTCAGGAGACTGAAAACCCATTCGGCGAGGATGAGGAGGACAAGCCTCCGTCGCCCACCGGCCGTGCAGGGGAGTCTTCCCGTCCTCAGCGTACGCCGTATCTGCCATATGGCGAGTCTTCGAACGTCACCAGCACTGCCGGCCACTCCAAGTCCTCGTCCCATTCCGGCGGCTCTTTCTTTGGATCCTCCAAGGATAAGAAGAAGAAGGAAAAGGAAAAGAAGGGCAAGCGCAAGCCCTTCAACCTGGAGTTGGAGAAGGATGCAATGAAGAGCGCCATTGCCGAGAGCTCTATCGCCACCACCAACCTCACGAACCATCTCCAGAGCATTAACCGTGAGAGGGAGCGAATCTCGGAGAACGCTCAAGCTGTCCAGCAGTTTGAGGGCTGCAAGCAGCTGAGACGCAAAATCCTCCGCTATGTGAGTTTGCCGGTATCATCTCGTTGGGATCTCAACTAACAATCTCAGATCCATCACGTGGAATCGGAGGAGTGGCTTGGTAGTCTTCTCAGGGCCAACGACGAGCTCGTCACAGCTCTGATGACTTTCGAGCAACTCGACCGGTCTATCGACGCCGATAGTGATTCCGATGACGAGCTTGCCGAGCAGGCTCATATTTACCGAAGTACGGAGCCCACTCTAATATGACCAGGGGTCTTTGCTAATATTCTGCAGTGGCAACCGAAAAAGCCAAGCAATCCATGTCCCCTCCCCCACCCGACGTCTCTGGCCTGAGCATCAGTCACACGCCGTCGCCTCGTCCGCCCCCTCCGCCGCGCCCGGTTCCCATGTCAAGACCCTCTCCTCCCATCCCAGCACCTGCTCCGGCAAAGCCTCCGAGACGTCCCGTCCAGCAGGTTCAACCCGACTCGGAAGAGGAAGACGACGATGATCCGTTTGCCGACAAGAATGCGCTTGAGACCCCTGCGACCGAAAGACCAGAGCCAAGGTGGTGATATCATACCAGCATCTTCATTCACATGTTTCTCGCTCTTGCTTGCCATATCTATCCGAAGGATACGCAGCCACATGAGGTGGGGGCGGTGGTCGACAGGTTATGCCTGTTGCCGATTTGGAGCACAAGTTATCTAGCAAACTGCCCGTCTAGGCATATAATGACTAAATGAGTCGAGCACATCTGATATCTTTTCTGTATGGTTTTATTGAGCTGCCCCTTTGTTATAGGAGTATGTTTTCCGAGCTTCCGCAATCGGTCACCGACCCTCCGCCGCTGGTGCCGTTTCGGCCGCAACTCCCTTTTGGGAACAGCGCCCGGGCCAACCCAGCGCCCATACCGGGATCTGTCGCCCGAAGCCCCCCGCCGGAGATGCTACGATCTCATCTTTCCTCGGCGGCATGTGCCATGTGCCCAATATTGCACTTTCACCCAGATCCTCTGGGGCGAGCTTCATCCAATAAGATCCTCCATTGCAGGGCACGGGTAATCTCCCAATGCTCGACCGTAAACTCCCGCCCATGGTTACTGGTATTGCTTGATATGCGAGCAACATTGTGAACCCCGCGGGTCATTGCAACATCAAATCGGGCCGCCAGGTTGCAGCACAGTGGGATTTATTGATAACCTTGAGTTGCTTTCTGGGACCTTTTCGTGACTCGCGCAACGACAGGGGGTGAGGGCGCCTATGGCAGCGCGTGCAGGCGTGACGTGGAGTGAGATGGGATTCTTCCTAATAGTTGGTGAGGCCATCGCGAAGGGAACGCTGCATGACACATGAAAGCTGGGCAAAGAGATATTGTGACTGTGATACGGAAAGCACAATCTCACTGGGCATGGCCAAGACTATGCATGGTGGATGCCCAACATGCTTCCATCTCAGTCTCCTATATGAGCCCTCTCGCTCCTCTCATGTCTCCGACTCTGCTCGTTAGGCTTAACCCAGTGTAGGTCCCTTCATACCCAAACCGCCAAGATGCTCGCCCTCCTCACCCTCGCCCTGGCCGCCGCCGGTGCCCATGCCGCAAACACAACCACCACCCTCACTCCCATCCTGCGGCCCGAGTGCGACAAGAAGGACCCGGCCAACCTTGTGCCATCCAACAACGTCACGCTCAGCTATGGCGCCGCAGATTCGAGTCTCGTGAGCGTTGTGTTGGCCATGAAGTACCCCTCGGTCGTGCTTGAGGAGGTTGCCGCCGTTGCCGCCGTCGTCTGTGCGGGCGCCAGCATCACCGTTACCTTTAACGAGACGGCTGCTTTCGAGCAGACGTCGCAGCAGTGGCAGGCACTTGACGACTTCGTCATGATCACCAACCACTTGGGCAACTGCGACGCTGCAAATGAGCGTGGTTTCTTCATGGTTGACACCATCACCTGGGACGAGGCCTCGCTCAAGGTCGTCGCCAACGCGCACAAGAGTGACGTCGCCAACACGGCTAGTGAGTGCTCTTGTATCCTTACCCAGGTTGGACCAACAACACTAACCAATTCCAGCTTCGACTGAGATCTCTTTCTCCAACGTTCCCGTCCAGAACCCTGCCAAGCGCGACATCTCGACGGACGAGAACGGCCTGCACATCACCAACACCCTCGCGCTGCCCTCGGCGACGACCCTCTTCACCTACGACCCCTACGTTGCCATCACCGCCGACGAGGCCTCGCTCACCTCCAACATGACCTTTTCCGGCAAGCTCAAGTACACCGTCATCCCGCCCAAGGTCGAGCAGCTTGAGCTCGACATCGACACCTACTTCGGTGCCGACCTCGGCCTGACCGTCGACGTCAAGGCGCCCTACTCTGGCAACTTCACCTACGACCCGGAGGACCTTGGCTACAAGTAAGTTTGGTACCTACCTCTTTCCAGGGCTCACTGTTGACTAACTCACGACAGCTTCGTGGACATCCCCGGTATCATCAAGCTCGGTCCCGCCCTGGGCTTCGCCATCGGCGTCGAGCTCGAGGCGGATGGCGCAGCGAGCATCACCACGGACTTTGGCCTTACCTTCCCCGACGCCAAGATCCACCTTGACCTCGTCAACTCCGCCGCAACCTCCGCCACGGGCTGGGACCCCGTCTGGACCGCAAACGCCAACATCTCCGAGAAGGCCGCCGTTGGCGTGAACCCCTACGTCGACTTGGGCGTCGAGCTCGTCTTCGAGATCCTCGGCAATGCGATCAGCCTCAGCTCCGGTGTGACCACGCGCTCGAAGCTGGTCAACGACTTCAAGCTGTCTGCGAGCCAGGAGGCCGGCACCGGTGGTGTGGGCATCGGCCAGGACAACACGGGTTGCCAGGAGGGCTTCTCCATTAAGAGCGATTTCTTCTTCAGCGTCACTGGCTTTGCCACGCAGTGGTGGTCGCAGGAGCTTTACAACGTTGAGGTTCCTGTTGCGGACGAGTGCTACACTTGGTTGTAAACAATTACGTCCCGCAGTGGACAGCGTTGACCGAGAAGGGAGGGCTCTTGAGAAAGCTTTGGCGGCCAGGGGCTTGGTTGCCCAAGAGTCAAGATTGACAATTAATAAGTCATTTACTTGTACATAGCTTCAATGAACATATCATCTATGTCTGCTTCTCAATGTGAATCGAGTGATACAAGCCCAATCCATACCAGTTGCTTCATGATGGGATCTCTTGGGCGCAGGACAGGCCATAGTCAGCAAAAACTGTAAAGTATACCACGTCAGCGTTAAAGAATATCAACACCAGCACAATCTTTCATTCTATAATGAGATTGGAATAAGCCTGGTTGGTCTAATAAAATACCAATGTCTTTTGAGATACTTGTACGAGTGCAAGTGTCCAACTAGGTAGAAGAGGCTGGGGTTCTAAGGAAGACTTGCCGTCGAAAACCATCTCCCGGTGGCAACTCCAACAATTCATAATCATAAGAACATGTGAATTCACTCTTCTTTAAAGAATGTCAGACTTCCCATGCAATCCTTGAAAACGATTAAATCGAATTCATTAAACAAGCCCGAAGCCTATCAGCCAATAACACTATCTAAGGCATGCTATTGTAACTCAACTGAACCAAGGAATAGGCATGCACTGATAGTTCAAGTCGATACTGCCCATGTAACCACCCATTTTTCTTAGCGCGCTTCGCCCATCTCGTCCGACCGGCGGCTTAGAGACCGTTTCTGAACGTTTTCGCGGTTATTTGTCTCCGTTAATAAACGTGCAGGTTGCAATTGGCAGAAAAAGCCACCACAACTAATCAAACACAACCCTCCCTAATAGACCAGGCTGAAGTGAGTGGGCTGAGTATGCTGACGGAGGATGTGATGCGTGATTGGGTCGTAGCTGCAGCCTAGCAAGGGGTTGTCTTGGCTTCGAACATCAACTTCACTGGTCTTTGCGAATGCTATCTTCAGCCCTGTCTCGTTGGACGTCATCAAGATCCCTATGAGTATTGGTAAAGGCTGATTGTCAGATTGTTTTGTTGCACATTAATGGAAATCGATATTCATCACGAGAATTCATACAAGCAGTTCTTCTGCAGTCCTTCAAATTCTTAACTAAACTCAAATCGAACAATCCTTATTTGCACCACCAATCCGTCAAAAGTGCAGCTTTCCATTTGGAGTGCAGTCTTTGCTCTCTTGACGATTGCGGAAGCTTGGACTGATAAGTTCTCTACATCACTCTTTCTCGAGTCTTATTCAAATTAAGACTGTTGCAAACTTGAGGCTTTATTCTTTCTTGAATAATCGACCAACTTGTAGAAAAGAATGGCGCTAACATCAATGAATAGTCACGGTACACGACTCCTCAGTCAGCTGCAACCACGGTCCCAATGCCAAGATGCGCAGGCTCGTCGGCCGAAGCGACTCCTGCTTCAACTTTGGCGAAGACATGACAGGCACGGACTGCTATCAATACCAGTGGGATCCCAAGCACCCACAGATCCCAGCCGGCCCCGATGGATGCACCGATGACTTTGTGCCGTCGTTCGCCTCGTACTACGATCGCTTGCGCAGGGGTACTAAGTGCTACTTCTACAGTCAAAAGGGTTGCGATCAAAGTCCGCTAAGCAATAACTGGTGTCCTTCCAACGTCGCGTTATGAACGACGTTGAGATTCAATCCTTCAAATGTGACACTGAATGAGCACTTTGGGTATTAATTTATCGGACCAGAAATACCGGGTGACGGGGTAGTTATGGCGCTTGAATGTCTGACAGAGTAGGCTCTAGGAGGTTGTTTTCTTCAGTGTTGAAACTGCGGCTTCTCCTCAAATGACATAAATGGACGCGCAGGTATGACAACGTCGGGATATGTTGGCTATGCAGCAAGATATGTTATACAATTAGTCAATATATTCCAATCTCCCTTGATCCAATCTCTCTTGCAAAGTAGCCTTCAAGGATGTTGTACGAATTCCAATTATTTCAGTTTTTGATTAGAGAGCGGAAGGAAGATACTTAGTGCTTGCTTGGTCCCCAATGTCTGAGTTCCCACATTCATGTGGTCTGAACTGGACGGGGGCTCTTTTCTTTCATATATGCCAATTTGCGACCTATCAAAACTTTTCATATTGACAGACCCTTGTTTAATCTAACCGACCAATGTTCCTTATTAAATGCTTTTATTGCTTAGAGAGGCAGAGAGTTACGGCGCTCCTCCTTTCAACGGAAGATTTTCAAGTCCTGAGTGCACAAGTGCAACCATATCAGCTCCGTATGAGCTGCTGGGACATTATTTCTTCGCTCCCCCCGTTCAACAACTCCATGACATTTTCCAATTTTTCAAAAGCGCTTCTCCATTTACGATCCCGTGCTGTCATGTTGGCATCCATTTTGGTAGACCATGGGTCAGAGGCGGATACGCGGTCCCCTTTGTCAGTCTCAGTTGGCAGCTGATTGAAAAGTCTAACGAGGAGGCACTTAAAGGATAGTAATTATATTTGTGTACCGACATTCATTCTGGCTTGCCCAGATCTAACGATGAACAAGGGCTTTGATCCTCAGCCCTCCGACTAACAGAAGCCTACCAACATACCTCTGTTGGGTCTCCGAGCTCCTTGTAGTACTCGATGGTATGATGGCACCTAATTCTTACTCGATAAATTGCAACACTCGTTGCGTATTCAAGCCGTCTCGCGGCTATCGCGCAGAGAGTCGATGTACTCGAGAAGTAGCGCTACTCCATACACAGTCATATCCCCTCCCTTAAATCCGCATCTGCCTTCCTGAAACATTTAACCTCGTCATTTTGAATATGAATTCATGAAACTTCCCTGACCATGAATTGTGGTGTCAAGAGGGCGTAGTCCTTCACAGAAAGTCCGTCGCCGGCCATGTGGCTTTACATTGAGGGTCTAGGCCGGATGGAGTGCACCTTTTGGGTTGCCCCACTGCTTGAATACAACCTTAGGATATAAGCGCCAACAAAACCTCCACTTCTATGAGCGATCCCAACCTCTCAGATTGAACCAACAGGCCTTAACAGTGTAGCATCGGTAAATGACTCTGTCTCTGTGCCGCAGGTGAGAGTTGGCAATTGACAGTGTGACTGATGGAGATTCCCAGATCCTGGACATACGGGGGGAAACCCATCCTTCCAGATCCAGTATGGCGCTTGTGGACTGTGAATGTTCCCACTGTTTAAGCTGGAGATTCGAGAATTCCCAAGGCTAGTTAATTATTACCCGCTATATTCCCTTCTATGGACGAAAAGTCAAGCGTTGGGGAACCTGGGTCTAGACCACAGCATTTTAAGCCTGGCCCCATGTTTGTTCTATCTCCTTGGGGTATGTATGGCCTCGCCTCGGACCCCAACTCCACCTCTCAGACTGCCGTAAGAAACACGCTGGAGACCGTTGATGCCACCAGCGCTGCCATCGCCATATTTGTAAACGAGACGTGGCGGCTCGGCGTTGCGGCGGACGACACATGGACGATGAGTCCATTGGAGGCATTCAGATCGCGCCCATTTGCTTGCAAGCATTGGCTGAAAGCTGCTGGAATGGTTTCCGACGTAGTCCCGTTCGTAATAGCTGCTGGGATCTCGCACCACTCCCAGCAGTCTTGCACAAGTTGGACCGGGTTAGGCTGGCAACAGCTGGCCATCCATGAGTCCGAAATGTTGTGGCCTGGGATGACAGCGTAGGTTACGTCCTGCGGGATCTGCAAGTTCTCCGGCACGCTGGACGTCGGGCAGCTGAAGTTGGCGGCGGCAGACATGGCGAAGGTAGTAGAATGATGCGTGAGTTGGGTTAATCAGTGGCCGGTATGTGACAGAATGTCTGAGGGAAAGACTTGTTAACGCTTATGGGGGCATATGAGATGGAACAGGCAAGGGGAAATTCGAATCAAAGAGCCGTCTGGAATAAGGTGCCCAGGGAAATACATGCCACACCAGCTAAGGCTGCGGTTTATATACGCTCACTACTCATGAGCGGTATGTAGCGAACGATTGAAAGACCCGTATTTCGAACAAACGACTCGTTGCCGAGGCGTGAGTTCATTTGGCATGTTGTCACAGGACCCTGAGCAAAAACACACCGTAGGTAGCCGGCAGAGTGGGGCTCGGACCGAGATCCCCGGGACTTGAGTTCTTCCTCCACAACGGAGACCACACCTTTTGGGTGTATGAAATGTAAGATTAGGTGATCTGCCTTCACAACCTTCACAAGCCTTATGGCATACTTGTAAGGTCTCTTTAATTCTCCTAATTCTACTTTGATTTTCACTGGCACTCTTGTGGAAAGTTTCTGGTGTCCATTCGATCCAACAGGCTCGTCTTGAACACCAGGAACAACTGAGTGAAGGATGAAATTGTAAAAGCCTTTTCAGTATTCAGATGCTCAAGGAGGTGCTTTATACCAGGCATGAGCTCTCATACTCGACCACGACTGTCACCCTTACCTCATCCTTCTATTCTCTTGGTTCAGAGGGGTGGATGAAGCTGCAAAGGAGGTATAATGAGGAAGGGGAAGGAACCCGAACAGGGAACGATAACACACTACTGGCCCCGGTTTGTAGCTTAGTGGCCTTATCATTCCGTATCTTACAAGCGTATTTCATGAGGATTAGCTGTCCACTGAAAAGTTGCCAAGGTGCTCCTGCGCAGATGGGACTCAACCTGCCGACCTGTGCAGAAGCATATCCAGAACCCGCATAGCACCTCCAACGCGACGGTATACATAGAATCGATCTGTGATGGAAATATCCGACGTCTCGTACCAGATCTCAAAACTTGTGTGTACTCCAATCCTTGCCTTCTTCCTCTTCTTCGTCGCCGGTCTCCTCAGGAATGCCGTTCTCTTCGGCATCACCATTGTCCTGATCATCATCATCCTCGTCTTCGCTGTCGTCTTCTTCATCCAGGTTGAGGTCAGGCATGACGATGCTGTTCAAGAAGGTAATCTACACCCTAATCAGCCGATGTCACTGAGGTAGAGGGCTCGATACTCACAAAGGGGTGCATGGCTGCGATGATCTCACAAACCTTGTCCTGGGCGTCCTCTTCAGTGAAGATCCGATCGTCGACCTTCTTGCTGATAGTAAAGTTGCGCAACTTCAACAGCTCAATGTCGCGATGGTCCGCCAAGTATCCCTACGTAATCAAGTTAGTTAACTGCTGGACCTCCATCTGGGACTTGGTCTCCAAAAGATGAATAGATGAACTTGCCTTTGGCTTGGTCTTCAGAGCATTGCCCTTATTCGTGTCAGCGAACGCCTTCAGCGCTCCCTCCTCTCCTTCTTTCTTGGTTGCCTTGGGCAGGAAGGTCCTCTTGAATCTCTCATCATTCAACGCTCTTCGCCAACGCTGCGGCCGCTCGTCGATACTCTCCCTCAGCTTTTGCAGGTGTGATGCCTCGGGACACCATAGACCGCCGCCGACGAAGCAAGAGCCTGGCTCAAGGTGGATGTAATAGCAAGCGTACGGGCCTTTCTTACCCGTCCTCGACCATGCAGCAGAGAAGTGTGCCTAGAAAGCTCTCATTAATACACTTGTTTGATAAGGGCCAGGTTTAAGGGCATGTGAGATAGCGCACCTTGTACGGGGTCGGGTCTTTGCTGAAGCGAATGTCCCGATGAATCCGGAAGACCAGGTCCTTGGCCGGCAACTCGGGGATGGTAAAGTCGACCTCGGTGATTTTGGGCGTAATGGTCTCGACAAAGGAGTTCCAGTCCTTGAGCGCACGCCTGTACTCGCCGTCGTGGCCTAGGATGGCGTCAGCTTTCTTCAGATTAAGAGTGAGTCCGAGTGGGCCATACTTTTGAGCCACGACCTCTGATTGTGAGCCTTTAAATCCTTCAAGAACAGGAGGGTGTTCTTGTGCACAGTTTCATCCGAGTAATCGACGCCGTCTAAGGGTCTGAGCTTCTCTAGAGGGATGATGGTGACCCTCCTCTCGCCCTCGAAATCGTCTTCCTCCTCCTCTTCTTCCTCGTCATCCTCGTCAGGCTGCTCATCTTGATAGTCTTCTTCAACTTCTTCGACCTTCTGCTTCTTCACAGCCTTCGATTTCGTAACCTTCGGCTGCGGCTTGGCCTTGGGTTTAGCGGCTTGACCCTTTGGTCGTCCCCGCCCGCGCTTCTTGGGCTTCTCCTCTTCCTCCTCATCGACCTCACTCTCTGGCTCATCGCTCTCATCCTCGATCTTTGCATCGCCATCAAAGTCATCATCGTCGTCGCCTCCATCCTCAAAGTACTTGCTCTTCTTCGGCGTGCTCGAGATGCGCCGGGACCGCCGGCGGGGCTCATCTTCGAACTCCGCCGGCGGCGACGCAGCACGGCGTTTCTGGGCCGGCATTTCGAGTGTTTGCTTTCCAGTTCGCTTCAATCGAACCAAAAAGATTGTTTTGCTATCCAGCCAGCCGTTTGTGTATGTAATTGTGATTGGTCTCGTTCGGACCTTGATATTGTCCCAGAATGGTGTGATGCGTCATCGGGCCCAGTAAACCGCGGGGACGGACGCGACGGACTTGACGCAGGTGAACGCGAGATCACATGACTGAGCACGTGTACTAATCGTACTGCCTCTCCGCTGGAACTCCTGGAACTCCAGGAACTCCATCCAGTGTATTCCAAGAGACCTCAGGGCCTCCACGGTGAGAATTGTCCTCACAGCTCAAATTAACCAAGCCTACAAAGCTCTAATCGACTCAATTCGCCGCAGCTGTAGTCATAGAGGCAGTTGCAAGCACAAAATTCACGCGCATCACGCGCATCACGGATCCGCAGCAATCGTAGCGTTGCCGGCATCACTAAGTGATGCGTACGCTGGAAGATTTATCATAGCCCAACAGCTAATCACCTTGTATGTCTTCTCAGTGTGAGCGTATAAAGAGGCGAGAACGACCCAGTAGCCATAGCCGTCTGTCATAGCTCGCGCTGATCAAGGTCATGATGATTCATGCCTGCACCGGAGAGCAGCAACTTCGATGTGCAAGCCGCTTTTCATGAACTTGGCCGTACAAAGCCGTACGGCGGCAATAGTGTGGTTGAGGAAGATCCACACTGCCATGTAACAACTAGAGAAGTTTGACTTGAGATAGGTGCTTCCTATAGGAGCCTGTGCCCATAAAGCTCCCATCTCAACGACATCCATAACGGAAAGTAGAACTCTACACCATGGGTATCTTATATTTGCAGGGTGCGATGGAAGGCTTCAAGTAGCCACTCAAACGTAAACTGATCCGGGAGTATCGGCGGTATAATCCAGTACATCTCAAGTAATAGCCACTGTCTAACGGCCAGATGCCTTCGTCGTGACCCGTCCATCTTTGCGTTTCGTGTTCAACGACCTCTCTTGCAGTTGAGAGGCGATACAACAGCATGGTCTAGTCGTGGTATGAAACAAGCGTCTTCAATTACGGAGCTGCACCTCACAAGAAAATCACGATTCGATGCGCGAATGCCCCTTGGACTCAAATTCGTGAGCCAGCTAGTGCTGTTGGTTGAGACCATCAGCAGCATAAGCTACAAGGCCCGGTTGATGGAAAAACAAGCTACAAAAGACATAGGTCCATGCGGCCTGTCTTCCGTCGTCTCCTACATACTCGTCACAGCACTCCCAGGCCGATAGGGAACAGAGGTCAGCAGCAGCATCCAGGACTTACACCCTCTCAGAGGCCATGTCAGGATGACGCCCTCCTCAGGTTGTTGGCACCGCCAGTCAAGCTTGACGACGTCGAGAAACGAGAGGCCGCCTGTTCCAGCACCATTTGGACAACTCCAATGCTACGTTGGATAAAAGAACAACCGACCGACAGCACATACTGCCATGCGTTGCATAGCATGACAAGTAGACCCGGCGCTATGCATAAAGCATTAAAGGTTCATTGCATCTCTATAGTTCACCCTCAACGGGGCCGTATCGAGGGCTCTCGTAGCCTCCATCAAGCCTCGTCCCAGACCCCGCGTGTTCAAGCCCGAATACCCTCAGCAGTACGAGAACCTCGGAACACCCAGCAGATTCGCAGACAATCCGTACGGTCCGTCATAATCGCCTGATCCAGGCGAGAACTGACCAATGGCACCACCACCCAGCACACATCCCGCGACCTGGCCCATCTACAAACCCGCCAGTGGAACGCCCTATGTCCCAGTCCTCCATGCTCGCCGTGCCCGACTGACAACCTCTACTTTTCTCCCCGCGGCCTCGACTCATCAAAACCATCTCACGCCGCCAGGCGCCCCGGGGTACGGGAATCCAGATCCGCCCATCGACAACAACATCCCCCCAAAGGCACCGCAAGTCCCCAATCCGAGATGATCGAAACATTGTTTTTTTCATTATTCATCCGCAGCCTATCAACACCGACCCCGGTCCTAGGACGCACGTAGCGCCACCGTCGCCGCAGCAGCAGCAGCAGCGGCGGCGGCTACATCAATCCCACCCATACCCCCCTTTTCCCCAAAAGTAGAACGTCAAACAAACTCAAAGCGGCCGAGATGCGGCCCCTCAGACCAATGGGCAATCGAGCCAGGCCCAATAGCTGTCTGTACAAGCACGAAAAAGCAGCAATAATAAAGGTCAACTGCAACTATTCTCCGGCCCTCCCCTTCCTGCATGACAAGGTGCCTAGAATGAAACCAAACCCATTCGCAAGAAACGCCAAGCCAGAGTTTCCCTCCTCTCGTATCTGCCCCCCTTCCAAATTTCTAGCTGGTACCTGTCTGTCGGTACTCCGCCGGCTCGACGCCCCGAAATCCCGACTGGGGCCTCTCCAACGTGAGGGCGGGGAAGGCTAACGACACGCCAGACCTCAATTCGCTCTCTCACCCTCTCTCTCAGCAATACAACTCCAAACGCTTCTGGCCGTTGGGGCGGCTTTTACCCCTCACGCACATGAAAACGCGACTGGCCGTTTTGACCACGCCGCCCTGGCAATGTTTGTTTCGCAACGGGGACTGGAACTGGTGCCGAACCGGGCTTTCAAGGTACAAAAATGTACTGCGAGCAACCGGATCGGGAGAAGTGGCATATCTTGGCATCAACCGGTCGAACTTCGCCCGCCACCAACGAGATTCCTTCTCCCATCGAGCATCCGCACAATCTGCAAGGTCCAGTCATCCGGTATCAGTTGTAGTCTTCCGCTACCCGGCCCCGTCACCCGAGGTTGGGATCATGGGCGATGCGGCCTAGGGGCGTCCTGTCTCGGGGTTTCTCAACCAAATCGGCATACCCGTCCAAACTCGAGCCCATGACCCTGACCAATTCGAAAATGTGCGAACCCTTGAAAGTCTCCGCCCAGAGTCTAATGACCGCTGCGGCCAGCTGCCTAAGCCGCGTGCTGTCGTTGGCAGACACTTCGCTGCTGGCAGGCTGGCCGGCCGCGGGCCCGCCTAGCGATGGATCGATGGGCACAGCAAACTCTGTCTCGTCGAGCATTCTCCTGACCGACTGCAGGAGATTCTTCTCTTCGGGTGTCGCAGGGGGGTCATTCGGTCCGATCGACGCGAGGGTGAGGAGCCACTTGGACAAAAGGATGGCGCACTCGAAGTTACACACTGCAGACAACCGGAGTTAGTACGCGGAAGCCGTGTTCGTTTAGGGGTCACATACAGGAGTGCTGGATGCTCCATTCTAGGCTCTTGGTCCTCGCAACGTAGTTGACCCCGGCCTTTACCAACATCGATAGGGCATGGATCGCTTGGAATACGGCTCTGTGCAGCCTCAACGTACGAACCAGAGGGGGCATATTGCTCAGAGACGAAGCAACGAGCATATGATCCCGGGTTTCGAGGGCTCTGCTGGGCGGGATCTCCGTGTACAAGCGAATGTACGCCAAACGTAGGAGAGCCGTCGAGTTGAACGCCACCGGGCCACCCGGGAACGAGTCGCTGTTGCCCACGTGCCCTGCGTCGGCCGCACGCAACTGGTGCCGATGTTCGAAACTGACCTGCCATATCCGTAGCGCCGCGGTGACCTCTTCAACGTCCTCCGGTTTCAGGCCTCTCTGGGGTCCGAACGGTGAACTCAATGCGAAGGAAGTCTGCTTCAGTAGGTAAATGTGCTGCAGCAAAGCGTGAATCAGGACGTAGTTCCCGAGGGATGACATGTGCGGAGGTAAACCCTGGGGCGACGTCGTCAAGACCCTGGAGAAGGCGTCGTGGACAGTGATCTCGGCGGACGGGTAGTTCTGTCGATCTTCCTGCCACTGCCAGGCCGATTCGGCCCTCCACAAACGGGATGGATAGGGCAAGAAGAGGCCAAGTTCTGATGTGAGGATAAGGGGCGGCATGTTGTATGCAATGCTGCAGAGGTTGAAGAAGCAGTATGCTATGAGTTTTGTTCGCGTAGCACCTTCGAGGCGAATCCAAGTCTCCCAATCCGGCGCGACGGCGGGGCTGGATTCGGCGACCAGACCCTCTTCGCGGACTAGCATAGCGAGATGACTTTGGAGGGACAGGGCCTCATGCAAGATTGCCTTGGCTCCCCAGAGGCCTACTGCAAAGAGCAGAAGGACAGCTTGGGTCGTCTCAAGTCGGGCTTGAGGTGTGTTCGGCGAGCTAGCGCAGGTAAGTACTAGAATACGTGGAACAAGCAACGCACTTACAAAGGCTCTCGGTGAGTGTCTTGTGTCATCGGGCGGTCTTGCTGTGCCGATGCAAATGTGTGGCGGAAACCAGAGCTGGGGGAGGGTCGCGTCGAGTGCGGGCTGTACGCAGCTGGCGTTGGAAGAAGAGCATGCACCTCATGGCTATGCCGCCGTCGAATCTGCTCAAGCGCAACAGCCTTTGCAGCATACCATAAGGCGTGGCCTCGATGGCTTTCAAATCGGTACTGCGCACCAACGGCCAGAATAGCGAGGAGGAGCTCGGGTGCCATTTCCGCGGGTGTCAGAGTAGGGATGTGAAGGAAGGGGAGATACTCGTGAAACCCGCTGATGTAACCCTCCAGGAAGCGAGTGAGGGTATGGCGAGACGGGAAAACGAAATCGTTAGGGATGACGGACGAGAACTCCTCGAGCCTATTCTTGATCACAGTATGGTCGACAGCCGATATTCGAAGTGGCGCTCTCATCGACTCCTCGTGGCTCCGTGGGCCGCCCTCCATGCCCTCCCGTCCATCGGGCTGGACCGAAGGAAACCGCGAAGGAAACTGCGATGATGGCTTGGACAGTCCACGATGATGCATGTCGCCGGACCGTGGCCAAAGGCCGCCCATCTGCTGATCAGACTCGAAAGGGGGCGGAAGGTAGTGCGAAGGCGCAAAGTCGTCGAGGAAGATGTGGTAGTCGTCGTAAGGCGCGGCCTGGGGCTGGGGAGCGTACCCGGGCGCCAACATGTTCTGGTCCTCTCGTGGACGCTCAGGATACCCCATGGACTCGTCATAAGACTTGATCCTCGCATGATCCGAAGGCGGACGTCCCATGTCCGTCATCATAGGTTGCTGCATAGGATTGACTTCGCTGGCCAGAGCCGCATCAGAGAGCAGGTCAAGGTTGCAGGCAGCGGCGCGAGCCGGACCTGGCATGCGAGGATCGGGGGCCAAGGTGGAGGCCACGGCCGTTATCGACTCCTGGTGGTACTGCGGCTGGGAGGGGCGCTGGACACCCAGCATCTCGTGCTCGACATGACTGTCAGATGAAGATGGCGGGTTGTGGGTGCTGGACGACGTCTTCCTTGGGCGGTTGTTCTCCTTGCTGCCCTCATTGAGGTGTACGAGCTTCTCATGGCGGACAAGAAGATCACTGATGTCCATATAAGCATATTCCTGTGTCAGATACAAGGGGTGTTGGGCGTGATGCAGATGAGCATTAAGAACAGAGGGAAGGTGGAGTCTAGAGTCGAGGCCTGGGGACGGGGGAGAGTCTTGGGATAAAGCAAGCTGGGGTGGTGTGGTGCGTTTGTAAGGCGACAGCATGTGGTGTCGATGTGTGGTAGGTTGGGTGTACTTGGGCAGAATGGCAAAATGACGAATGGCCGGGGTAAGGTTGATAGACTCACCGTCGTCCGAATGTTTTCCCACAGCGAGCCCAACCGCAGGCAAAGGGCTTCTCCTTGGTGTGCGTCCTTTCGTGTCTTTGGACATGCTCCACACGCCTAAAATGCAAAAGCAATGTAAGCTAGCAGAAAGGTACAGAGAGTGAGGGCCAAGGTAGGGCAAACGTCAATCAAATTGAGGGGGGGGGGTTCTCTTGCACAAGGGGGGTAACTCACCTGAAGCGCTTGCTACAATACTTGCACGGCAACGTCTTGGGCTTCTGCTGCCGGGTCTCCCCATTCTCTCCAGCAGCAGAGGCTCCGTGAGGAGGCATACCCTCTATAGACTGGAGAGGGAGCATTGTGTGAAAGGCCTACCCTCAGGGAGGTAGGCAAGGTAGGGAAGGACGGGTACTGTGTACTCGGATAGGTATAGACAGGTCGAGGACCTCCGAGGTCACACAGCACGAGAAAGTGGGGGAAATGGAGGAGGAAGGCGGAGCAGAGTTGAGCTCGAAAGGGATAGTTTGCGGGGTGGTGCGGCGTGTATCGAGGTGAAGATTGTTGAAAAGGAAAGAGAGGGATCCAAGCTCTCGTCGAGAGCGGACGGCGACTATAGCGGTCAAGATTTTCCTCTGCTGCCACTCGTCTTGGTGTCTTTCCATGCAAGCCCCGGGTAAGCAAGTCTGTTCCAGATGCCTCTCGTCGGCGTAAGCGTAAGCAGAAGCGACCACGGGCGGTGGCGGCCTGGGTTTGCCAGTGGTTGTGTTGTCAAACGTTGCTGCGAAGCATGCGGGAGACGCGCAAACGGAGCGAGGAGTTGGGATTCGGAGTGGGATGTCCCGGCGGCAGCGGCAGGGTGGGCGAGATGAGAGGACGCGAGCGAGTAGATTTGGGGAAGAAGGCAGGAGTTGGCGTCACGGCACCGCGGCGAGCGACACGGGGGGATACAGGCTGAGTGAGGTCGAGTATGAAAGAAAATGCGCGGTGGGAGGTCGCGGCAAATGTGTCTGGATCTTTGGGCGTTGGGGTGAAAGACACAAAACAAGCATGCATGCGAGGATTGGAGCGTGAATGGGATGTACTCGGCCCAAAGCACAGCAACCTTGGATAAAGTGGCGGCGAGGTCGAAGTGAATGGCAGGGAGGGGGTGGGAGAGCAAAAGGCGGGGAATTGATGGAGATGAGGAGACACTCTCGGGAGAGGCAGAAAGAGGAGGCGGATGGAGGGATGGAGGGATGAGGAGGGGGATGAGGAGAGGAGTAGAGATGCGAGTGGCAGGGCGCGCCAGACTCTGGGCGACGTAGAAGTCGCAGGCGAAGGCGGAGGGCAGCAGCGAGACAAAGAGAAACGCTGTGAGGGCCGTACCTCAGGAGCCGAGAGTGTAGTAGCTAAGGTGAAGTAGAGGTAGGCTGGAGTAGGTAGCTGTCTGGAAGCGTGGTAGGATCCGAGAGCTGGTCGGGGATGGGCTGAAGAGGGGAAACACGGAGATCTCGGCTGTCTGCGGCGCCGTGCGACAGACAAAATAGACGACGGCAGGATGCCGGGATGAGGGGAGAAACAGGGTACGATCGACCGGTAGCGCGTAGTAATGGCTCTCTGGGCAAATTCGCAGATGCCGTAGATGGAAGTCAGTTGGTGTGTGTGTGCGCGCGTGTGTGTGCAAAGGTTGGAAAAGTTGTCGCGTGAGGAGAAAAGGCACAGAAAGAGAGAGAGAGAGAGAGCCGGTGCGTCGGTTGGTCAGTAGCGGCAGAAGTTTGATGATGTGCCGCGGAAGATCAATGGAGAAAAGCTGCCTTGGAATGCAACGTCAATGCTTCATCTGTCGTAGACGAGAGACCCGCGTGCAGGAGGAAAGCACCTCGGAGATGGAGAGGAGGGCCAGATCAGATAACCGGCGCGGCGTGTGAAGGTGGGCAAGGTGAAGAGAGCGGAGGAGTGACTGAGAAACGTGATGCGAAGAGGTGGACGTGGACAGCCACGGGTGGCGGTAGGGCATGTAGACAGAGAGGTAGGGAAGGTGCGCGGGTGCGCGTGGAGGTGAGATGAGGTGGTGGTCCTCGCGGTCGTAATGGGTGGGAAAAGGTGGAGAGTGATGAGGAGAGAAAGAATTGGCTTCCGTTGAATGGGGGAAATCCAGGCAAGGAATCTGGGGTCTGGGGTTGTCTCCTCTCTCTCCGCATTGGAGAAGCACCAAGGTACCTGCCTACGGTACTGGCGAGGCGGCAGTACCTAAGGTACCAAGCACCTTGACCTCTCCCTGTAAGGTAGCAGAGCTCTTCTCCTACCTTGCCTTGGCTACCTTACCCGCTGCTGCACACAACCCAACGTACCTCCCTCTTCCATACCCTTGCTTGGTGCGTCACCAAAGGTGCCGACACCTCGTCAAGGTGAGGTAAGGTGAGGAGGCAACGCGGCCAAGCAAAGGCACGCCTGAAAATGGTGGCATTGGACGATAGCCGACGGGGGCACACAGCAGCACAGCAGCACAGCAGCACAGCAGCACAGCAGCACAGCAGCACAGCAGCACAGCAGCAGCACAATCTGTTTGAACCTACGCATGCTGGGGGAGGGGGAGGGGGAGGAAGCCTCAAGGCTTTTTGTCTGTCTCTCCATATCTGTCTGGGATATGGGGGACTTTGGGGCTGACATGTGTGAAGTACCGTTTCCATGTAGATCCCCGCAAGAAACTACCTTGTCTGGGCGACCCAGTCGGGTACCCCAAGCCTGAGCTTAGCCCCAAGGACCGGCCCTGCTCAACATCCCTAAACACACTCCAAGAGGGTTGCATGTGGTGGGGGAAGCTGGCGGGGAGCTTCACGGCGCGGTGCCAATGGGAAACCAGCCATGAAATCATTTCTCGTCGGCAAGGGTTATTGGAGGCCGATGCGATCTGTTCTGTATCCGGACGGCGAGGTTTCTGGTTGTTGTTTTTGTTGTTGTTATTGCCGTCGGCGATGATGCTGAGGATGATGATGAGGATGATGATGAAAAAAGATGATGGAGCCGACGAGGAGCTGTGAAGCTCGAGGCAAGGCAAAGCAAAGCAAAGCACGGCACAGCATAGCACAGCATAGCATAGATGGCACAGCCAGAATCTCCATCTCATCTCTCAAGGTTTGACGATTCGACACTTGCTGATATTCCTCCTTGCTCATCCCCCCTTACTCCTCACTTCCTTTCCGCCCTCCCGTTGCGCACAAAAAGAAGATTGCCAACTGCATCCATCTTGGAACAGGACAAGCTCCCATCAGCTGCCAGGGCCAGCCCCTCTGTCTAGGAAATCCGGCCCCGTCCGTGCCAGCTACTGCACCGACGCTACGCAAGAGAGCATGGATGGTTCTTCATTGGGGCCACGGAGGGCGCACCTGGGAAGACAAGCATACCTCTGGGCCTCAAGACGCACCAATGGCAGCTTCGCAATAGCGGCCAACCGTGACAGGGATCCCCCCAAGACGAGATGGCCGCTTCGGCCAACGAACCACTCGCTCGTCCCCCTTTTGGAGAAACCACACGGAGCAGAGCTGCAAAATCTCAAAAGTGGCCCGGTTGGATCGACCAAAGCTGATTGATCAGTCCGTACGGGGCACCCAGTCTCTATGGCCCAGGTCAGCTTCAATGCCACCGTGGTGAGGTAGGGCGAGCTGAGGCGAATCTGTCTCGGTATGCTTCTTCTGGCTGGCGCTTCTTGTCATTCCCCCTGGTTTGCCGTGTGTCATGGGAGAAGATCAGAAGCTGGGGGGGGGGCATCCATCTGAGCTCCCCAGGCGACGGCCATGCATCCTTGCACGGGTTTAGCTCCACGTCTCCAAATGCGGAGTCCGAGACGCGCACTGGAATGGGCGGGAGCTCTACACTGTGAAGCACAGAGAGGGGTTGCGAAAACGCAAACTCTGACGAGGAGCCCTTTGCCCAGAATGATGAGGCCAGAAGCTGCTGCTGCATAACAAGATCCGATACAACAAAGGGGCCACAAGACTGTTACATGGCGTGTGACTTTACCACGTAGGTTTGTCTGCCCGTTTAGATTGAGGCTAGGTACTCGGAGGAGCGGGCAAAAAAGTTGCAATCGGGTGTCTCGGTGCAACTGCAACGCAAGGGGGGCGGTAGAAAAGAAGAGTTAGGAAAACTTGCCTTGGCTGCGATGATTACCCCAAGAAACGAACGCAGCGACACAGCAGCCTGCGGTATGGCCGGCTATATTCGGACGATACATCATGCTCGACGGCGCCCTTTCACGTCGCTGGAGAGACACAAATACACACGTCCACTGTTTCCTCTGCCCATTTGTGATCCGACACTTGTCGTTCCCGTGAAACCACGGTTCGTCTCCTTCTCGCTCTCTCTGTCCCTCTTCAGCATCCGGCCAAACCGCCCTGGCTCACTTGACTAGGGCAGAGCTCGGCCAACCACCTCATCCGCAAATGGCCGTTCTGTGTGTCAGGGCATTCTGGATGGCGGGAAATTGCAGTCGAATATTCTGGGCCCCGTACCTACTTTCTGGCTGCTGGACCCCCATGAACGTGACATCCCATCTCCAAACCAATTGTCGAGAAATTTCCCGAAGGCTGCATTGCGCAGTGGACAAATGGCGTGGGCGGAGGATCCAGTTTTGCTGTCGTTGGTGTGTGTGTGTGTGTGTGTGTGGGAGGAGGAGGAGGAGGAGGAGGTGAGGTTGTGTGGGTGTGTGAGCGGGTGGTGGTGGGCGGTGGGCTGTGGCATTGAGATGGGATCCTCCTACCTGCCCTGCATCTTGAAGGCGGATAGCACTTCGAGGTGCCTGAGGTGGAAACTGGGGGATGCGGAGGCAGGCAAGCGTCGGACGCAGACGCAACGAGATGTGATGCAGGATCAGCCACGACAAGCCCCGAACCAGTCGCGGCAGGAGCAACTGCCTGCAGCAAAACAGGCAAGACTCGAACGGCACCAGCAAGAGCACCTGCCCCCTCAAAGGTGCAAAGTGTGGGGTAAGGCAACTGGGCCCACCGTGCCTACTGTAGCGTCCTAGGTAGATAGATACCTACCTACCTACATAGGTACCTACATAGGTACCTAGCCAGGCTACCTACCTACCTAGGTTGTGCTCTCTCCAGCCCCACCGGCCGGATTTTCATACTCCATTTTCCCCGTTTGCACCTTCGGCCGGGCATACATAGATACAACGATACAGAGTACTTCACAGGCTCACGCTTCCCGGCCTCACTCTCCCGGCCAAGATCTCGCAACACCGAGGACGACGGCGAGGTGTGCGGGCACGCTTGTTCCTTCCCTTGTTGTTCTAAATAGAGGACCTCTCGTTATCCTTACCGTCTTCCCCCGGTCCACCCCACGTACCTTGTAAACAACCCCGAGCACCTACCTTCTCCTGCAGCCTTCACGTCCGTAAAACCCCCAAACTAAGGCTCGTCAACGTCCGTCAGGCCTATCTAATGATGGGGATTTAACCTCGGCCCTCCAACATGTCAAGCACGTCAAGCTCCATCTGGCGTTGCATCGAAGCCATTCCCAATTCGTCTTTACTCCGAACAATGTCTCCTTTTCGGGCGTCGCCTTTCACCTGACCCCGAGCAGTCCAAGGGACTCTGTATCTCAAAATCGAGTTCTCTAGAGCCCCCCATCGTGTCGTCATCCAAGAGACAGCATGTTGGCGTTGTCCACGGTGGAGAGGTCAAGATAAGGACCACGTCCTTCCGCCTCACGGAGACTTGCACTCCCGAGGCACACAGGCATCCGCTTCGGACGGCGGCTTAAGTCTCGGGCCAACAACCCCGTCCGCTACTCAACTCGGCATGTATCCTCTCACCTCTCAACTCCTCATGGGCGGGAAACGCTTCTCAAAAGATTACGACCCGTACAACCTCGCTGCAACACCACGGCCAAAGGTTCGAGCTCGTAGCATTCTTGAGACCGTAGTTCGTCTTGGCCGAACCACTCGCTCGGAATCCCGAAATGTTTAAACAAACGGACTGCCCGCAGTTGCCGGAAGACGCGCACCCTTGCCGTAGCATCCGCGTCAAGAAGGGCTGCTGTTAGCGGGAGGGCTCACGTCTTTGCGCTGCAATGACCGAGGTGTCGATAACGGTGGACTGCCGTGTCAATATACCCTCTCCAACGCCAAGGCGGCTACGGAACGGCGACGCGATGTAACAGGCAATTGTCTGCATGATCTGCTGGCAGGCTTCCGAAATAGCCTAAGTCAGTACCGCTTCACTTACATATCAAGTGACTAACATCTCTGGTTGTCGCAATATAATGTGCTGAGTCTTGGACGGGGCAAGATCCATCAGGTTGTTTGCCATTAGTCGAGCGATCGGGTGATATTTGTGTCCCTTCTTGAGGCCGGTTCTCATTACGGCTGACCAAGAGTCTTAGAGCCACTCCGTAAAGATGGTCTTGCACCCCGGTTTACCGAGCTTCTTCAATTAGCAAGCTTACAATGCTTCATAAGGCGCCCTGAAAGCCAGTCACTGAATCCCGTCTGCCCATTGTGCTGGGGTATTGACATTGCCTCGTCAGTCATCTCCTCACGGAGCAATCCCATTGTTTCGATCCTAATGTGTGGGACATAAAGCAACTGGTTGGAGACGACGAATATCATTGCGAGACGGTGTCTTTCCGCGCAAATTCCCTGTTGGCTTGGATGTCTATCACTCCCTTGCCCTGGTTCCTTGATGGTTTGTTAAGACCCATCGCTCAGGGCCTGGTATGTTCTTTTGGATAAAGGGAAATGTGATAAAACCAGTCTTTGGGTAGAGAAATTGAATACAATCACCCCCTTTTCCGCCGGTTAAATGCAAAGACCTCTCTGCCGGTCAAGTCTGAGTCGAATTTGGGCCGTATGATAGTCTGGAGGTTCGATCCACATCCCATACCCCTTTCATCTCACCTTGCGCAAGATTCTTGTAGGTGGTGCAATTGTAGTCGCACAAAATATCAAAACCAAGTACAATGTTGTTTAATCAAGGAAAGAGGGAAGAATGTTTGCTCCAGAGAGGTTCTGGCACAAAAGTCCTCATGCCATCTTATAATCTTTGATTAAAAGTGGTCAGTTTTCCAGTGGAGCCACAAAGCACGAAGCAACCCTTCCCATCTTGTCTCTTATGTTTCTGATCCTGATTCATTATCTCTATGGCCCTCTGACGTTGCGGGCTGGGGGTTGGATACGGCGCATACACTACGGTACGTGACATGACGTCTGCCAGTCCTGAGAAGCTGTCAGCTCCTCGTATCGGCTTGAGAATGCTTCGTCAGATGAGAAAGTATACGGTGCCTGGAGGTAACCGTTCCACTTCGTTGGATGTAGTCTGGAGCATATCGCGGGTGGTACCACTCAACCGGAAAGAGTTGACATCCATTACCTCAAACGAGCGGACATCATCTCATAAAAAGGTGAATGCGGCTCGGGCTAGCCTCTGTTGTACCAAGATTACGTTTGGCTCCAGCAAAGTCTTTGTTTTTTCCAAGCCGAACCCCAGAACCAGAGACGAAGATGGTTCGCCAAAGCAACAGAACACTTATCGGTCTGGTCCCGCATGGTCGTCGGTAAACAAGCCAACAGTCTCACACAACCTGAGTTTGAAGACCGGCAGCCATGCTCTCTGAGGTAGTGTATTTCCCCTGACGGTCAGTCCCTACAAGACGCAATCCCGTTGCCCAAAACCCCGATTCCAATCATGTAGTTGCGTCGCCCTCAGCCATGAGGCTCTCCATCCATCGTCATGCATTGTTTTTCATTCCTCAATCATCACTCTCAATGCCAAACCGATGCCTTCCCAAAACCGAATGCTTATAACCCATCCAAACCTTTCCTTTTCCAACCCAAGAAAAGCCTCGACCCGCCCCAAGCCGAATCACAAATTCACCCGTCAACCCTCCAACAGCTTCTCGGCCACCGCACCTCGAAACCGCTCACGGTCTTCTGCACCTCGACGTCGCCCGGGTCCCCCTCGAACAGCGGCTTCTCCATCTTCCTCTCCAGCACCTGCTCCACCAGCAACCCCCTCTCCCTCGCCACGTCGAAGAAGGCGAGGTCCTTGTGCCGCAGCCACGGCCGGTACGACGTGAAGAAGACGTACGCCACGGCGTCCCGCCTCCGCGCCAGCGTGTTCCAGATCGTGTCGACGAGCTTGCCGTGTTCCGAGTGCCTGAAGAGCAGGTCTGCCAGCACCAGCACGTCGAACCTCCTCGCCGACCCCGCCGGCAGCTCGGGGAGCACCTCCAGCAGCGGCGCCACGTCCGCGCCCCAGACGTACCCCCTCGGCACGACGACCCCTCCAGGTCGCCCGCCTCGTCCACGTTCTTCTGCATCGTCTGCACAATGTCCACGTCGGGGAAGTCAGACACCACGACCTTCTTCGCCCCTAGGATCCCCGCCGTCAGCGACGGCAGGCCGGCGCCGGCGCCGAGCTCGAGCACCGTCCGGTCCTTGACGCGGCTGGGGTCCGCCTCAAAGTAGTCCGAGACGACGCGGCTGCCGTTCCAGAGGTGGTGCGCCTCGGTAGGCGAGTAGCCGACGAGGTGGAGGGTGAGAACGCGGCCCGAAGACAGCGTGTGGGTTTGGAAGGTGGGCGGCGGGGTGGGCGGGTAGTAGTCCTCCGGGTCGGCGAAGAGGTCGCCCGTATCGCCGTCGGCGACGTCGCTGACGGGGCTCATTGCTGTTAGGAATGTGGACGTCGGTTGGTGAAGTCTGGCGTTGCGTCTGAGAGAGACGAGGAGGGGTTGATTTTCACCCTTTACGTTGACGAGGGGCAGATGCAAAGGCCGGTCTGAGATGAGTGAGAGTGAGAACACTCTCGACAACCGATATCTCTTTTGGGGGTTCTTCAATGGAGTTTCCCTGGGATCAATTTTCCTGCAGTCGCCTGTCAGAAGCTGGTGAGACTCACGACCTTGAGAGGAATCAACTTACCTGAATGGATGCGGGGTGAGAGAGAAGATGCGTCGCAATTTTTTGCAGTCTTTTTTTGCGATGCTGTGAAGTTGTGGGTACAGTGCTGGGTCGACTCTATCTCTTCAACACTGTGTCAGTGGGCGGCACAAATGCCAACGATGTACAGTGCGGCTGCAGTTCGTGCTGCTACACTTCAACAGCTAACTACGGGTTGCGCGACATGAAATGTCTAAATGGCCATGCTAATGAAGCTTGATTTGATTACCCATAATTCTGAGTGTTTTGATGTTTTCTCTGCTATCTCCTCTGTCTGGTAACTTACCCAAAGACATGTAACAGTTTTACCCCATCCCTATGTTGTGGTGGCCATCTCAAAGCATTCATCGTGTGCTCTTGATCCGCTATTCTCTTAAATCGACATCATTCATCTCTTCTTCTTGTTTCTCTTTCTCGGAGATGTCTGTTATCATTTCTCTTGCCTGTGGTTTTATTCCATGGGTCTCTATAAAACAACAACAAACCACAGATGAGAACACTAGATTGCCTCCAATATCACGTCGACCTCGGAACGTGTGAGGCCCTATTCCAGAGACGTCACGAACCTCAATACGTGAATGTCTAACATACACCCTAGCTCGCCTAGCCCTTTCTCGTCATCCCAGTACCATACGAACTTCATATTGTCGATGTCGAGCTCACCATCCATCCCTTGCTCATTTGCTCTGAATATGCGGAAATACGTAGACGGCAGTGATGACTGCGGATGCTGACATTGGACACTAAACGGAACTGCAACTTTGGGACATCTTGCCCCCACCCCTTCCAAAATACCTTCCAGGACCAGTGAGCTTCTCATGTCAGCTTCCATCAGCTCTCAACCCCCCACAGAGGTCGTGAGAATAAGAATTTACTCAAGCCCTTTTCATAGGCATGTTATCCGTGGACGTCGAGGATAGTCAGACAGCAGTACACTCTGGCTTTCGGACTTTCCAGGTGGTATGTGCTGTTCCGAGACTGCATTCCCAATTCCAACAGAGCTCCCCTTCTCAGCTTCCCTCGACGACAAGCCGAAGAAACACCACAAATCATTCCTAAGGGAACGTTCACACAGGCCCAGGACAACCCTCGAGTGCAAAACCCATCGATTCATACCCCGCTCTAAAAGACCAAATGGACGGCATCCCCCCGCGTATCGTACACAAAGCCAGGCCACACCGCCGCCCTCACCCAAACCGCTGCCTCGCGAGCTCCCGCAGCCCCTTCATGACCCCCTCCTCCCTCTCGCGGTACTCCCGGACCCGCTCCTCCCGCTCCGCCTCCCGCGCCCGCGCAATCTCCTCCCGCCTCACCTCCCTCTCCGTCTTCTTGCGCTCCTCCCGCGCCTTCATCGCCTTGAACTCCTGCAGCGAGTCCCCGCCCCCCATGAGCTCCTGCTCCCCGACCTCCGGCACCCCGCCGTCGGCCCCCCCTTGTCCCGGAACTCCTTCATCTTGTCGTTCACCAGCGCCCTCTTCTCCAGCTGCCGCTCGCGCGTCCCGGCCTCGGCCCGCGGCGCGACGTCGTCCAACCTCTCCCGTTGCAGCTTCCGGTCGTCCTTGCGCTGCATCCGCAGGTCGGCGATCCGCGCCTCCCTCTCGCGCTGCGCCTCCTCGGCCAGCGTCTCGCGGTGAAGAGACAGGTCTGCCATGCTCGGGATCCCGGGGCCGGAGCGTTGACCCCCCTCCCGCGCGGTCGGCGGGAGCCTGGGTCCAAGATCATCGTCATCGTCGTCGTCCTCCTCCCCCTCCTCGTCTTCTTCGGCCCGCCCATCGTCTCCCCTTCCGCGCCTCTCCTCTTTCACCTCCTCGGTGTCGTCGTGCCTCCCTTCATCCCTGGGCCCGTCGATGCCTTCCTCGACGGCCCTCTCCTTGGCCGCCACAAACATCTCGGGGTCATACCACCCCTGGCTCAGCTCCCCGCGGTTCCACTTCCCCACGAAGCTCTTCCACCGGCCCCGGACCTCCCGCTCGTCCATGTCGCGGATGTCCTTCTGCTTCTGCAGGTCAAGGTAATACGCCAGCAACGGCCGGAAGACCCCGAGCTCCGACTTGGACAGCTGCCGCGCCTCGTACGGTAGGGCCTCGACAGCGGCCGCGGTGGCGGTCCTACTGCTCCGGTCCTTGTCTTTGTCGCCGCGGTGGCGATGGTGGTGGTGGTGGTGGTGATGCCGGTGGTGATGTCTGGGCTCCCGATCGCGGTCCTCTCTGCGCGGAGACCGTCTCCGCTCCCGACGCGAGCCGCCGTCGCCGATGGGCGACCTCCGCCTCGTCTCATCCCGATGCCGTCTGGGCGACCGCGACCGGGTGCGGGTCGCGGACCGAGAGCGCGTCCGCCTGTGTCGCCGTTCCTCGTCCCTCCCCCCTAAACCCTCGTCCGCAGGCATGGTGGACGGATGTTCTGTCTAGTATGCCCCTCCAAACTTTTTTTCGACAAGGATGAGACAAACCCCGTCAGATCTGGATTCCGACGTTTCTTCCCTCAGGTCAACGCTGCCGGTGCATCTACCGATACCGTGACACTTGACAGAAACCGCAATCAAGCTTTGTTGCTGGAAAAGCGACAGGCAAATCGCACGTCAGATCTCGGGACTTCGACAAGGGTGCCCCCCTCGGAGTTGCGTGCACCTGCAGAAGAAGATGGTGGTGGGGATGGTTGACGATCGAATTGGTCCGCCCTGTTTGACCACGGTTTCAGCGGCGAGAATCCTACCACGACAGTCAAGCCGATCTGCCGGAATTGACCGAACGCTCCTTGACGCTATGCAAACGAGACGATCAGTCGCGAAAGTGGGAAGAAGACTTGTCAAAGGACGGCAGTATTCAGCGTTTGGCGGGGCACGTGTCGAATGTCGTTTGATGTTGTTGTTCAAAGGAGAAAGCTCGTGCCGCCGCCTCTCAGGCACCAAAAAAAAAAGTTGGAGTCTGGATCTTCAGGTCGGTGCCGCTGCGTGTGGCTGGAACCACCCGGGGCCGGGGGTACCCCAAAATCGGCCCCGGAGGGTGCACACCCTCGGGCCAAACATGCCGAGTTCCCCTCACCTCTTTCGACGACCGGCCCGAGATAACTCATCCAACCCCGGCGTTGGTTAACAGAGACATGTCAGGCTGCCGTTTGCGCCCCCGAGCTTCTACGTTCAGAGGTTCAGTGGCGTGCTTCTCAGTGTGCAAACGACGCGGCGCGGGAAATGGGCTAGGCAAGACCTGTATTTCGGTCATCCAGGGACCGTCAAAATAATATCTATGAGTACTGCGATAGAGCCAGTGTAGGGTATCGTCTTTCAAAACACCGCAGATGCAAGCCCATGGCATGGCAGACCAATGCCAACCTTCCTCTCCCCCCCTAAAAAAACGTTTCCTTTCGTCCATCGTCATCGAACCATGTTCGTGGCTTTAAAACATTTCACACCAAACCTAATTTCGCTCTGCGACTCCGTCCGTCCCTCACAAGCAAACCTCGCATCATGACTCGGGAATCGGCGAAGTGTTGTGTATCGAGCAGCCGAGGCACTGACAGTCGTCGCCGCAGGGGCACGACAACGTCTCGCCGGCGCATCCTTCGCCGCTGAACGGATATGTGACGAAGAAGAAGTCGCTGGCCGATAGCGCCTGCTCTTCGCTCAGCCCAGATGTCGTGTCCGAAGGCGTCTGCGGCGCGGGCGGGGAGCCGCCGGCCTCTCCATTCGTGGGAGTCTCGACCCCACGGGATCCTGTACTGTTGGCTATCACAGCCTCTGAGTGTCCGTTCGTGCCATTCACACCATTCGTCATTCCGTACGAGTCTTCCTGCATGCTGAAGTACGCAGAGCGCACGTAGTCCTGCGTCGCGTCGTTGTAAGGATGCGCTGCGCAGCCCACACACTGACAGCCGTCGCCGCAGCCGCACGTGTGCGACGTTGATTCGGGTATCGTCGGGGTCGTGCCATCCGACGCGAAGAGAGGGTTCGGCGGCATGTTGTACGCCGCGGGCTGCGGCACCGGCTGACCGTACTGCAGCGCCTCCATCGTCTGCTTCCACTGCTCGGGCTGTAGCGGCGACATGAAGGATCCGTATTGCGGCGGGTAGGTGAAGATGGTCGGTTGGAAGTAGGAGTGGTACATGCCCTGCGGCAAGCCGATTGGTGTTTGGAAGGGCGACATGGCGATCGCGCTAGACGGCGACGGCGACATGTGGCCGTTGGACATGTGGTGGTGGCCGTTGGTCACTACGTTAGTATCTATTGTGGGTGGCTTGCTGGAGCAACAGCCGCCCGTCTTGGATTTCGGTTGCGTCTTTGGGCTCGAGCTGACACTGGAGGGCTGTGTAGAGGTTCCTTCAGCCTTGCCTGGTCCGGAACAACATGAGCCTCCTGTGCTGGCGCTTGTGAGTGACGGCGGCGGAGGGGCGGGCTTGACGGCTCCATTCGTCTTGCCAGAGCAGCAGGATCCTCCGTTCGCGGTGACCACGGGCGCGGGAATGGACGCCGGTGTCGGTGCGCTGGTTGTCGAGGAGGCGCCGTTCGTCCGTGGCATCGACATGGTGGCCCCGTGCGGGAACATGGGGCCGGGCATATGCTGTGGGAACATCGGGTACATGATGGGCTGGTGAAAGCCGCCGTTGACGCCGCCCATAATCGGCATGGCACCGTACTCCATCCCCGGCCGCAGTGCGGGCATGCCCGGCATGGTGCCGTTTGCGTGGGGCATGTGGTTCGCTTGCGCCATGTCGTAGGGCGGCAGGATGTTGATGTTGGCGGCATCCATCCTCTCGAGGTTGGCCGGGTCGAACGACTGCTTGCGACTCGCCGACTTGGCAGCCGTCTTCTGGACTCGAAAGGAGGCGGGAGCCTTGGTCGGGGACATTGGCGGGGCATCGCTCGCGGGCGACTCTGCCTTGACGACGCTCGACGACGACTCGGTGGTGGGTGTTCCGGTACTCGACCCGCAGCCGCACTTCTGCTTCCTGGGGATGGCGGCCGTGACACTGCCGCAGCCGCAGCCGCGGGCGGGCGGGTGAGGGCATGTGCTCAGTGGTCGGCCGGGCTTTCGGACGGGGACCATCAAGCGCTCATTCGCGTGGGTGCATTTCGTGGAGCGGTGACCACGGATACATGGCTCACTGAGCGGCGACGGGTGGAAAGGGTCAGCCTCAGGGCCCAGGGGGATGCGGGGTTCGCGAACAATAAGGAGGATACAAAGCGCAGGGCTCTGTGAGAGATGGAGGGGATGTGCGACAAAGGTCGGCAGGGCAAGATGAAGATGCGACGAGAAAAAGGAAATTGTACGACTTACCAGGCCATCTTCTGACCGTTGATGAGCGGCATGGTGGGCTATGGTGGGGGGCGGCCCTCAAGGTCGCGGCGGTAGATGAGGGAGGAAAGAGATTTTGGCGACTATCAAGATTGGAGAGAGCGAAGGGCGAGGCTCAAGAGAAAATGAGAGCTGCTGTGACTTTCGCTCTGGCTGCGACTCCAACAGACCTTGGACCCTGGGAGTGAGCCGCGAGGTGAAACATGGAGGCGGGCGCCAACTCTCGGGATGCAGCAGTCGTCTGTCTGTCTGTCTGTCTTTGACTGGTTCGTCGTCGTCGTCGTCGTCGCCTGTCTCTGTCGGAGCTGGATCTGCGTGGTCTTCTGCGTACGCGGCGGCGGACGGTCGGTGAGTCGGTTCAGTGTGAGTTGAAAGCGACGGTGAGCGGGCGAAGGAGCGAAATAGAAGAGGGGGGGGGCGGATGATCTCGAGGGAAAATGCGGGATGAGAACGCTGGAGATTGGCGAGAAACGAGCGGCGTTTCGAAGAATTGGAGAGGAGTCAGAGTCGCGCGCAAAGGCAAGGCAGGGCAGGTAATGTTAAGGTGAAGAATCAAAACCGCTGGGTCGGCGGAGCGAGTCGAGTCGAGGTACGACTCACGCAGCGGCAGTAGCAGCGGCAGCGGGAGTGTTGGTGGAGGGATGGCGGGAGTAGAGGATGAGGACCACGGCGGTGTTCAAGCGCTGCAGGGTCGGGTCGGACAGGACAAGGAAGGTCAAGTAAGCTCACATGGAAGCTCCCCAACACCACCAGCATCGACAGTTGATTGAGTACAGGGTAGTAGTGTACAGAGTATGGGCAAAGAGGCAAAGGAAACACGGTGGAACACGTAGAAACGGCTTGTGTGGACCGGCTGTGGGTGGACGGACGACGGGGTTCAGCCTGGAAGGTGCAATGTCCACTGAGGGTGGCCCATGTGCTTCAAACACTATGCAAGAGGGAGACAAAGAGAGAGAGAGAGAGAGGACAGCGTTCGTCCATTCACCTCGAGAAAACAGTTACAAGGTCCCTTATTCTCCTGCGTGACTCCCCCAACTCGACAACCCGAGCTTTTAGTTCCTTTGGAGGGGGCGTGGCCCCTAACAGTACTAGTGGGGGGACACGCCCAGCCCAGCCCAGCCCAGCCAACCCAAGTCGGAGAGGCTCGCTCGACAGAGGCAACCAGCGCGGCAAAGAAAACGCACGAGCGTCAGCGCCCAGCGAACGCTCAGTAGCGGCCGGCCGGCGGGACGATGGGCGAGGGAGGATGGCACGGGGGTTGGAAGAGGTGACGAGGGGAGGGGGAGGGACGATGGATGATGGACGCCCTCCAAGGATCCCGGTAGCGCATCGAAACAGCCCCACGTGCGGGGGTTTGCTATGTGCATACATACTCTGTAGTATTGCTGTATTGCTGTACATGCTGGCGCCGTCGAGGAGCGTCTTTCAACTTGCAGATGCTGCGGCGGTCTTGCCGTGGCCTGCGTCTGCGTCTGCGTCTACGTCTCCGTCTCTGCCCCTGCTGTACGGTACCAGAGCACGCACAGGTGAGAGTCGACAGACGTGTGTACTAACTAGTCTACGTATGTGATGAGATGGACGAGAGGTGGGCTGCACACCCTCCCGCCCGAACTCGCCTTGCTACCTACGGGACCAGACACGATACGATATGCCTGTCCGCCAACTACTATGTACCCTTTTCCGGTCATGCTAGCCATAATTCCACCGAGTCCTACTGACTACATGGCCGTGCTTCTTGTCTATCCCGTCTTCCTGTCTGCCTGTACGTGCCTCGCCGTGCATAGCATCAGTCGAACATGAGATGGCCCTTTTTCGTCTCGCCTCCCCTCCTCGGCCCAGCTTCTCGGACGGGGACCTTTGTCTGACCAACCCAACGGCACGTTATTCGGGGGGACGCGGGCAAGGTATACCCCAGGGTCCTTTTGAATGCCCGCCCATGCCACCATGTCGTTCTGCTGCCAAGGTAGAGAGTTGCTGTGTCCTACATCATCCACTAGCCGGCCGGCACTCTCATATAATAAGCCGCCTGCCTACCGCGCCGGCCCTGATCGAGAACCACGACAATGAGGGGCAGAGTTGAACGCTCGGGGCCTCTATTTGCGGCGACGCTATCCCCCCGTGGTGGTTGGTGCCGCCACGAGGCTACAGGAGATGGGGGCAGGCAGAGCCCAGTCAGATAGACGTGAGAGTTGATGTAAGTCAAGATGAAGGGCAGAAGGCCGCTGACGAGCTCCGGCTCTGGGGAAGCAAGCCCCTCCGCGCCGTCTTTTTCTCCCGGGTTACACCATCTAGATATCTAGATGGGATGAGAACGACCATTTTTCTATCGTCCCTTCGGCACCAACACCGACTGCCCTCATTTTCTGTCGTTTGTCATCCTGCGTGAGTGCGTGTGATGGTGTGTCGAGGACCCCCAAAAGAGCATGTAAGCCTCTTCGGCCATATTTCTTCTTTGTGTCGGGTCTGCATCTTGACATGCTTCCCAAAGCTCCACGCCCACTGGCCTGCCCCTCCACTTGCCACCCTCCATCTTGAACGGAACCGTACCCCAGGGTCCCAGCTCTGAGATTTCGTGTGCGACACCACGTACTTACACTACATCCTGTTCGTTGCCGGCCTCTGCCCTGCTGGCCTGGCTGCTCGTCCCGCGAGTCGGTGCCGAATCCACGGCCAGCTACCTAAGCTCAGGCTCCCCCCTCCAGACCGGAGCCAACGTATCACCGGAAGTGTTGGCAGTAAACAAAAGTATTCACTTGCTTGAGAGTTGCCGACTCTTTTGGAACCCCCCCCAATCCCTGAACAACCCGAACTCGTCTTGTAGATACCGTTCCCTATTTTTTCCCTTGTTGGTTGGGTACGCATGGTCCATACCTTTCCGGTCTTGGCCCCTACGGATATCGCGCCAGGTTCGCCTCCTCCACATCCTCCTCCTCCCGCTCACAACAGCATTCCCGGCTGTGTCATTCGACGACGAATTCCCGCGGCTACGCGCCCTGCATCAGGAAATCTGAGCGCGGCCGCGCCGGTGGACAAGGAAAATGGGAGAGAGAGGTGGGCATACACATGAAAGAAAGAAAAGAACGTGGATGGAGGGTGGCAGCGAGCAAGTAAAACTCCACCGTCAGAGGCTCGAGAGGCAAGGGAAGTGAGCAAGTTTTGATTGGCCAGATCCGGCACCAAATTCAACGAGACGGTAGTCGAACGAGAGTTACCACCTTTTTTTTTCATTCCCACCACCACACCCCCCAAGCCCAAGACCACTTCACACTTGACGAAGAATGCGTATCCATGGCTGTGCAGGAATAGCGCTGGCGAGAGGGGGAAAAAAAAGGTCCCAAAAAAGGTGGACACTCCTGAGGTAACTTGGCTCATTGTGCCGACTCTCGTCGGATGTTGACTCGCTGCGTTTCAATGTTGCTCGTTCTACATAGTAGGTCCCCAACTTTTGTTTTCCTCGCCGCAACTCTTGTCGACCGATGGCATGTCTTACTAGACAAGGAAGATAATCGGCCATGAAGAAGCATGTTAACCATGCCGAAATGCCAAACTTACCCCAATAAACTCCATATCCAGGTAAACCCCCCTGACCAGCTCGTTGCTAATGCCGTCATATCTCTTCGTCGGATACAGAGAGGCTTGCCCATTGCCTTGTGCATTACCATGCCACGCCTCCCTGAGCGGCACTCGGCGACCCAATACTGGAAAAGTCGCCCTGCCGTCGTCTGCGGGACGGAAGCCACAACCCTCCACATCTACCCTGTCGTGCCCGTGGTCCAGTCAAGACATATGTGTTTGTAACGCTGGGCATTGGCCAATTCTTCAGATACCCCCAAGTCTTCATTGGGTGAGCAAGATTATCAATCACCCAACGCTGCCGCGCTGCCCCTGGTGTCCCTATGGCCTCCTTTGAGGGGTAACGCCTACTTCCGCCTCGCGCGGCTACTTGCCCTCATCCGAGTCTCCAGAGTCGGCGAACATATCCACCGCTCTCATTCGTTTCCTGGTCTGGGCCTTCGCCTTGGTTGGTAGCTGGAGCTGTCCGATTGTGTGTGTTTCGCCAGCATCCGCATCCTCTGCTACTCCCACCTTACCGGGCTCGGCCGGGGCTGGCTGATTCTTTGCCGTTTCGTTCGCATCCTCCTCCATTGGCTCCCCTTCGACATCGTCGTCTCCCATGGGCTCTCCCTCTACGTCCTCCTCGCTCATTGGCTCACCCATGACATCGTCCTCCTCCATGGGTTCGCCAGCAACGTCTTCTTCGTCCATTGGCTCACCTTCGACATCGTCATCTTTGTCAGCCGACGTCCGCTCTAATGTTTTTTGCTCAGAGGTACTGGCGGTGGCAACATCGGCACTTGGCGTCGAGGTCTCAACCGTCTTCCACCTGCCCTTCTTCGCTGCATCATCTTCCATTTGCTCTTGTGTCTTCATGGAAGGCGGGTTGTCAAAACTGCTGGCAAACAGCTCCTGGCTCTCCGTCGGGGACACGCACCAGCCCTCCCAAAGGCCGAGGACGAGACCGACGCTCCGCTTCCACTTTTCAGCCCGCATTCGGCCCCAATTCAGTCTCTCCGCCATCAGGCCAAGGCCCTCAAAGGTCTTGCGCTCTTTGAGCACCCCTTCAAAGACCTGCCGATATCGCCAAGCGCGCTGTATGCCGCTACTTGAAGAGGCGGACAGTACGTCGCTGACAACGTATAGGCCCACAAGGCTTGCGCCGCTAGTGTCGGGGCCCTCCTTATCGGCTTTCTCTTCCGGCTCGGGCACAGGTAGTTCGGACTCGTCTCCTTGCCTGCCCTTCTCTTTGGTGTTTGACTGAAACTCCGGGTTGGCCGCTGTTAGCGCAAAGGGCTTCTCGACATTCGAGACAATCATGTCGACAACCTCTTCGGCACCTCGACTCGCGTGTGTAAGAGCAAAGGTCGTGACTCGAGCGATGTCCCCTTTTCGAATCTTTGACAACGTGGTGGGCAGGCGAGACAAGAGGTGGGTCAGTTTGGCTTTGTCGAGAGGGTTCAAGAAGGTGGCCTCTGTCTCGGGGCCTTGATTCTGGTTCTCGCGGTTGTCTCCGTCAAAGTCTTCGTCGTCTGAAGAGTTGTACTCTGAGTCGGACACGAATTCGTCAACGTTGGTGACGAACTCGTACGGTAGGCCCTTTTCCGGAGCTTTCCACGCGTGACTACCGTCAAATAGCGGCAAATATCTCCCCTTGTTGCTGCGAGAAGATGCACCTGTAACAATCTCCCATAGTCGCCAACGGTACCATATACCCCCTCGCTACGGGCATCCCAAATCCAAGCCCACTTCTCTTCACGCTGAACCTCAGGGCGGCTCATCAGTAGCGCCTCGAACTCCACGCCATGTTCGAGGACGGACTCAATTGTCTTGTTGATAAGCTGGACCATCTTGACGTCGTTTGGCGGTTTGACTGGTACATGGAGGATGCTGCTTCGGTTGATGGGTCCTCCGAGGGTTGGCCCATAAGAAGTCGGTGGTGCAAAGCCTCGGTGGAAAGCATGTTGCGTCGTCGCATTGCCCGGTGCCGTCTGCTGCGATACGGGTTTGGCGCCGAAAGGCTGGGATCCGGCAGATGTACCACCGAGAGTAGATGCCGTGGCAGTCGCTACAGCTGAGGAGAGATGCCGGTGTAGTGAAAGATTGAAGCCGTAGCCAAGGTAGCGATTTTGAAGCGAGCTGACTGCTGCGTCAATATCCGTTGCTGGAGTGTCCTGCGACAATGTGACGATGGCCACAGCGCATTTCCTCTCCGCGCCAGAGGGTCCCACGGGCGGGAGAATCTTGACATTATCGACCGTCAGGCTCGTTGGGATCAGCGATTTGATGAAGGCGGGTGACGTCCCTGGTGGTAGCTGCGATAGACGTAACGTCGGCCTGGCTACCGCCATCTCCTCTGCTCTCGAGTCCGAGTTTCCTTCGTCCTCATCGTCGCTGTTACTGAAGACCTTTGCAACTGACATGGGTTCCTCCCGCTCCTCGAATCCAAGCCTGCCGTCTCTGTCTTTCTCCTGTCGGAATGCGTCGAACCCTCTCTTCCTTCCAAAGGACCCTGGCGGAGGCCCTAAGCTCCCTGGGCCACTCTTCAAGCTAGGAACGGGACCCAGGCTTCCCGGACCACTCTTCAGAGCGGATGCGCCAAAGTGTCGTTTGGATACTGGGGCCGCGCCCAGCGGCGCGCCGCCAAAGCCAGGGGCCTTCGGAGGGGGTCTTTGTGAAGGCATGGAGCCGAATCGGCCGGTGCTCGCGTTATCTTCATCGTCGTGATCGAAGCTCTTGACAAAGTCTTGGTATACTGCGGCTGTTTCGGCAGCCTCGCGGGCCTTCTTCGCTTCGGCTTCGGCTCTCTGTTTCTCGAAGGCGGATTGCTTGGAGGGTTTTTGGAGCTTCGCCTCGACGTCGGGAAACTCGAGGAGGTCCTTCGCCGACGACATCGCTACCGCTATACTCGCAGGCTATTTTTTCGCATATTCGAGAAGAATCGGGATCGGTTTCTGTCGCGCAATTGTCAACGACAGTTGTGGGGTGGCGTGTAGATGAAGGGTAAAAGATTCGAATGATTCGGGTCTGTAAGTCTGAGGTTGCAGTCCTTCCATCCTGAAGGTCGCGTCCACAGTGCTGGGTGCTGTGCGGCAGCTGTTAGATGTGGGGCGCTTGCACCGTCCTGTGGCTGGGTGCTTGGGGAAAGCCACATAGGTTAACGTCAAAGGGTCGAATGCCAAAAGCACCGTGCAATGCTGTTTTCTACAACAAAACGTTCTCCCGTTTCCGCCGTATATGCAGATTCTGAGCATCTGCTAAAGTTGTCTGAACAGGTTTTCAGAGGCAGGGCATTCCTTACCTTGCCCTGTCCATTAGTCAAAAGTCCACCCTGATGAACCCAAGAAAGAGACATTGAGCGCAACGTGCCACGAAGATCGGTTGATAAAGCAGTGGAGTTGAGAGTATACAATGCTTAGGCCTTTGAATAGACCAGGAGAGAATCTGAATAGCGAACAGAAATTCAATTTGGTGGTTTTCCATGACCTTTGGGTAGCCACGAGAAGGAAGGTCGTCTCTCAGCTAAACAAGGCTAAAACTGGCGACTAGTCCACTATTGCTACATACTCCAGATGCAGAGATGAGCGTCTCACGTACTTTTCCAACCCAGTGTATTTACTTTTTTGCAACACCTGGGTTTTTCTTTCAGGGGTTCAATGCTTGAGGAATCCTTCTTCATGGAACGGAGCAAGCAGCCACCATAGGCTGCTAACATGACGTTGACGGGCGACATGGCCCACTCCCGCGAGGCATACCAAAAGATACGTGCCGTAACAATCTGGTTACATGAGAAAAAACTTCACCTACCAGTAAAGTTCCTTAAGATCTATGATGCGCTCTCGGGTCTAACTAACACTTGGAAAATTGAGCAAAGGACTATGTCAAAAGTCAAAAACATACAACACCAGGTATTCGCTGATCGTCACCGACTCAACTACTAATCCGGCCCTCACTGGCTTATCTATGGGAGAGCGGACGGGATCCCGAGTTTTTTAGTGGGTATGGTCGTATGTGCTAGATTGGAACGTGAAAACTCACTATCTAGGCTTGTTGATGGCCGTTAATGGCGAGGTACACTGGACTCTGTGTTGGAACACTTGAAGTTGAAAACCCAGCTTCTAAAGGCAGTCACTTTCCAGGCCGGTGATACAGATGATGTCGATATGCTTCAGAGACAGGTTTAATCTGTCTAATTACTTCGGCAGAGAGATGGGTCGCTGATTTGATTCGACATATGAACATTCGCCTTTTCTCTCACACACCCTCCCCCCCCATCTTATTCCCCCTTCTTTCTCGCAGAGAATTCGATCGAAAATTCGATCAACTTAAGACTTTAAATCCAGCAATTTGTTTCCCAGACCGAGAATGCCTAGGAAATGTGGGCAAGGCATACATTGAAACGAGATGAAGTCCGCTTTCGTCCAGCTACTTTGGGCAATGCGAATCCAAGTCAGCCTCCTCACATCAGCTCAACACCAAGAAAAAAAAGGGAAAAAACAGAAGAAAAAAAGCACCAAGCCACCAAATAGGCTTCTCAGGGTAACGCCGCAACGGCAGGTGGCTGAATTAAGAATGCGGCCGCCGCCCAGCTACATAGAGATCGAGCCCTCTGGCATCTTGGCAACCATCCGCATCGAGGTTCCCCGCAAGGCTTCCTTTGTCATTCCCATCTCTATTTCCCCGGCTGCTGCACCCCCGGGGGCTCACAGCTGAAGAAGGTGCGTCATAGCCAAGACGCTAAGAAATACTCTCCCCCCAGCCAGATCTCCAATGAACAGTATGGACGGTAGCGCTGGCATCTCGCACGTAGATCTTGCTGGGCTTCACAGCGACGTCCAGGCTGGGATGTGACTGTTTTCAAATCTCAGCTTCAAGCCAGTCTCGCGTCACGTTCCAGTTATTGACAATGTGTTGGCCTAACGGCCTCATTATGTGTTGTCTTGGCTTGTGTACCACTATACTAGATATCGACTGTCCAACATATCAGCCCTCCCTCCCCTTGTGCATATATATCTTGCATTCCTTCCACCCCGGAGGAGGCAAGCAGCATTTAACCCTTCGTTCTCGGACCTCTTGAGAGTTCTTTCATCAACAGCAACATCGGAAGAAAGCCCAGAGTTTCCACATGATGCTTCCTACCTTCTTCCTGGCCCTCTTCAGCGGCATCCTGCTCTCCCCGGCCGGAGCCGAAGAACCACCAACCTTCAAAAACTTGGGTTCCCTGCTATCTCCCGAGACCTCATTCTTCGGCCTACCCATCAACTTCGCTGCCGTTGGCGGAACATGCAGCCCCGGTAATGTAAGATGCAACGACGGCTGCATGCCTAGCGGCAGCAACTGCTGTGCCGTCAGCGGCTATTGCGAAGCCAACGCCTACTGCTCCGGGAGCGGGTGCTGCCCGCGCGGCAAGGTCTGCTCTGGGCCTCCGACGACATGCTCAGACAACCAAGAGCGCTGCGGCGCCAACTGCATGCCTGTGGGAAAGGTGTGTTGCCCGAACAGCAAATACTGCGATGCCGGCAAGGTCTGCACTGCGGACGGCTGCACCAGCTCCAGCGCCAGCGGCCCGTGCGGTGCAGGACAGGTCGCCTGTGGCTCCAAATGTATGCCTTCCGGCAAGGTATGCTGCTCGAATGGAAAATACTGCGATGCTGGAGAAACATGCACCTCGGACGGCCTTTGTTCTAAGACCGGAGTTTGTGGTGTGGGTAAAGCCGTTTGCGGCTCCAAGTGCATGCCGTCCGGTGCAGTGTGCTGCGGAGACGGGAAGTACTGCGACGCTGGGGACATATGCGCGGAAGGTGGCTTGTGCCGCAAGGATGGTAGCAATGACCCGTGTGGCGTAGGAAAGACCGCTTGCGGGACGAAATGCATGCCTCTCGGCGCAGTATGCTGCTCCAGCGGGGGATACTGCGACGCCGGCGAGAAGTGCAATGGAACTGGTTGCTGTCCGTCCGGCAAGGTGTGCTGCTCCAGCGGGGGATACTGCGACGCTGGGGAGACATGCGTCCAAGGTGGAAAATGCCGTCCAAATTGTGCAGGCAAAGCCGTCTGCGGGTCCACGTGTATGCCTCTGGGCGCTGTGTGCTGCTCGGATGGTTGGTATTGTGACGCCGGAGAGACGTGCGTCGGAGACAACAAGTGCCGTAGGGGTGGAGGGGCTACCAGTGCCAGAACGACATCCCAGACTTCGACAACATCGACCAAACCCCAGACCACGACGGAGGCCCAGGAGACAACGCCGAGCCCACCGCTGCCGCTGACCACAGCTGCAGCCTTGACACCGTCGGCGGGCGGGGACACGCTCGCGCCTACGGAAACGGTGACTGACAACTTTGTCTTGGGAACATCGAGTGGTACGGCTCCCATGTCTACGAGAGCGCCGGCTGCGGCACCGCACAGGGAACAGGTTAATCGCGCTGCCTTGGCTGCTGGTTTGTGCGTGGTGGTGCCATTTGTTATCTGATGATACGGGTGGGGGGAAGTCTTGGTGTCTGTAGTTGCTTTTAAGAATCGGATGAGTACGTATGCTGGGGCAGATTAGCAGAACACGCTTTCTGTGAGGGGACATAAGATGTACGTTAGCAAAGGTTAATTCAAGTCTTCTCGACACTGCAAGCGAGGACCTGCTGAAGTGATTCGAATCCGTGATCCATACGATGAGATTCGGGTGCAGGGGGGAAAGTCACAGACTTGAAGATGCCCAAAAAGCAGATTCGTTCTACCTGCATTACCTGACCCAAAAAACCCCAAGAAACACTGAACAATGGATATCTCAGCCATGGACCCTTTTTTACTCTCTCATCATAATCGAGGCAAACTCGTCATCTGGCTCACGTGTCAGCATCATACTCTCATCATAGGGAGACAAAGCCTCCGAGGCGAATCCTTACAGTCAATCGACCCGTCGCCGTCCTTGTCGGCCATCTGAATCATCTCATCAATCTCAGCCGGGGTCATGTTCTCACCCAGCGAGGTTAGGACGTGGCGCAGCTCCTCGGCGGAGATTGTGCCGCTGCCATCACGGTCAAACACCTTGAAAGCGTTCTTGAGTTCTTCCTCGGCATCGCCGACCTGCACCTTCTGTGCCATCAGGTTGAGGAATTCTGTACTGGATGTCAGCACAAACAAGGATGCTGATGAGAATACAGAGATCATCTACCGTTGAAGTCGATGGTCCCGTTGTTGTCGGCGTCGACCTCGTTGACCATGTCGTTGAGCTCCGTGTCGCTGGGGTTGAGGCCCAGGGACCTCATGACGGCGCCCAGCTCCTGGGCGGTAATGTCACCTTCAGAAAGACATGTCAGTTTTCGTAATCGGATGAAAAGTCACGAGCAAAGGTGACAAAAGCTTCAAGAGCAAGATGAGACGGAAATTTCTAAGCCACTCTGCTTCCGCTCCCGCAATAGGGTCGAGGTTCCTGTGTCCAAAAAGGAGGCGAAGCAAAATAAGGGTTCGCGGTAACACAAAACACTGACCGGTCCCATCCTTGTCCTATCTCTTATGTTAGCCAAAAGTTTGACGAGTTGGGGACAGAGGGAAGGTGTAGGTTTGGGCACGCGCCGCCAGCCTGATGGTTGGGGGGAAAAGGGGGGGACAAGGCAGAGAGGGCAGAGGGCGAAAGAGTGAGAACTTACGAAGAGATCAAACACCTCCTTGTATTGCGCCTTTTGCTCCTCAGTCAACCCAGCTGCAGTGGCCTGTCGAGCGCAAGTTAGCCTCAAACTGCCCAGAAAATCGCAAGAGCATTACGATTCTCACCATTTTTTATGTGGTTGTCTCTTTTTTTTGTTGACAGGTTGTTTGTGAAGGAAGTTTTGGTAAGTGAGAGGTGGTTTGGTTTGAGACAGGGAAGACGGCGTGGGACAGCTGAAAGCGGGGATGTGACGATGGCCCCGCACAGTTGTGATAGTACGAACAAGTCATCGAATCGCACGGTCCATTGGAGCGAAGGGAGAGAGAGGGAGGGAGTGGGCTGTCTTGTAATCCAGGTTGCATCGACGTTTCCTTGTTTAGAACCCGCCAACGGTCATTATTAAGTCAGCCTTATAGAGGCCCTGTACTTAGCTTCTTCTGCAGCTCGAGCAACCCCAAAGCTGCGACAGTAGAGGGTTTCCCCTGGCTCTAGACCTAATCGAATTGCTGATTCACTCAAGCAAGCTACCAGGTGACGGACCGGCTATGAACATTCGGTGTATGTATATATATACACATGTATGTATGCCTTCTTCCCGTGGAATATAGGTCATCCACCCATCGTTGCTTGGAATTTATCAATCTTATCGGATCCACGAATAGAAGGTTGCTAAAACCAAAAAGCAAAACGTATCAGGGGCCCAACCGCGATTCGAACGCGGGGCCTCGCCCATTCAAGCTATGCTGAAGGGTGGTTAAACCCGAAGGGCGAATCATACCTCTAGACCATTGGGCCTGATGATGTCGGTTACTAAGACGGTCTTCAACTTGGTCTCAGATAGCCTTGGGCTGTACGTGGACCGGTCAAAGGATCAAACAGAAACACGTTTTGGTCAGAGAACATTGAATAGCGAGACGGGACAATGCCGGGGTATTTGAACCGAAGCAGCGGCCCGGTGCCCTTTTCGCCTTTGACCATCGCGACTTTATTTTGACAAGGATGACGTTGCCCAAATACATTACCTGCCCTGGGGGCATCATCGCAAGTCGTTCACGCGAGATTATCACACATCACCTGCATCAAGATGGCCAAGCCTTCATATACTAGCACCACCCACGCGAGCACCCCATTGCAACACCTAACCCACCGCCTAATATCCTCCCTGCAGAGGCAGGCCAAGCGTCCCTCCCCCTGGACTCGCTCCGACCGATGCCTGGATGCTGTTCTCAATTGCAGACTCGACAGTGCCCCCCACCCGCCGTTGGCATTACAGATCGTCAAAAGGCCACCGGCCAGCCCGCACCCCCGGCAAGGCACCCGCTCTCCCAGGTTGTCCCTCACTCACAGGGGAGGGAAAATGTGGGAGAAAAAACTTACGATGTAGATGCACACCGACTGAGATACCCCGCCAATGTCGGCGAACCAGCAAGTCGACGCGAAGCTACCCCAAGGCCGGGAGACACTACCGACTGTCATTCCCATGGAGGGGGGAAAAGGGAAAAAAAATCTGCCCTCCGATAACGCCCCTGTCACGGTGAGGTTCCCACGCCCGTCACCCCCTCATCGTCGTGTCCCATCCTATCTTGTCCTGCGCATTTTTTAAAAGGTAATGATCCTCTTTTGCCCCTCCGGCTTCGTTCCCAATTATACTTCTCTGTGATCTCCCAATCAAACTCGTTCGATCCACCTCACCGAACCCGTCCGGTCTCCTTCCGCGCGCCGGTCCCCCGCCCCGAACCACACGAAACTCTAGGGACGCAGCCAAAGGAATACACACATCACACACAATGCCCTCCAAACCGACGACGGCGGCGGCGGATACCGCACCCTCCTCGATCCTCATCATCGGCTCCGGCGTCTTCGGCCTCACAACAGCGTACGAGCTCGCGCAGCGCCCGCGCTACGCATCCACGACCATCACCGTCCTCGATCGCTCTCCCATCCCCGGTCCCAGCGAGGACGCCGCCTCCGTCGACTCCTCCCGCATCATCCGCGCGGACTACGCCGACCCGGCCTACGCCCGCCTCGCCGCCGAGGCCCAGACCGAATGGCGCAAGACCGAGAACCCTTCTGACCTCGGCGCCGAGGGCCGCTACAGCCAGTCTGGCCTCTGCCTTGTCGCGGACCCGACCCCGACGGCCGCCTCTTCCTACTCACCGGCCCCCTCGCCCTCCTCGCAAACCGTAAACACTAACGCCCAGGCCAAGCAAAAAGCCAAGAAGACCTCCCTCGAATATGTCCGCGAGAGCTACAACAACGTCGTCTCCCTGGCGGGCAAGGACGGCGACAAGATCATCAAGGAGCTGCCTACCCCCACCGCCATCAAGGACTTCCTCGGCACGCCCATCGCGCCGGGGACATGGGGCTACATCAACCCCCTCGCGGGCTGGGCCGACGCCGGCGCCGCAATGTCTTACCTCGCCGCCAAGGTCCAGGCCCTCAACCGCGTCAACTTTGTGTCCGGCACCGCGACCCGCCTGAACTACGGCCCCGACGGGATAACAGTCACCGGCGCGACGCTCGACAACGGCAGAGTCCTCTCGGCGGACCTCGTCATCGTCGCTGCCGGTGCCTGGACGGGCCAGCTCGTCGACCTCTCCGGGCAGGCCATCGCCACGGGCCAGGCGGTGGGCTACATCGACATCACCCCGTCGGAGCTCGAGGTCCTCCGCAAGATGCCAGTGACCCTCAACTTCAGCACCGGCCTCTTCATGATTCCCCCGGCGGGCCTCCAGCTCAAGGTCGCCCGCCACGCCTTCGGCTACCTGAACCCGACACCAATCCCCCACCCGTCACCCTCGAGCCCGCCCTCTGCCCGGTCCACCGTCTCCCTCCCCGCGACGCACCTCACAGACCCGAAGCTCAAGTTCCCCAAGGAGGGCGAGGCCGCCCTGCGCCAAGCTGTCCGCACCATCGTGCCCATCCCCGCTATCCACGACCGCCCCTTCGTCCACACCCGCCTGTGCTGGTATACAGACACCCAATCTGGTGACTTCCTTGTATGCCACCATCCCGAAGCCAAGAACCTCTTCGTCGCGACGGGCGGCAGCGGCCACGGCTTCAAGTTCCTGCCCGTGCTGGGACGCGAGATCGTCAACGTGCTCGAGGGGCGCGGCGATGAGGTGTTCACCGAGAAATGGCGGTGGAGGGAGGTCAAGAGCAAGGCGGACGTGACTGATTTGTATGAGCACATCATGACCGAGGACGGCAGCAGAGGTGGCATCCCTGGTCTTTTGCTGAAGCAAGAGCAAGCTAAGTTGTAGACCCATAATGTTGATGATGCAAGTATGTAGACATAGACACCGTAGAGCCTTTGTGGCATGTTCTGTAGAGCCTAGCCGCAAAGTGAGTATAATATCGCGGCACACGTAAGTTTTTTGTTCACAGGAACCATTTACGCAGCACCACTCAAAGACAAGACGAGACAGCATTCATGGAAACAGGTTATGGCATTGTGCTAAAAAGTGATGCCTACTCATCAGCTCGCATCAAACCCGCAGATCAAAAGGCAGCAGAGTAAGACTGAGTGATCAGTTCGGCCACCCGAAAGCGAGGTGGCTCGTCAGACCTGTTATCTCATCTCATCACACCCTCGGTTCCTTCCGACCCACTGTCCAGAAGGCAACAATAACTCCATTCCATGTCTCTCGTGCCTGTCATTCCCATTTCCACTTCCCTCAGTTCTTAGACCCCCTATGCATCTAAGTCGCTTCCATTAAAGAACGGCAAAGTCGACCTGCGCATCTGCCGTCGACGATGCCACGAGCAATCTATGTAGTGCTGCGGTATGAGAAATCTTATTCTTTTCGTTTGAATCAACCACCCGACCGGATGCCTCCGGTCCAGGTTTACCTCCTGTGCCAACGCCAATGCAATGCAGCGGAAAAAATCAGAAACACAAGCGAGCGTCGGGTACTACTTGGGTCATGGCCAAGTTGCCAGGTGACGAACACTCGCCCTTTTTTTTTGTATGAAGTGCGAAGAAAAACAGTCGTGGTATCGTGAAGAAAGGGTGTCTAATCGTACAAGTCGGCGATGTTGTGTGCGGTGGTACATCGACCCACGTGGATGATCCATCCTTAGCTTCAGGGTGTTTAGACCTTGCGGAAATCTGCAAACAGTTAGTGGAAAGAACATCACTAGATATGGGAATATGTACTGACCCTGAAGCACAGGGTAGATCATCTCGAAAGCTTGGTAAATCTCCTCGCGGACCTTGGCACCGGTGAGGACAATCTTGCCACTGACAAAGATGAGAAGCACAATCTTCGGCTTGATCATGCGGTAGATAAGACCGGGGAACAGCTCAGGCTCGTAAGAACTGAAGTTGTGATGGCGCGAGGCAAGACCCTCCAAGCGAATGGGGAACTTGATATCGCAAGAGCCAACGATGTTCTGGATCTTGAAGTCCGTGAACTTGGCGTTGAATCCAAGCTTCTGAATAATGCGCGCGTACTTGCGCGACGCAAGCTTCGAGTCGTCCTCGGACTTAGCACCAGTGACGACCATCTTGCCAGAAGCGAAGATCAAAGCGGTGGTCTTGGGCTCGCGGATACGCATGATGACGGCAGCGAAACGCTATGGGCCAGGTATGTCAGCATCGCAGTGATGATAAGACTCAACCGGTAAGTAATACCTTGGGGTTGTACTCTGCGTTTCTCGCGTGCAGGGCAATCGTCTTGAGATCCAAGCGGCAATCGAGGTTGACCGTGGCAACGATGTTCCTTGAGTGGGCGAGATAAGCCTCATTGATCGGAAAAAAGATCACTCATGATATACATACTGCAACGTAGGAGTCAAGCCGCTGCCACCTTGCGTGGCGGCGGGCGTCGCAGCGGGTGTCGCGGGAGTCACCCCGGTACCGTTTGCGACTTGCTGGCCGTTGATAACGGGAGCCTGTCCGTTGACCGGCACCTTATCGCCGTTTGCAGCGGGAGGAAGCTCGTGAGCGCCGCCAGGGAAGGAGAGAGACCCGGGAGCGGTGAAGGCCTTGGCCTGAGCAGCGCTGGTGGGATGGGTTTGAATTGCCTCCATGTTTGCGGTTTATGGGTGACCAAGAGACCGAAGGGACAGAGAGCAGATCTGAAGCCAAGGCGGGTTAGTGATTGAAGATATTGTGATAGCAATGCGGGAGTTTGGTCAATTAGAAATGATGCTCTTCTTGATCCAAGAACCGATATTGAGATATGAAGTGGTTCGTAACGAGACTGCTGGGTGTTGTGTTTTTGGGTGATTCGGACAAGCCCGTTGGGGCGGGGGGTATTTATAGGTTGATGAAGAGGAGCCAATGGGAGTCCACCGCCACAGATTTTAGGCTAGGCAGGAGGAAGGAGGCGATAATGGAGGAAGGTGCGAGGAAAGAATCGCCAGCAACAGCAGCCAGAAAAAAGAATGCGTACCAGATGTGGGAGATGAACAAGTGAATGTCTCCCCTACAATGTCTGCTTGACAGGTAGGTGCGGGAGTATGCGCGGATCTTGCGATGCGACGAGTTTGCGATCGGTGCCGAGCTTACGGGAGCGGCAGGAATGCGATGCAAATGGGTCAAGTGAGGTAGGTCGACGAGAAGGTCGAAGGTGTCGTAGGCGTCGCTTTGATAAAGTCGCGAATGACCCAGATACCACGAATCAACTCGACGTCTCGGGATACCTCGTCACGGTTCAGTGCACTTTGTGTCTCTATTTGTCGACGAAGATGCGCGATGTCTACAGAGGCGCAGCGACTCGTTCTCGACCTGGTTGTCGTCGGAAGGGATCGCGCAAGATGTGTAACGAAGGGATGTCTTGAAAGGAACGTATTCCAGTCCTCTCTTGTTCGTTCAGGGTAAGATGTGCGGGGAGACTTTCAGTTAAGAAGCGATTCCACCTGGTGCCCTGACGGGGATTGACAGGTTCCGTCGTTAGTTTGGGGAAGAGGGTAGAGAAAGATCGACCTCGACGATGGGGAACAAAGTCGCGACAGCGATTTAGTAATCCCGAAAGGTTGCGAGGAGAGGCTGTGACAGCGGGTGCGTGTCGTAGTCTGAATGCGAAGCGATGTTGCGATGATGACGATGCAAGATCGTGATTGGAGATTTGGGGTTGGATTGAGTGGGGGTGGAGAAGGAAAATTAGAAAGGCCGAACGTGAGTGGATGACTACGTAAGGCCGTCGGTCGGAGCTTCCGCGCAAGAATTTCGAAACAAGCGGGTTGGAGGGAGGCCTGCCTCTTTATAATTTTGGCCGTCGCCTGCTTGCGCGGTCGCCCCAACGATGACCCCCTGCCACACCACCCAGGGGCCCCAGGCAGCCAGTGCGCCGTGGCGGTTGGTCCTGCTTGACATTGCCTGTGCTTAGCGGCCGCGCTAAGAGGATGCACCCAATCAAAGGGCGCGAATCTGCTCATTTTATCCCCTTCCTGGCTCCATGTACCTTTGCTGCGACCACCCAGCCCCTGAAGTACCGCGGCATCGCGCCCCAGGTCTCTGTACTTGATCACGAAATCCATTGATTTTTCCAGGTCTCTTTTTTTGCGACAATGCATTCTGGCCAATGCTGGCCATCTCCTTGCCTTCTGTTGCCAGTGGCCCTTTTCCTGGTGTCCTGCTCGCGCCTCTGGACACTTGATTCTTACCGCTGATGCCCTCCCTGATGGGTCCATTTCATCATCATCATCCACCGCCGTCGTTTTTTCCTGTTGCCCCGGAGCCTGCTTTTTGTGCCCTCGGTTTTTTTTTTTTTTCCCACGTCGTTCTCCTTCTTTTTCTCGTTGCCTCTTAGGTGTGATCCGACTCGCTTACTTTCCTGGCCCATCCCTGATAGCCATCACGCTTCGGTCACCTTTCATTGTTCTGTCGGTCACCAACCCAGGCCCTGTTCATCCACTCCGACTGCGATCATCTTGCCCTCGTCGTACTCACTTCGGACCCGCGGCGACAAACTATTTGTTCCCTATTCCTCTCTCACACATACACGCGCATCAACCGGCGGCATCGATGCAACGCTTCGTATCACCTCTCGCCACGTTCAAGCGACGCGTCGGACCAGCAACACCACTGACACCATCGCGAAACCAGCCGAATCTGACAGGAGAATGACGACGGGTAGGCTCCGGAGCCAGTCGCATCAACCAGATCGAATAGCGCGTCTTTCGTTCGCTCCTGGGCACTGTGACGGCTTAGGAGTGCCCTGCCAATCCACTGTCCGCTGCCCATCATCATCATCCAGCCGGGCAATCGGCCGTGGGCCTTGTCGACACCAACCGGACGCCAACCAAATGCAAATCCCACAGGCGGCGCTACCTCGTACGGGATGCCGCTACGACAAACGCTACCCACGTACGCTGCCGACCCATTCCGCCATTCCGCTCGCTTCTGCCTACTTCTCCCAGCTTCAACGCCAGATGCAGCTCGAGCTTCCAGCTCTTTTTTTCTCTTCCCCAGCGCGCCGCGTCAGTCCAGTCCGTCTGGCAGCTGCATCTCACCCACCCACCATAGCTTCCAGCCATTTGGGGTGTTGGTCTGGACTAGTCCTGACTGGGCCCCCCCTCCCATCTCACCCCTTTCTTTTGCTGGCCCCCTCCACCCCCCTTTCTTTCCCTTTCTCACTTTTGCATCCTCCCAGCAACCGAAGGGGGTTTTTTTGCCCTTTTCCAACTCCTCGCTCACCATCCAACCACGCGCTAGCCGTCTGAAACGCTGAGTCTGCCCCCTATTTTGATGGCTCACTGATGATCAGCTCCGACACGCGCTCTGTCAGTGCAGAGCTGCGGCTGCGGCAACATCATCATCATCGCAGCGGACGGCCTCGCCGTCAAATCTGTCAGACAGGTCACCAGACCACGTTGTCGACAGGTCGCCCGGACGCAAAGGTACGACACGACACGGCGCGACGTGGAGACGGAACAAAAAAGAAGGTCATGACCCCTCGACTAACACAACGCGAAAACGGCACATTTTTTTCATGGCGCTTGCACTGCTTCCGGGCATCTGCGGCCTTGTGGCAGGAATTTTATGGGCCGTCGCAGCTACCAGACGGCTTGCGACGTGTGAGTCATTGACTCCAGACCGGTTCCAATCGGCCAGTGCCAGCCATGGCAGGGGGAGGGGGATCGAAAAAGCATTGAAAAGGCTGGGCCGCGGTGCGTGTTTGTCGCTCCTCGCTCGCCTCCCCTCCCCAGCCAGAGGGTTCGCGCGTACCCAGTACGCGAGCCTTGCCACGCCGCGTTCCATCTGTCTGTGGCAGCCTCTGGGAACCCCCGAACTCTCGCCCGAGAAAACTCTGTCGACATCCACAAAGGCCCTCTGACCCCGATATAATTCCGTGAGTTCACTCCTACCCGGGATCATTAGGCCTCTCTTTCTCCTCCAGCTCGACGCGCTCGATTTGTTCCGTTTGATGTCAGCCGAACGACGTTTTGGCGTTGCTTCGCCGCTCCGACAGAAGAAAGGGCACCTGCAGCTTTTTTTGCAGATGCAAATTTTACTGTAATCTTACGGCAGGTATCGGGTACCAGGGCCCTCGCGAGACCGGGGCAGTGGCCCGTGCTCCAGGAAGTACCTCTGGATACCCTCCGATGTCGAGGTACTTCCCCAGGGTTTCGGCTTTGCCTGCGCGACTCATGCATGTGCGAGCCTCCAACCTGAGGCCAAGCCCTGGATTCATTGCTGCGAGGCGGCGCGGGCTTGCTTGTTTGCTGCGTGCTTGCTTCCCGTACACAGTTTGAAGGCCGCATCTCGGCCTTGTGGCCCTGCCAGAGCTCCATCTCCGCTGCGACTCATGCAACTTCAAACATGGGAGCCCGACAGCCTCGTCGGAGTGGCTCACCCTCGCTCACGACATGGACTTGGCTTTATTTCAGAGTCACGTCAAGTTTTTCTCTCCCCCCTTCCCATCGTTGCTTTCCTCAAACTTTGCTGCCCATCGCGCCGCGGGATGAGCTTTGGGCAGCGGCCTTTGCAATGTCCGAAGAAACGAAGAAGAAAAAAACCCTAAGCAGTTGCGCGAGTCGATGTGCTGGCACGCGACGTGCGAGCCCTCGTAAAATACAACAAAAGGTGCATGTGTTTGATCTGGCACCGTCGTCCAACAAACACACTCCCCAGCCACTGTGGACGGTGGTAAACACATGGCTACCTTAGGCTCGCATTCTTCAATCTTGCACTGTGTCCCGTTCCAGCCTCGCCCAACGCATGGAGTCCAAACCCAACAGTGTCTCGCAATCGCACCCTCGCGTCTCCGATGTCGTCCCCCCCATCGCCCCCCGAGTCGGGGTCTGCATCCGATTGGGAGGGCCGATGAAGGGTACTTATTGCCGCCGCATTGTCATGTCGACTCATTGCCGTCGATTCAATGCCGTCGCTCGCCCCCCTCCCTTCACATCCCGTCCCTTCCCATCATGCCCGACTATCACAAGCTGAACGACGTCGCCGCAGTCAGGACCCCTTGACTTCGGCCGTCTTCCAGAATTCTTCTGCTCATGCGCGCCTCCTATAGAGTCGGAGTGTCGAGGCTTTTCGTCCGATATGCAGTCGAGGGAACGTGTGTCGTCATCGTAGCCTCTCGTTGTAAGGGTATCGCTACCATTGCCCGGGAGCACATAAACATGGGGCTAACCCGTTTGCACTGCCGCGCAACGTAGCCAGCGCCTCGAGTAATTCGCTTTATTGCCTTTTTTTGCGCCCTTCGTACCAGTACACGTGCTACCCCGGGAAAACATGGGAGGGGGGGCTTTTGGACATATTCCGGGCCTCTGGGTGTTCCAAGCATATTCCATTCTTCTCCACTTTGCTTGCCGCATTCTGCCTTTGAGCCTCCTCCTTTGGGCCCATCGTATAAATATCCCACGGTTCTTTTTCCGCGCTGGTCTGATGACAAACGCCCTGGACGTCTATCGCAAACAGATGACAGAAGATGGATGAATCCCCCCTCCACTCCCAGCGCTAAGCCCCCTTCCCCCTCCAAGCTTGAGCTTGGTTCCCCCTCCCGAGGTCCTGCTAGAGGCGAGACTCCCCTCATGACATGTAGTACTTGGGACCCTCGCCGCCCTGGGGCACCTGCCAGTTGATGTCCTGGTGCGGCGCCTTGATGTCGCACGTCTTGCAGTGGATGCAGCTGTTACGAGTTAGTTAGTCAAACCGCTCAACATTCGCAGGTGTCACTCGTTGCCATGCAGCGCCCGAATAAAGGGCCGCGGGGAAAAGTAGGGGTGCGGTAAAAAAATACTTTGCAACTCACTTTTGCGCGTTGATCTGGAACCGCACACCGAGGTCCTTGGTGTCGTCTTCGACGTACTCGTACACGCCCGCCGGGCAGAAGCGGTTCTCGAGACCCTTGAACTTGGGCCACGTCTCGGCCGCGTGCTTCTCCCAGTCCTTGACCTGCAGGTGCACCGGCTGGTCCTCCTCGTGGTTCGTGCCGGTGCGGCTGACGCTCGTGAGGATGTCGAACGAGATCTTGCCGTCGGGCTTCTCGTACTCGATCTTGGGGTACTGGTCGGCGGGCTTCGTGGCCGCGTGGTCCGGCGTCTTGTGCTTCAGCGTCCAGGGGACGCGGCCCTTGAGGACGTACGCCTCGAGCCCGGAGTAGGCGATGCCGCCGTACAGGCCCAGCGGCGTATGGAACGAGGGGCGGAAGTTGCGCACCTCCTTGAGCTCCTTCCAGATGGGCGACTCGCGGAGCTTGTCTTCGTAGTCGTACAGGAACACCGTGCCCTGGCCCTCGCCTTCGCCGGCGGCCTCGGACGACAGCGCCGTGAAGGCGGCCTCGGCGGCGAGCATGCCCGACTTCATGGCGTTGTGCGTGCCCTTGATCTTGGGCAGGTTGACGAAGCCGGCCGAGTCGCCAATGAGCGCGCCGCCGGGGAACGCGCACTTGGGGATCGACTGGAAGCCTCCCTCGATGAGGGCGCGCGCGCCGTACGTCAGGCACTTGCCGCCCTCGAGGACCTCCTTGTACATGGGGTGGTGCTTCATCTTCTGGAACTCGCCGTAGGGCGAGACCCAGGGGTTCTCGTAGTCGAGGGCGACGACCAAGCCAATGCTGACGAGGTTGTCGCCAAAGTGGTACATCCAGCCGCCGCCGTAGAGGTCCTTGGAGAGCGGGTAGCCCATGGAGTGCGTGATGGAGCCCTTTTGGAACTTTTCGGGCTGCACCTCCCACACCTCCTTGATGCCGAGCGCGTACGTCTGGTGCTGGCTGTCGCGGCGCAGGTCGAACTTCTTGATGACCTGCTTGCTTAAGCTGCCGTGGCATCCCTCAGCGAAGAGCGTGCAGCGCGCATGGAACGCCATGCCGCGCTCAAACGTTTCCTTGGGCTTGCCGTCGCGGCCGACGCCGAGGTCGTTGGTCGCCACACCCTTGACGCTGCCGTCGACCTCGTTGTAGAGCACCTCGGAGGCGGCGAAGCCCGGGTACACCTCGACGCCGAGCTCCTCGGCGCGGTCGCCAAGCCACTTTGTGAACTGGTTCAGCGAGACAATGTAGTTGCCATCATTGTGCATCTGCGGGGGGTCGGGAGCGGGATCGACGACGTCTTGGTGAGGAAGCGCATGCGGTCGCCGCCGGCTGGGGTGGCGTACTCGAAGCGGTCCGGGTTGTCCTCGGACAGCCAGTCCGGGATGAGCTCGTTAATGGCGGTGGGCTGGATGACCGCGCCCGAGAGGATGTGGGCGCCCATCTCGCCAGCCTTTTCGAGGAGGAGGACGCGGAAGTCTTCGTTGCCGGCCTCGTTGGCGAGCTGCTTTAGCCGGATCGCGGCGCTGAGTCCGGCGGGGCCTGCGCGAAAAGACCGTTGTTAGTTCGAAGCTCGGAAACTTGCAAGAAGAAAAAATCAAGAAGAAAAGGTCCGTACCGCCGCCTACAATGACAACATCGACCTCGTCCGATTCGCGCTCAATAGTCGCCGGGTCGAAGTTCTCGTCGTCGTCGCTACGCCGTGTCCGGGTCGTCGTGAATGCGCGCGCACCCAACGGCCTGAAGACTGTGACGGCGGGTGAGCCCCGTGTCGAAGGTAACCTGCTTGCGGCAGCTCTAGAAGTGGTTGCGGCGCCGGTTCTGGAGGTAGTGGCGAGGCCGGCCTGCGTGGGCCTTGTAGGGCGAAACCGACATCTCGAGAGGTTGCGCGTGCTGCGTTGCAAGTTCCTCGCGAGGGGTGAAGCTGAGGTGCTCATGTTGACCGTGAAGATGATTGTGTGATCGCGTGTCGTTTCGACAGGTCTTCTTCTCCCTTCGAGGACGGAACTACCGCAAAGGAAGCGTCCAAGTCTGCGTGGCGGATTCACCTCAATCCCTTGTTGCCGCTTTGGATGCGGAAGTCGAGAAGCTAGTGACGCAGGCGCAATTGGACTTGCTCTCCGCTGCCGTCCGGCACTTTGGTAGTTCGTCAATTGGAGAGGAGTGGTAAGTTGGTTTGGGTGGGACTCTGTGAAGAAAAGACGGCGGATACTTTAAGCAAGGGACTTGGGGTTCCTGACGAGAGCTCCTCCTCGTCGTCTTCAGTACTCTAATACGTAATGCGAGCGAGGGGTGGACAGAATGCTGGTGACTCTCGTTCTCCAAGCTCGGGCCCTGGTTTCGCGAATTGATGATAGCCGAGAGAAACCGGTCGCACTGGCGGGAACTCGTGCGATACCTGCGTGACGCAGCCGACTCAGGCCAGAACTGGAGGTAGAGGCTTGGTATCCTTGAAAGCTCTTTTTGCAGCTGAAAGGTACCTCCGTACCAGCTACCGGGAGAAGCCGAGTCACTCGACGGCAGCAGAGAGTAACCGTCGAGACCAGAAAGCTAGAAAGACTTTAACGATTGGGGCATTCGACCGCAAACAGCCAATCACCTTGTCCAAATTTCAAATGCCCACTGGGTCTCTCCGATGTCGTCTCGGCACCAACTGTCAAGGAGCCGTCGGCGTAGCGTGGCATTTGGCCGATCATCCCTTCGCTTCAGCGCTGGCAGATGTCATTGAACAGGACAAAAAAAAAAGGAAAATTCTTGTTATTGCTTATTAGATTCGTGTGTTTGTATTTTCTACTGGTGACCCATTCATAAGTCTGAATGGTGCTGTTGTTTTACACATGCACCACGTTCAAGTCGCCTCTAACTCTGAAGGGTCCGGGTAGGCGCTGCTGTCTTGGGCGTGGCAGGGTGGCTGGGCGGCACATCTTCCTCCTTGGTGCCCCAATCGCCCTCCTTTGAGCCCACTGTGAGCTCCAACACTCCGCCATGGTAGAAGAACTCGTGCGAGATCCAGTTCTTCGTGTAAGGCTTTCCGTCCAGGGTGGCACTCTGGATGTAAATGCCGTCCGCTAGCTCCTTGTCATCCCTTGCGACCTTTCGGATAACAGCGGGCTTAGCCCCTCTCGACTTAAGCCGTACCTCGGGAAAGAAGGGTGGGATGAGGAGGTACACGTCTTGCCCCGCGACGGGGAAGAATCCCATCATTGCAAGCGCGCTGAAAGCACCCATGGCGCAGTCGTCGTTGCCGGGGATGCCGTTGATCGTAGCGTTGAACTGCGACGGGATGTAGCTCCGCGTAGTGCGGGAGCTGAGGCCGGGTCTACCCGCGTAGTGGAACTGGAATACCGTGAGGAAGGCTTGTTCGTTGCCCATGTAGACGATGTTGCCACTGTGGTAGTACTCAAGCCTGCCGACGAACGCTTCCCGGCCGCCCATGAGCTTGATCAGCGTCGCCATATCCTGTGGTGCAAAGAAGGAGTATAACCAAGAGGAGCCCTCGTACGTTGCTTGCGCCGTGTCGAAGTAGCATAAATGCTGCTCCGTGTTGGGCGAGCATATGCGTGTGTTCTGGTACGTGAAAGAACCGTTCATCAACTTCGGCATCAAGAACCCCGTAAAGCCTGTTCTCTCAACCTCCTTGCTGTTCTTGTCTTGGATAACGTCTTGCTGATCTGGGTTCCAGAGGTTTTGCCAGTTGGCGCTGCGCTGCATGTACTTCACAAAGTCCTCGTTGTGACCGAGTCCTTGCGCCATCTCGGCGATGCAGAAGTCGTCGTAGGCATACTCGACAGTGCGAGAGACGGAACGGCTGTGCGGGCCCGTCGAGACTTTGTCCATGTGGTCTTGAGCAATGTACCCTAGCCCAAACCAGCTTTCAAGGTTGCCGCGGCCTTCAACGCCAAAGTGCTGCGGCGCAACTGCATGCTTGTCAGAGAGTCGTCCCGGCTAGTTGTGCCAACCACATACCTTCAGCATCAGAGACAACAGCCTCGTATGCCGTCTTCCAGTCCACGCCGTTGGTGATGTTCTTTAGGTAGGCGTCCGCAATCACGATATCGGCATTGGAGCCTCCCTGACTGAAACCCTTGCAAAAGGACATTCGGCAATCTGGAAGCTTGCCAACGAACCTGTAGATATCCAACAAAGCACGAACCATTTGCGTTTGTGCCTCCGGATCTACAATGGTAAGTAGTGGGTGTTGGGCCCGGAAGGAATCCCAGATACAGTAGAACGAGTCAAAGTACGGCTCGGATGACTCCCACAGAGGGTTTTCGCCCGTATAATTCTGCGGCGAGAGCAAACTCCTGTAAAGACCGGACCAGAAAGTGGTCTTCATTTCTTCGCTCACGCCTGTAGTATCAAGTTCCACCACGGAGAGCTTCTCGCTCCAAGCTGACTGCGCGGCACGCACAGTACCTTTGAAATCGAATTTGGGGATCTCGTTCTCGGCATTCTGACAAGCCTTGTCGACGGAAACAAAGGAGAGGCCAACTCGGGCGAGAATCTGATTGTTCTTGGGTCTCTCGAAGTGCAACCACGCGCCGGCGGCACCGGTAGGGTTATGAATCCCTCGGACGAACTCTGACAGATGTTTCTGGTCCTCGCGGGGATTCTCGCCCTCGAAAACACCAGACTTGCGAATGGTGGCCCCTCGGAAGTCAGCGCAGAAAAACGCCTTATAGTTGCCTTGGCCAAAAGAGGGTCTAAACGTGCCATCTCCAATAACACGGCCCGATTCATAAACCTGGATCCCTCCGCTGGTTCTGCTCTGGGCAATGTCTGTGAGATCAATAAGGATCAGAGGGCTGCTCACTGCATCAATGGTGTCATGATTGACTGCGTCCGCATACGATACTGTTTCGTCGGGTGAGAAGTTGAAGCGATACAAAGCCGTATGCTCACTGGCCGTCATCTCAGCACGAACGGTATTTGTGAGGTCAACGGAGAAGTAGCCAGGACGAGCCACGACGGAATCGTTGACACGGAGGAGGCTTCTTTGCTCCGTCGTATATTTGCATTCCAAGTAGTCATCGTTGATGCAGCCAGGATGAACAAAGAGCGGAAAGTTGCCCAGAGATGGGGACTAAACGAGTGTCAGCAAAGCATACGGCGGCATCCTATACGATCGGGGCATCTCACGCCTCCGGTCCCTGCGTATATCAGTTGGATAATGTCTAATGTCGAGAAAGAAACGACTCACCGGAATCATGCAGATGAGAGAAGCCGGTTATTTTCGATGTGTCGGAGACCCAGCCCGCAGCGTTTTCGGCTCGTGAATTGGTGTCTGCACAAGCCTTGGCCATCCCTAACGGTGTCAACACAAGACGGCCCCAGGGAATAAATACAAGAACACAAACCATATGGCAGTGATGCACCGGGGAAAACATGGCCTGGAATAGTCAGCTAGCTATTTTATGCACATCTCGAATTTCGACTGACCTCCGTTGACAGTCCCAATCAGGGGGTCAACATATTTCAGAATGGTGTGCTGGCCTTTCAAATCCGACTCGGAATAGAAAAGACCGTAAGACCCTGGATAAGGCCACCAAATAAAGAGACACACGAAGACAACAGCGAAGACCAACAGCCGCACAGGTCGAGACAGACTGAAAGCAGGGATGAGGGCTCCCATCTCGGGCTTGCGGTTGACAAGGGGTCGGTCGAGAAGCGCGAAGAGTCACCCAACTGCTTGTCAGAATAGGAAAGGGACGAGACAGCCTGGAAAGACTAGTCTTCAAGATGCCACCAGGGCTGGAGAATGAGCAGCTTGCGTGAAATGATACCAGTGCTTATCCTGTCATGTGTGGTTTTCTTAGACGGAATCTAGTAACGTTAGAAGAACATAATCGAAAAGTGGCTGGCTGGAGCACTGCGTACTAGACCTGATCTGACAGCAAAACATGCAGAGTTATGACAACTGGTAATGAGGAGGAACCCCCGGGTGTGTCAGTGGAATATTTGAGGAGGCGACAAGGTGTGCCGTCGGCCTGGCGTAGTTGAATGTGTTCGTTTGGATGATGTCGGTTGGCGGCCGATCCGGGTCGGGTTGTGTGGTCCAACCTCAGCTGAAGTCAGACAGCTCGTGCTTGGCTCCGTCCAGTATCCAAGGCAGGTTCATGTAGCAAGAGCAAACGCAAAAGATGGGATTTGAAGTACCGCGAAGTTCAAGCTTCAAGACACTTGCCGTGGAAGGGTACCTGGCAGGACACGTGTGCGGATATATAAAGGGCAAGCGCTCGCTGCCAGAAAGTCCCCAGAACGATAGGATGCATGAAGACTCGAGGGAAACAAGGGTTCGCTTTCGCCTCCTGAAATTTGTCTCGGTTCGGGGGGCCACCAGCCCAGGAACGGTTACCACCTTGGCGCCATTGGGTGATTGGTCTCCATTAGGAAACGGCCTGGGTGCCACCGAATATATGAGCTGGTGGCCCTTTGCTCAGAGATACATATTCGGCGCGTATTCAGCAGCGGCCTTTCGGCTCCAGGTTCCCATTACGGCTAATATCAGGACGATTTCTACAACACATCCACAGAAGCAACGCGATGCGAAATAGAGTAGGTGGCATGACAGCCTAGCAAGGCATCGGGAACTAGCAGCGGCTGGCCTACTGCTACCTACCCTGTTATGCTTGTTTGCCCTGCCAGTATTAAGGTTAAAAGTTAGTGCAACTCGCTCCTGTTTGCTAATCATCCCTAACAGCACCAACATAATCCCGGATAATGGCCGGGCATTGTTACCTTCTCCAATTCTTCAACCCCTCACCCACCCCCTTCTAGCTGTCTCGTGTGCATCACTGTCTATCTCATCTTCCCCCAAAACGCCGGTGTTCTCTCCGGACATTCTGCAAGCCCACAAAAATAGTCCGATGTTCTGTAACGGCCACGTCCAGTCATGGCCGGAATCTAAGCCGTTAGGACCTGGGAACTGCAAAGCTGGTCATACATCTCATCTCGACTTGGCTCTACTTTCCAGCGGAAAGTCCAAGCGGAACGAGTTCGCTTCGTCTACTCGAGAAAGACAGCATGGTCGCTAGGTTTTCAACCTGCCTGGGAACAGGCTACTGATGGAACGTAGCAACGGACGGCTTCTTGAACACAAACTTTCAGCACACTCTCGGTCGAACTTTTTTTTCTTCTTTTCTTTTTTCTTCTTCTTCTTCACCCCCTCTACAGGTTGGTGGATCTCCTCCACCCATCCAAATCGATGCATGCCTCATTGGGGGACTCGCCAACACAATGCACGTCGCCGAGTGGCTGCCGTTGCCGTTATTTAGCTTGAGATCCAAAGCCAACTGCATAAAGGCGGAGAATCCTTGCCTCTGATTCCCCCGTCATCAGGCTTCTTCCAAGTGCCTTGTTCCATTACTCGGCTTCAGCTTGCTTCCCTGGCAACTTATTCGGGGACAGACCCTGTCTGTCAAGCGTCTTCAGGGTCCCCATCACGTTTGAGAGCAGCCCAACTGCCGCTTCTTCTTGAAGCTTGTGAACATGCTCAAACAAATCTCGTGGCCTAAGCTTTGGACTCAATGCTTGTCGCGTGGGGATCACCCCGATGCTAAAACGTCGTCGTGGCCCTTGACTTGCATTTTCTGCGCGTTGAGTGCTCGCTTACCCGGCGTCTCTTTTGTCTTCTCCCATCTGTCTCTCTCCTCATCCCCCACTTTGGTGCTGCCGGCGCGGTGTGCACTAACAAGTAGAACGACATCATATCCTCCTGCAATACGACGGCATCACTGTTAGTCTCCATATACAACGTTTCCTCCCCCGCATCTTGATCGGTTCCCCCGCTCATCTTCCAAGGTCACGCGAACTGCAGTTCATCCTGATCAGAGGAACATGATCGCTGGCACTGAACCCCCTCTCCGGCCCTTTTAAACCATGCCCTCGCCGCTGAGGGCCAGGCATTGCGACGTCCTGCGGTCGTGAACGCACCTCTTTGGAAATATAGAGTCGAAGTCAACATGGCGGTTCTGTATAGCCTCGCCTTTGTCGGTTTGGCGGCAGCAGCTCTTAAACCCAATTGTCCTCACTTCACCGACTATGCGGCCACTCCTCATGAGCCCTTCTCTGAGGGTGTCCACAAGCTCTCGTATCAACGTCCCGCGCCAGAATGTCGGACGGCTAGTTTCCCCGAGGTTGAGATGACCATCTCCGAGATGAAGACGCTCGTAAAAGACCCGGACCTGTCCCGCCTTTTCGAGAATACCTTCCCAAACACCCTTGATACCACTATAGCTTGGACAGGATTCGCCGATGAGAATTCGGATGAGGAGCTTAGCTTCATCATCACCGGTGACATCAATGCCGAGTGGCTTAGGGACAGCAGCAACCAGCTGCAAAGTTACCGGTCCTTGCTCAAACGCAACTCGTCGGAAGGATCTCTTGCCGCGCTCTACCGCGGGGCAATCAACCTCCAGGCTCGTTATGTCCGCTTCGCACCTCATTGCAATGCCTTCCAACCACCAGAGGAATCCGATGTAGCCCCTACGAACAATGATGCCGGTGGCGGCTCTGACCACATATTCCCGGCCTACCCGACGTACTCATTCTTCGAGTGCAAGTATGTTATTCACCCCTCCCCATAAATCCATACAATATCTAACCACACCAGGTACGAGTTGGACTCTTTGGCCGCGTTCCTCCAGCTCTCCCACGACTACCACGCCGCCACCGCCGACAAGGAGTTCTTCGCCCGCTTCAACTGGTCCAAGGCCATCGCTGTCCTTCTCAACACGACAGACGCCCTGCGCGCAGGCACGTACGCCGCCGACGGCACTCTCAACCCGTCGCCCGCCATCTTCGAGCGCAAGTCTACCTCGGCCTCAGAGACGCTCTCCAACAACGGCAACGGCGCGCCCACGCAGGGAGATACGGGCATGGTACGCAGCTTCTTCCGCCCCAGCGACGACAGCTGCATCTACCAGCTCTTCGTGCCCGCCAACATGATGTTCGCGCGGTACCTCAACTCGTGCGCCGAGATTATGGACGACATCGACACGAGCCTCGCGGGGCGCATGCGCGACTCGGCAAAGGCCGTCCGCGAGGGCATCGAGGCCCACGGCAAGACGACGCATCCCAAGTTTGGCGAGATCTACTCTTACGAAGTGGACGGCTTCGGCAGCCACAACATCATGGTTCGTGCGAAACCCGTCTTCTCTTGACATGAGGAACCCCCGCCTGGCTAACCCCAACGACGCAGGACGATGCAAACATCCCATCTCTCCTCTCCGCCCCGCACTACGGCTACCTCTCTGCCCAGGACCCAATCTACCAAAACACCCGCCGCTTCGTCCTCTCCACCTCGAACCCCTACCAGATGCGCGGGCCCGTCCTCAATGCCACGGGCGGCCCGCACGTCGGACCCGGCAACGCCTGGCCCATGGCCCTCATCGCGCAGCTCATGACCTCGGACGACGACGACGAGATCGTGAGCGGCCTGCGCCAGCTCGTCAGCTCCACGAATCAGCTTGGCCTGATCCATGAGTCTGTGAACAGCCACGATGCCTCCAAGTGGACTCGGTCTTGGTAAGCCGAAGGGATCTCCCGAGCGCCGAAGCGTACGAGGTTGCTAATTGTTTGTCGTGGTGCAGGTTCGCGTGGGCCAATGGGCTTTTTGGGCAAATGATGCTGGACCTCAGGGAGAGGAAGCCGCACCTCCTTGAGAGGAGCTACCAGTAAAGAGGTCGAACGCACGCCGGAGACAGGATGGAGTCATTAACTGTACAATCCTCCTTCCCCACCAGTCCAGCAATATGGGTGTATGCGCCTTTAAAGATGTCCATGGGCCAAACAAATTGGTTTGTATGCTGTCGAATTTCTCCGGTTATTTGTAAAGTAGCCACATTCGTGTAGATAATTTGGGCACATGTGAAGCTGGCAGCTCTCCAGTCTTGCAAAATTTACACTAGGATGATCGAGGTGCCGAGAAATCATAGGAGTAGGAACACAGCCAACATGACGGCAGGCTCATCTGGTGAGTCTGTAAATGAGGTGGCACAAGTCAAGGAAATATAAATTTACATTTAAATATCAGTGTTCTGCTCTAATCTTACGTCATAATATCATTACTGTTCTCTGCGTCTCTGCCGCTCGAGCAGCACGTCCTTTTAGCTGAGGTCGAACCCAGCTCCAGAAGAAACGGCGTAAAGCAGCTTTTTCCTCAGCGTCTCCTGGTCCCTGTAACGCGGCAGCTTGAGCAGGTTCACGCAGGTACTGGTGCTCGGCAATCTCTCCTGGTCCTCGCCTCCATCTCGAATGCTAAACCGCGGACTCAGTTGCGAGAATCCCAAGAGGGGCGCTCGCGGAGTGCTCGTCACGTACTTGAGCACGTCTCGCCGCTCCCGATCTGAAAAGTTGGCCATAACCTTCCAGAACAGCTGCACCGTCGGATGCTCCAGTCCGTCGTCTCCCACTTCGTACAGGCCCGAGTAAATCGTATTTCTCCGGAGGTCTTCGATATCGATTTCGGAGCTGTCTCCGCCCACGAGACGCTGCAGCTCATTCTGGTTGAACATGGAAAGCCATGACGGGGCGATGATGGAGCGGAGACCCCGAAGGAACGCGGCTGTTTGCTGGGCAGGTTGGGCTACGAGGCGGTGGCGGGCAACGTAGGATATGTAGAGGAGCCGGTTATCGTTCGTGACCGTGATGTTCTCACCGTTAGGGATCAAGTTCCGAGTAACAGTACGCACAGGCTCCCCGGGCAGCGAGACTTGGTCGTTAATCGTGAAATCCAGTGCGAGATCCGCCACGTTTTCGTTGTAGTTCTTCAAACGCAACATCCCCTGATAGAGTTCCTCGTCCAGATCTCGCAAATCGTTGACGTTACCGCGGTAGCTGTTCTCTCCGGTTTGTCCTGAGATCCATTTCAGAAGGAAGAAGCCAGCAAATGCAATGTCGACGAGGATTCCTTCATACATGCATTTGCCAACGATTCGACCGAGGAACTCGAATCGCCGAAGTAAATCTTGCACCTGGTCTTGCCACTCTGGAGTGCGCTCGGGAACTCCAGCTCGTCTCAAAGCTTCTCTGAGCTCATCCATTGCTGTTGGGTTGGGGTACAGGAGGCCTTGGCTGTTGGCCGTAAACAGAGAGATGCCGTCCATCTGCCCAAAGGCCTCTGTTGTGACGCTCGTCAGGAATTCTTTTGTGACACCACCGCCATCAATGCCAGCTTCCACTGTATCGAACTGGTCGACGAACTGGATCTGTATGGGTTCCTTGAGGCCTTCCCCTAGCTCGTAAAACTGTTCAAATGCGTCTCGGAAGACCTGGCCTCTCCTGATTTTGCCATGGTGTCGCCCGGCCGGACCCCTACCAGGAGAGCGCAGGGGGTTATGAAGCATGGTCATTCTCCATTGGTCGGCATCCATGCCTTCCCTGCGCTTGTGCTTGTCAAGGTAGACGAATTGTCTAAAGATCTGGACACGGGTGTCAAACGGAATGACAAACGGCATGTGTCTCAAAATCTCTAGCTTTGGCCCGATGACGGCCAGTAGACGATCACGTTGTGCCTTGCGTTGCTGAGACCGAAGCTTTTCAATTTGAGCGTGTCGAGAAACACGTTGTCCGGCCATGGTGTGAATAATGCCGTCATGCAATCCACCCATATTCGCATCTTCATCAACTTCGCCATCTTCCTCATCGCTCGAATCGGACACCTCATTTTGTCGCTCTTGCTCGGCCACAACAGCACTGACAAAACCCTCCATGTCGAATTTTGAGGTCATGAGCCAATGATCTTGAGGCAAAAATGGACGTCGAGAATCCCGCTCGTACAGAAGTCGCAAGGCCGTTGTGACGATGCTGCGAAGACTACCGAGATCAAGCCTGGTATCGGCCGCGTTCGCTCTGGACCCCTGGTTCCGAGTCTCTTTCGATGACTTTGCGGCATTGCTACTTCCGAAGTACGACTCAAGCTGGCTCATCGATATCGGCTCAGATTGCTGGACGCCCTGTAAGATATCGGCAGCATTGTAATGAAGTGTGAAAGCCAGATGCTTGAGCACAATTGTAAGGTTCTTCACCTCAGCGAGAGAAAGCCCGCATGACCGCAACCGGGACATTTGTCCTTCACTCTGCATAATGCCGGGGTGGATGCTGCTAAAAAAGTCCTCGTCGTCACTCAGACGCAAGATGAAGATGTAGAGTTCGAGGAATAATAGAACTAGCCTCCATTCCGGTTCCTGAGAGTCATTTGACTTTGAGGACTTTGAGAGATAGTTCCGTAACAAGCCAGTGGCTGAGGCTGAGTCCTGTAGTATTTGCTTGTAGATGCTGGTTTGGCTCATGGCTTGCCATAGAAACTTGATCGTTGGCAAGCTGCCTGTGCTCGATCTGACGTCTCCGAGGAAGAGACGCATGCGGATATCATCGCCTTGGCTGGGGAAACATCGGAGAAGGGTGAGAATATAGCCAGAGAGCAAACTCGCGGTCTGGAACTCGTGACTTGATGACCGAGAGCCAAAGTGACTACATGGTGTTAGCAACGTACCTCAATACGGAAGAGAATTGCACTCACGTGGTGAGCTCGGCCAGTAGCGCGGAGATACCATCTCTGTCGACTAGTGATGTGAGCTGCTGGGTGGCATAACGAGGTAGTGGCCGAATCAAGGTTTCTTCTGTACTGTTGGAGTCTGCGTTTGGTGAGGTGGAGTCTGCTGATTTTACAGAGAGTCTCAGACTGATCTCTGCGGATAAGCTCGAGAGTTGAATGTGCAGTGCGTCCAGATGCTTCAGCCCTTGATATTTGGTGCCCGTCTTTTGGTGTAAGCCGATAAAATGTGCCAGAAGCCAAACTTGACCGTCCCGACCAACACCGTGTATCCGACCATTGCTGTACGCCGTGGTGATTGCCGATGCAAGGTTGTCCGAGTCAAGGTTCTGAGAGATTGTCTCGGCGTGCTCCTCAACCAGACATAGATTATGACGAGTCAGGAACGACAGGGCGAATGCCTCATAGGCTGCCAACAAGTATTCGTCCGCGGATGTGGCTCGCAGAGGCACAAGAACAGCCCTTGACGTAGTCTCCAACGCCGCCGCGCCCGCGCCCAATAGTCCACATAGTTCTGCCAAGACCGTGTAGTATTGTCGGAACGACGTCGCTAATGACTCGGGGGCGACGTTTACGATATGCGTGAGGAGGTCCACGAGGAGTTGGGTATCGTCGGTTTCTTGTCTGGAAGAGCTGTCAGTCAATATCAATCACGGCCGGATAGATAAATACGAACTTTTTCTTTGTTTGGATATCCAGAGCCTCCACAAGTATCCTCACGAATCGTGCCAGTCGAGGAGGAGCAAGGCGGCCGGGGGCGAGGCAATCCAGGTTGGTCGTCGTCAGCTCCCGGGAAAACCGAACGAGGCGTTCAAGGTCCTTATCATTTTTGGACTGGAAGGTGGTTAACAGCAGTGGTAAGGCCGTTGATAGCCTCTGCTGTATACTCAAGTCTGAGCTGCTCTTGTACAGAGCGTCGAAGGCATCGCGACGGGAGTCTCGAAGTCGCCTTCTGACCCGGTGACCCCTCCACGTCTTCTGGATCTTGCCTGCCGCCTTCAGCCTATCTCGGTCCTGTTGCCTCTGAGCGCGTTCGGCTTGGGCATTGGAGACGGTTTTCGAAGCTCCTGAGCCAGCGGCAGGAGTCCATGACGAGGCGGCGAATGGGTTGAGGTTCTGGCCGCTAAGATTCACGTTCCGGGGGCGTCGGGAGTTGCCTGTAAAGGTGGGAAACATGTTTCCTTGGGAACAAAGTGTTCTGAAAGAATAAGCGCGGGTGACAGGATTATTTCATGTCAAGCAGATGCCGCAGCTCAACAATGTGTAAGTGGCTGCGAGGGTGAAGGATGTCGCGAACGCGGTTGACTTCCAGAAGCTTCAGCACGTTCGGACGGGCGTATGTAATCCAACTGTCACTGCAGTGGAGGGGGATTCACAGGCTTGAACACATTGGTTGGTGGGGTTTGGCTTCTGGAGGTGAGCAGGGTGAGTGAGGTAAGCTGGAGCTGGCCCCGGCTTGATGTTGTGGAAGGTTCCGACGCACGGGACAGGCACAGGCTAGGTACGAGGTACCTATGTAGAGGTGGTGCTGCCGGGGAAGGTACGTACCATGAGAGGCAGATAAGGCAACGGGTTAGCTCCGATAAGGCAAACCGGGGAAATGAACACACAAATGGACGTTGAGACCTAATTCCAGGCGGTTGACCATAATAACGATAACGGCTTGGTGCTTTGAAGATGGCGCGTAGGCGACTTTGACAACAAGCTTTAGGGCGATTCAAGCAGTTCTAGTCTAGAACTTTTATTCAGGGTCCTCCACTGTACGGACAGAGCAGGATGACCAAAAGTAAATGTTGACTGCGTTTCGTCACGAGGACTTGGCTGACTCGGAATGCCGTCTCTTTACTCGTGCAAGTGTCGGTGTAGAAACCCAGCAGAAAGATTCCGTACATTCACCTCTGCCCGCTGAGTGCAGGAGCGTGTCGTCCAGTATCTACGAAGCGATGCCTGCATTCCTTTCCTTCAAGGACATGTCATAGTATCAGGCGCAAATGACAGATTGTTTCAACAAGCCGCAACGCGAGCTGTTGTTACAGTTGCACGTTTGCTTTCGACACTTGCGTCACTGTCATTGGTCTGGGTCCTGCCTGGGGTCGGCTGTTCTTTTTAGTCAGGGCACCAAGCATCCGCCAGGGGAATATGGGCCGCGGTTACCAGACATCATAGTCATAGCCTCCAGAAATACGCATGGTTGCATTCCACCGACAGGCTGGTTTGAACCCTCAGGTCATGTCTAAGGCGGCAGCTAACGACATGACGGTGGTGCTGGTGCTGCTTCCGGGGCATATGTGGCACAGACAAGCGTTCTTTTGGTATTCAAGATTGCAGCAGCCATGCCTCGAATTCCGCCCTTGCTTTGTGTCTTCTTGTTGGAAATGAGCAATGCCACTGACGTTGTCCTGTCGCACAGGGCAGAATTGGGCTGGACGACAATCTTATCTTGTGACGGTTCGTGGACTGGCCTCCACTGCGCGCTCTCTCTCCCTCTCTTTCCCTCCCTATGTCTCGCTCCCGCGCGCCCGCTCTCCATGTGCAGGTAATGTCTCTGTGCCCGTTAGAAACTGCCCGTCCGGCTGGGGTCTGGTTGCTTCTCCTCGCGGTTCTGTTTCTCTTCTTTTTGCAGTCTCTAGCAGGCAGGGTTCACTCTTGACAACCGTTGCGGTCGCATAGAATCACAATTTTCATTCCTAACGATAGTGTCCCCACCGGGTACCTCAACGTCTCGTATCGGCAAAGCCGCGGGCAGCTGAACGATATCTGTTATCTATGGTCTCTCGTCGCAAGAAGTGATAGCGGTCGCATGACCGTGACTTGCTTCTGGTGTACCCACTCTGCTGGCCCATGCCCTGCTTCTGCTGGCTGCCCCTCGACAAAATCTGGAAGGCGGGAAAGGAGGGGGGCAGCGACGAAGAGAGCCAGCCAAAAAATCCGTTGGTGGGAAGGCTCGTCGCACCGCACCGCACTACCCACCCTCCACTGCAGGTGGCAGATCCAGTAAAAAAAAAAATCATCTCCGAAAGCCACATTCATTGAAATTCTCTCTCTCCTCCTCTTCTTCTTTTCTCCTCTACCAACCACACAAACCCTATCAACAACCCCCTTCACATCTAAAGAGGGTCTGACAAGGAGTACGTCTTTCGTACTTGTTCTCTGTCTCGCTCACTTTTTTCCATCAGAAAAAAACTTCCAAAAAAAACTTGAAAATCCCCCATCAAAAATTTCCCACTTCCATATCGGAATCCCCCCTCCTCAATCGCAAGAAAATATACCACAAGAGGACTCGCTCACCGAACCTCTTTTTCTTGCTTTTACCTCAGCACCTGCCTGTCAATCTTGCAACAAGTGCCCCCTCGTGTGTGTCGGTCAAACGTCACACATCGCCATAACCTCACTCGACAAGAAAGGCTCGTCTTCGCCTCGTCCTACCCTTATCCCCCCCTCCTCCTCCTCCACGCCGACCGGTCCCGTCGAACGACCGATCGTCAGATTTCTTGACTTGGTATGTGCGTTTTCTCTCTTCTTCCCCCTCACCTCTGTCAATCTTGATCCGACTTGTGCGGCTCGCGGCCTCCTTACCCCGCCTTCGAGCTCCCTCAACCTCATCCTCAATCAATCGGTCTTTTCTAACCAGTGCTGGCGGTCGCAGTATCCTTTCCCCGTGTCAAATCCAACACCGATATAATGGCCACCGCTACCAACAACGGCGCTGTCGACCAGCTCGCCAACGACCTGAGCAACGCCTCTCTCAACGGCGCTGACTCCAAGAACGCTCCCGCCATCAACACCAACGTTGAGTCTGGCGCCCAGGCCGACAATGCCGACACCGCTGGCCCTACCCCCAGCTCGGCTGCCCCCCATCCCCAGGCCTCTGCCTCTCTCTACGTCGGCGAGCTCGACCCCTCCGTCACCGAGGCCATGCTCTTCGAGCTGTTCTCCCAGATTGGCTCCGTCGCTTCCATTCGTGTCTGCCGTGATGCGGTTACCCGCCGCTCGCTCGGCTACGCGTACGTGAACTACAACACCACCTCCGATGGTGAGAAGGCTCTCGAGGAGCTCAACTACACTCTCATCAAGGGCCGCCCCTGCCGCATCATGTGGTCTCAGCGTGACCCCGCCCTCCGCAAGACCGGCCAGGGTAACGTCTTCATCAAGAACCTCGACGTCGCCATCGACAACAAGGCTCTGCACGACACCTTTGCTGCTTTCGGCAACATCCTGAGCTGCAAGGTCGCTCAGGACGAGAACGGCAACTCCAAGGGCTACGGATTCGTCCACTACGAGACTGACGAGGCTGCTTCTCAGGCCATCAAGCACGTTAACGGCATGCTGCTCAACGAGAAGAAGGTCTACGTCGGTCACCACATCCCCAAGAAGGACCGCCAGAGCAAGTTCGAGGAGATGAAGGCCAACTTCACCAACATCTACGTCAAGAACATCCCCAACGAGGTTACTGACGATGAGTTCCGCGATCTCTTTACCGCCTTCGGTGATGTCACCTCTTCCTCGCTCGCCCGCGACCAGGAGGGCAAGAGCCGCGGCTTCGGTTTCGTCAACTTCACCACCCACGAGGCCGCCGCCAAGGCTGTTGACGACCTCAACGGCAAGGACTTCCGCGGACAGGACCTGTACGTTGGCCGGGCCCAGAAGAAGCACGAGCGCGAGGAGGAATTGCGCAAGTCTTACGAAGCTGCTCGCATGGAGAAGGCCAACAAGTACCAGGGCGTCAACCTGTACATCAAGAACCTTGACGACGAGGTTGACGATGAGAAGCTCCGCCAGCTTTTCGCCGACTTCGGCCCATCACCTCCGCCAAGGTCATGCGCGACAACGCTACCGACTCCGGCAACGAGGACGAGGGTTCCTCCGAGGAGAAGGAGAAGGAGCCCAAGAATGAGGAGGAAGAGGAGAAGACCGAGGAGGCGAAGTCCGACGACAAGGAGGATGCCGACAAGAAGTCGGACAAGAAGTCGGACAAGAAGCCCCACGGTAAGAGCAAGGGCTTCGGCTTCGTCTGCTTCAGCAACCCCGACGATGCCACGAAGGCTGTCGCCGAGATGAACCAGCGCATGGTTAACGGCAAGCCCCTCTACGTCGCCCTTGCCCAGCGGAAGGACGTTCGCAAGAGCCAGCTCGAGGCTAGCATCCAGGCTCGCAACCAGCTCCGCATGCAACAGGCCGCCGCCGCCGCCGGTATGCCCCAGCAGTACATGCAGCCCCCTGTCTTCTACGCCGCCGGCCAGCAGCCCGTCTTCCCCCAGGGTGGTCGCGGTATGGCTTTCCCCCAGCCCGGTATGGCCATGCCTGCTGTTCAGGGCGGCCGCCCCGGTCAGTTCCCTGGCGGCTACCCCCAGCAGGGCGGACGTGGTGGTCTTCCCCAGCAGATGCCCCCCGTCTACGGCATCCCCGGCCAGTTCCCTCCCGGCGCTCCCTACCCCCAGCCCGGCAACCCCCAGTTCCTCGCTGCTATCCAGCAGGTTCAGCAGGCTACCATGGGCGGCGGCCGCGGCGGTCCCCAGGGCGGTCGTGGCCCCGTTCCCCAGGGTATGCCCATGCCCGGTCCCGGTATGCCTGGCTTCCCTCCCAACGCCCGCCAGGGCGGCAACCAGCCCGGCGCCGGTCGCGGTGCCAACCCCAACGCTCCTCGCAACGCCCCCTTCCCCCAGGGTGGACGCGGAGCTCCCGCCCAGGACCTCAACAGCGGCAGCCTCATCCAGCAGCAGCTCGCTGCCGCCGGTGGCAACCCCGGCCAGCAGAAGCAGATTCTCGGTGAGGTTATCTTCCCCAAGATCCAGGCCATCCAGCCCGAGCTCGCCGGCAAGATCACCGGTATGCTCCTCGAGATGGACAATGCTGAGCTTGTCAACCTGTAAGTCATCGCTATCCCCAAACTTCGTCAAACTCCCACTAACAGCTTCCAGTATCGAGGATGAGGCTGCTCTCAAGGCCAAGGTCGACGAGGCCCTTGGCGTCTACGAAGAGTACATCAAGGCCCAGGGTGGCGAGGAGGGCGAGAAGAAGGCCGAGGAGACCAAGGCTTAAGCCATCTCTTCGACTATCACGCAACGTCATGAGCATGATTTCCTTATGTCATCATACCCCTTGTTATCGGGCATCCTTTCGACCAGTGAGCATACGACGACGCTCATGAGGTCATTGCTCAACACGGATTGGGAAAAGTTATTTGGAATGAGGCGGCATAATCGACTGCATTTTTAACGCCAAAGGGATCTCCACGACATGCTTTGTCACGTTGACAGATCATTGCAGCATCTGTCTTCGAACATCCCCAAGGCCTGCATGTATGGATAAAGACTTCTTTACTGCCTCGTGGGCAGGGAGAGTGGCGGTTTCCCTGCGGGCGGCCCCCTATTCTCTTTCTGCCGGGAGGGCTCGTTGGGATGCGTCGTTTGCTGCCCCGCAGTATGGTTCTCCAGGAAGGCGTTTTACGGTTGTATGTTTGAGTCGCGCGAGTTGCCTGGCTTCGCTTGCTTGCGATGGCACCAATACCCCCACACAGAACGGTACTCGTTTCTTCAGGCAAACAGGCAGATGGTGGTTATGAGGGAGAGCGGGTGGGGAAGTATCTCCTAATAGAAAGTTCATAAGTAACTTCTGTGTCTTTGCTGTTGTGATGTGTGATGTTCCGTCTCGAATGCATGATTGATACCCGTTCCCGCCACCCGTCCAAGATGTCTAACTGGACCCCGTTTTAACATGCGACTAGGTAGTCATAGTTTGGCACGGCTATCATATCCTGTTCATTCCTCTCACCTTGATTTGGATGCCCAACCTGAGAGAAGCCTCCGCGTTTATCTCATTCATGGCGGACAACTATTCATGACCTATGATGCTTGCAACCATCTGTCAGCAGAAATACAATGGCTGACCTACGTGGGGATTGAGTCATCCATGGCCGGGTTCTGTGCCCCCAGAATCCAGAAATTGATTTGACGGGTGATGTGTCTTCTCGTCTTGTCGATGGGATTTGAAGATGAAGACACCGCAGGCTCGCTTGCCTCGGTGAACCGGCTACCGTTGCAGTTTGTCATGAGAGTCATGTATTGGCCTAGAGCTATGCCGAAGGTATCTGGGGCCAGAAGGGATGGTCTCGCCGGGTGGTGCCTTTCGAAACTCTCTAGAGTCCAACAAGGGCTGGCGTTTGGTCGTGGATGTGTTCGAGGCCTCTACAGGGATGCAGGGGAAAGGCTGACGGTTTCGGGTGTCAGCTTGAGATGACGCTTCGGAAAGCTGTGGTCACAGGTTGCCAAAGATAGAGGAGGTTTTGGACTCGAAGAAGCTTGCACTTTGTAAGCAATGTGTTCTGCAGAGATCCAGTACTAGGGCTACATCGGATCGTGGTTCAGGACAGGGGTTGATGCCGCACGGAGAGATGGGAAGTATAGCTGTGGTCTTCCTGGTGATTCGGGATGGCGCCCGAACAGACTGTGAAGGCAAACGGGCGTAGAACGGCCAAGTACGGTGCTTGTACACACATGGCTTAGGCCTTATTGGAACAGCTTACTTACCTTTTCATGCTCTCGCCTCATTACTAGCACTGTATTCCTGGTTATGTTCATTACAAGAACAATGGAGCTTCCGATATGTAAGAGTCGGCTTCAACAACTTTCTTGATTTTTTTAGCCAACTGGCAGACAAGGTCCTCCTTCCCCATATGGAGCTTCCTCCTTTTCGGGTTTGAACTACACCCAGCAAGTATACGAGAGGTAGTGTCGACTTGGTGATGTCGACTCTTTCGCAAAACGTGATGGTACACATTGAACGTCCGTCACTGCTTCCCTTTATTCTCTGCAGACATAGATTACGGAAGCTGAAGCTGGTTCTGTCCAGTTCAGGCGCGCTATACAGGCGTCACAGCTTGGCAGCCTCTGTTCAGAACAGTTCCTTTTCAACATGCGGCATAATCCCAGCGACCTTCACTTCCAACCATCGCTCGCGCGTGTTTGCTATGCTAGCCAACGTAATACGCAACAAAGGCAACGAATATTGAGCGACGATGAACAAAGTCATCTAGTGAACATGAACAATACTGCACAGGGGTTTTGCTTATACTGCTCTCTTCCTTTATCAGTACACATAGACCCATGTGGTGGACAACTTTTCTGGGGGACTTAGCTGCCCCATCGAAAGAATAGCAATTAATATTATACAGATAGGCTACCGATGGACAATAACGACTCCTTCTGCATCTCCCGAAGGGTAGCATACAGATGCTATGCAATCCAAGAGTGCGGAGTTCATGGCTACTTCAAGCAGTTCAAAATATTGACGTATGGAAACCACAGTTGCGGGCACACCGGTAAGAGGGCCCCAAGCGGTCTCCGCTACCATATTGTTTCCTGGCAAGGCCATTAATGACAGGTCAGTCCGGCAGCACCTAGGAGCGTCCCAGCTGGTCGGGTGCGTCTCAACGAGAGACGTGGTCATATGATGTTTCAAAATAGACTCAATACCTTGGTTGGTTTGATCAAGAGGCAACGAAAAACACCACTCTGCGGCACCTACATGTCACTGAGTCTCGGTGTTTGGTAATATGGCCACTTGCTGTACCATTTCATCCAAGAAACATTAGGAACGCCTTCTGGGGTCTCCCTCAAATTGGATTTTGAATGGGCCATCCCAAGTCCAGACCCCGCCTTCACTCCTTCGACGGACCATTCATCGCGTCGCCGATCAACACAACGAACCAAGCCCTCCCATCTCTTCAGCCACGCCTTCTTTCCTTCCTCGTCGGGGTATTAGACCTTGAATAAACCAAAGACGGTACAGAGAGCCAGTGACAACCGAGAAATGTCCAAACTTGACCCCTGACCAGCCTGGCTGGCTTCTCGAACCCGACGGCGTTACCCCATACCCTTGCGGCCACAACCCAACGTTTTCGATGCCACCCGGTCCTGGCTGGTTCAACCCGAGGAGAGGCCGCAGGTGGCCATATTTATATACGAAACGGGAGACGGCATAAATCACGTGAAGGTGGGCGGCCGCAATTATGCGGGCGACCTATCTGCCAACTACTCTTCCATGCGTAAGGTCCTCTCGACGCATCGGAACTTCCGTTGTCGTAGCAGGTTGGGAAGAGAGCGAGCGAGTGAGTTCTCTCGTGGTGCACTCGTTCAAAATGAGAAACGTCCGACCAAGTTCGCAAGCCCGTCGAATCTGTGCCAGCATCCCGCGACAAAATATACTCTTTTAACAACAAATGCATCGTGGGAGAATCTTCCCTCACCACGTCTCTCAGTTCTAGAAAGACTGTCCCCTCCTACCTACATCCCACACGAACCAAAACCAGCAGACCAAAGTCATCAGCCTACCCCTTACCCACCCCGCATCAGATCATAGAGGGGCGTCTTCTCGGTCGGCAATGCCTTTCCCAAGACCTGCAAGCCACACACAGGTTGTGACGACCTCGCGGGTCCCATCGAGAGCGCCCCCGCCCACTCCAGCTCTCATCAACGTCTGGCCGGTAAGCCTTGCTGCTGGTCAGCCACCCGGACCGGCGTCACGGAACCTCGCATCGTCTTTCCTCTCCCGCCAGTCAAGCCCTTCCTTTACGTCCGCTAGCTAGATTACCCCCGAAGAGAAGTATAGAAACCCGACCCAATAGAAAACGACCCGGATAGGCACAGCAACAACCAAAATCCTGCTGTAGGGCTCTCGCCTGTTGGCGGCTTATAGAGGCAGGAGGTATCAGCCATAAGTTTGTCCCTCAACTCCAACTTGTCTCACGGTTACCCAGGTCGTCGCTAAAGCCAACAATGCTTGGTGTTGGGTGCCTGGGCGTGAACTAGGCGGACGTCAAAAACCACCTCGTAGACACAACAACAAAACAGCAGCGTTACAATCGTGTCACCGAGCCTATTGCGCCACGAGACGAGAGTTATCTGAATGATGTTCCCATTCCGCGATTCCATGTCCCTACGTACAAAAGCCTTTCCTTACAAGAGTCTCCAGTGTATACCAAAATACGCCATAGTTCAAACGCCTGACCCAACCCGATTGAGAAAAAAATAAACGCAAATCCTTCTCTCTCTCTCTCGCCGAAAGCCGACGACAGAGGGTAGCGCCTCCAAAGACACCCCCACAATCTATCAGCCGTGTACGCCGGCATCCGTCAGTTGTCTCCTATACAGGCCTTGATTTCCATCCAATACATGAAGCTTCTCCATGATCCCGTCCCCAACTCCGATGAAAATGCGCGCAAGACATTGATGTCTCTTTCGGTGCTTAGTCAATGTCTATCCGGTTTAGCAAAAACGCCGCGAGTGTTTTCCTTCAAGGGCCCAAGTACGCCACGGCAGTGTACAAGGGCAAGAAACAGTAAGGAGATGCGACCTCAAAGGAACACCGCGGTCGGAACAGTGTCCAACCCGTGGCCTCCCTAAACCGTACGGCCATATGTCCGCTCCTCGATGAGACGGCGGTTGTTCCCTACGTTTCCGTACAGCATCTCCATCAACTTGCCCTTCTGCCGCGTGCGCACGCCCTCGAGGTATCCACCAACGTCTTCGAGCCCGCGGATCTGGTCGTCAAGAGTCAAGGTGCTCGAGTTGACGGACCTGACCAGTGGGCTGACAAGCTTGCGCCGCAAGTTCTCAAGATTGGCCTTGAGCGCCATGAGTTTGCCGTTGTGCTCAACAAGGATGCTCTTGTTCCGCACAGTCTTCTCCCTCACATTCTGCAGTAGCAGGCGATTCCGCTCGTATTTGGCCACTTCGGCAGCGTTGGCACCCAAGATGCGCGTCCAGAGCGATGACAGCAAATCGGCGTGCATGTCATCTTGCGCGGAGGCCTCGCGGACGACGGTGCGGGCAAGGTTAAGGAACTGATGGTCAATCGCCTCAAACAGGGCGAACAAGGCGAGAGAGTGCTGCAGTTCAGAGTTAATGGCGTCCTCGAGCACATTGAGGAACTCGTTGAACGTGCGCTGGAGGGTGAGGCGGGTGCGCTGCGGGTTCGACATGCCGAAGATGTACCTCGAGAGAGAGCCGAGGCGAGTCGGGGTGCCGAAGCCATCTTCAAGGACGCCGGCTTCGGAGAGTAGGTTGTGGATATTGTCAAAGGCGGCGGTGAACGGAGACGACGGAAGGTGCTGAACTTGAGAGAGCTCTCTACGGGCCCAGTCCATGACGATAAGGATGCTAAAGCGGGCGTCAGAATGAGAAGATTTATGAGCGAATGACTTCGGCTTACCCATCAATGTCACCGTCGACATTTGCAAAGAACTTGGTCAACTCAACAGCCAGAGTCTTGAGGCTGTCGCTGAGATCATCGAGCTCTTTCACGATAATGGGCGCAGAGGTCATATTGCTGGAGCGCACACTCTCACCGAGATCCCAAACAGCGACGCCCGTGGCCTGTAGATCGCCTACCTGCGATGCGCCGTTCTCGGAGAAGTAGATGAGCGGCTCGAATGAGCGCGCGATGCCCGCGACCTTGACCAGATCGGGGACTGGCTGTTGCGCCGCGGGCTGGAAGAGGTTGCGCGTCGCGGTGACGGCGAGGACGGCGACGAGGATGGACAGGATCGTGGACGACCACGAGTGAGTTAGGAAGCGCCATTTTGAGCGGAAGAAGTGGACGAGCGCTTCGATTGGTTCTGTGCGCTGCTGAACTTCGGCGCGCAATGCGAATCTGATGTCTATGGACGATATCAGTCTCGCATCCTCTGACAGCAATCACACATAAAACGAAGAGAGGGTTCGCGCTCGAGGCAAAGAGGGGGGCATACAGTTGTCTTGATTCAACGTGCCCTCCGACGGACTCGTCTCCTTCCATGGGATATCCTCCAGCTTAATCGTCGCATTCTCCATCTTGGGCTCGGGGCTCGGCGACCGGCCCTTATCGGGACTCATGCTTCCCGTTGGTAACCTCGTGCGCATGGCCCTGCGCAGGACCGACTCGTGTTCGTCGCCGTCGCTATCATACTCGGGGCTCGACTCTCGCGACTTGGCGCCCAAGACGTGGCGGGACGGCGGGAATGCGCCGAGGAAGTCATCACTCCGGCGCCAGAAGCCGCTGTCGCGGCTCCCGTTTCCGAGGCGGCGCCAGGCCGGAGGACTGTAGCCACCGACGGAGACTGAGTTTTCGGGATCCGGGCCCAGGTCGCTCTCGTTGTCTTCGGACCGGAACCCCGAGTGGTGCGACGGGTAGCCGAACAAGTTCCCGGCCGTGGACCTCTTGTTCGGGGGCGGGGTCGTCGGCTCGAAGTCGCCCAAAGAGGCGTCTAAATGATCCAAAGGATCGAACGTCATCGCCGGCGGCTTCGTAGCCATCATCATAGTGCTGGTTGTGGTAGTGTTGAGAGGAGTGGCGGTTGCTGCGACGGACGAGGGCGCCGCTTGCTTCGATGGGTGGTGCGGGCAGAGCCTTGTAAGTGGGCGGTGGTGGCAGAGGAGGCGGCTCGACCGCGGCCTCTGCGGACGAGGTTTTGGCGCTGCGACTTGTGCGCTTGAAGTAGCTGACGTTAGGGACCAGTGTCGGCTTCCACGAGACCTGGACGATGTATAGGTAGACGAAGACGAAGGATAAGGTTAAGGTTGCGACGTATGTGCTTGGAGCGATGGTGATGCTCAGCAGGGAAACGTTGTTGTTGACGGTGACCAACGACGGCATGGAAAACATGAGTAGGGGTCAGAGATTCAGGTACGCACCCCTTCACCGCGGTCGTCTCGGCACTGCGACAGAGACGGGCTTCCTTCTGCAGGCCGGCGGCTGGGGGGGGAAAGGTAGAGAGGTACCTTGTTGGTTCACGTAAGATGGCGTATGTAGTTGCGCAGCGCAGGGTGGGCGGCGGGGAAGGGAGACGTGAAATGAAGGGGTTGTTTGTAACTAGAGTACGGATAGAATGATCTTGGTTTGATGTAACCGGTCAGGGAGAGCGTAAGTCCAGCCCAATCTGATCTGAATCTGGCTTGACTTGATCGGGAACGAATTGCGCGCGAGCGATAAGGGTGGGATAGGTAGTTTGAGGAAAGGTTGGATTTGAGTATGGATCTAAGATATGACAAGGTGACAAACCGGCAGCCCTGACAGGATCGCTCTCTCGCTCACTCTCTCCAGAGTCACAAGACGGGAGAAGTGGGTAGAAGGAAAGGCAAATGCCCTGATTTGAGAGCGAGTGGCCGCAGGAAACGTGGGAAAGACGAGGAAAAGCGGGAAAAAGATGCAATAGGCGGGCAGCAGCAACCCGATGCCTGGGGGGGGCTGCTTCTGCCCGTCGTCTTTTCTAATGCAGCACCCGCTGAATGCCCATGCTCTCCCGTCCTGTACGAGCGAGTCGAAATCGAGAGGTTGGGGAGCTCCTGTACCCACTTGCCGGGTTCGAGGTCGTCGGCCAATCATGGCCCGCCTCTGTCAAGGGAGCGGCCGGATTTCAGGCCCTGGATTGGGTGGGGAGGGGCTGGAGCGGAGCCTTCACACCGAACAATTGAGGAGACTCAAGTTCAAGCACCGAGGACTTATACTACTCTGTGCAGTTCCTGTATAGTACATGGTACCAACAGGTCGCGAGTACGTACCTCAACCAGCTGGCGACCTCCCTCTCCCTCGTCTCTTTCACAACGCTTCCGACATACCTAGCTGTCTTCTCGTCCTTTGAATGGGGGCACGGATTGATGAGCAACAGGGGGACACGTCTCGATGCTACTCCCCCGTCTTGCCCCATCCCGCCCGTCTCTCATTCAACCACACCCCCCCTTGCGTCTGTGCGCGAGAAGCTCCCGCGTCCTTCGTGTTTTAGGAAACAGGCGTGTCTCCCCCTCGGACGTTTAAGTGGTTGCAGCTCGGTCACGGGAACAGATGTCAGGACCAGAAGGGAAGGCGGGGTCCTCCTCTCCTCCTCTCAGCTCCCTCTCCCACCTTTTCGATGTAAACAAACAAACAACCCCATCAGCCAACCGTGAACTTGCGCGCCGTCAAAATCGCCCACCACTATGCAAGCTCGGGAGCATCCGATTCGACGACGACGACACGCGCTGGGAGACGTTCGTGAGGCGAGACAGCTTAGGATGCCTACCTGACAAGATACAAGCAAGACACAACCCCTACCCAGTGGCACCTCGCCAACACGGTAGGTAGCTGCTGGCATTGTTGTCCCATGTCTATCGGACAAACCTCAAACACTCGACCCTCGAAAAAGCACCCGCGAACCCATCCCGCCTATCCATATGAGGACTTGAACACCCCACCCCCTTGACTTGCTCCCTCGGTCTGGTTCGCCAGATTCACAGCCATCTCCTCTTCCCAGTCCCTCTCGAAGGAGACCCAAAAAAAAAAGCAACTGAGCTGGCCCCAATCAGCCCACATTCATTATCTTATCACCCCGCACCGCGTCCCACTCACCGGGGCCCTGCCGCCAAATCAGCTTTTACCGCCGTCACCGACAGGACTCCCTGCGGACGACGAACCCGTCCCCATCCCCATCTCCATCTCCTAAAGTGATTCGATCATGACCAAGGCAAGCGTCTGCCTGTCCTCGCCTGACGAACTCAATCTTCTTCTTACTTGCTGCTAGTGATGCAAGCCATCAGCGCACGCATAAGTACGTCAACTGATTTCCCAGGAATTGCCATCGTTGTAGCTCACCGAGATCTTCGCCTCTGGTCGACTCCTCGCTTGACTCACCACCAAACAGTTGACTCGAGAGAATGAAGCAAAGATGCCAAACAGCCTGTTACTGTAAATTTCTGCTATGCCGCTTTTGTAGTAATGTAGCCCGTCAAATTCCTACAAGAAAACCCGACAAGTCGTTCGTTGCATGTACCGATGCCGAATGAATCACGCTTGCTTTCTGGGATCCATTCCAAAACAGAACACCTTCCATGGAACGCCCTGGAAAGCCCTGGAACGCATTCAAGCTTCCGCTCTGGGCCTTCCACCTGGGCTGAAAGGCTCATATAAAAAAACATACGGAAAGAATGCCCTGCCCTCAGTTACAGGCTTCTTCTCCGTTCCTCCCGCTCCATCCGTCCCAGCTCCCGCTCCCGCTCCTCGACCAACAGTGCTCTTCTCGTACTGAAACGGTCCCAGAGCCCTGGCAGCCTACGCCTCGGCGCGGGATCCTTCTAGTCAATCTTCGCGTTGGCGAGACTCTTAGCTCCAGGGCTGTTCAAGTCGTTGACCTGCTTGATGGCGCCCCTTTTGTACTTGCTCTTGTTACGGAGCCGCTTCCGAGCCACCATGACAGGCACCGAACTCTTGGTTACGAGGTAATTCGAGAATGACCCGAGAATGACACTGTGAAGCCGTCAGCAAAGTCGCCGCATATCAATGAGAATGTCCAGTACTCACCCTTTGAGAGCACTGCGGCCACGGCTGCCCAGGATTACCAGCGTCGGGCTGACGAGGTCAATGACCTCCGTGATCAGGTGCTTCGGATTCTTGCAGTGGATGACCTCTACAATCACCCGCACCTGCAGACGCGTCCGTCGCAACAAGCGCTCTACACGCTCTTGAATGTCGTACACTGCGCGACGGCGCTCCTCCTCGGCTCGGCCGCGCTCCCTGCTCGACGGTGCTGGTGACGACGAATCACTGGCGTTCAAGGCCGAGGCCCGCGGGAGATGAGGGTAAGACGGGCCACTTGTCATGCCTGGCGGTGCCGCCTTGTTGCTCGACATGGCATTGATGGCCTCAGCTTGTTCCTGGTGGGCTGCGCGCTCATCAGGAACCATGATCCCCTCAGTCGAGTAGATGCCGGTCTCTTCGTCCACACAGTAAATGCAAATGAGAGTGTCGCCGTCTCGCAAGACTGTGCCGATGGCCCATTCCAGGGCATGCGTCGACTCCTCGCTCAGGTCCGTGGCCACCAGGTACTTTCTCAACCTGTGGTGCTCCTCCAACGCCGCCTTCTGGATCTGATCGAACTCGCCACGCATGATGATGCGGAGAGTGCGGGAGAACTCTGGGTTGTTGAGCATCTCGGTTCGGGAGAAGGCCAGTCTCTGAGCGCGCTTGATGTCGTTCAGCTCCTCCTCATCATCCGAGTTGACGGCAGAAGCCATGCCCGAGCCGGGCTCGTTGTCGAACGCCGTGGTGGGGCGTACGCCGGCCTTGGGCTTCGCCTTCTCACCGGTGGACTTGGTGAGTGTGATAGAAGGTTCGTCCAGCAATGACTTGTATTGATATTGCGGTTGCTTAGAAGTGACTGCAAGGCCTGTGGATCGGTCAGCATGTCATCTGGTTTATCGAATGGGGTTGACTTACGCTCTTCCTCAGCCGCAGCAAGTAAACTGAGTGTCTTGCGATCACTTTTGTTTAGCTCAGGTGACTTTGCGCCGCTTTCGGACGACCGCGGTGACATCTTACGTCCCCTCTGGTTCTCCTCGTCCGAGAAGCTGCGCGCATCGTCGTCGCTGCTGTCCTCGAGCTCCTCCCCGTCAGGACTAAGGTAGTCTTTCGTCAAGCGGCCGACACCGGCTTCGTCTGTGCTTGACTTCTTGCGCCCAGCCAACCCCGAAAGACCGCCCCCGAGAACGCAAGGTTCGCGTCAGACAATTTGCGGTAGGCTGTCGAGATGTCCACTACACGGCCGTCATCGAGGACAGCCGTGCCAGGAATCTGCTGGAAGCGGCCGCTGACGTTTGGCGAGCGCGAGCGCATGCTCAGGCGGCCATGAGGAGACTTAGATTTGCTGCCTTGGCCTCTGCTTGAACTTCTTCCGCCAAGGTTGATAGAGGGATTGCTAGCAATAGAGCCATGCCGGGCCCTGTCGCCGGGAAGTACGATGCCCGGGATTTCGTTGCCACGCATGACATCAGCCATGACGCTGCCCGACTTCTTCGCGCCAGGCCCCTTACCGCCTTGGGTGTTGCGCTTCGGCAATGCGTGTCCGATGTTGTTAGTAGCAATATCAGAGAATTGGTAGTCCGCAGTGGGATCCATGCGATTGGCGACGGCACGCGGGCCGAAGCTGGGCTTCTGGGAGTGAGAGTCGGAAAAGGTTCGTGGATGAGGCGCGCGGGATTCGACGGGAGAGCTAGGGCCAGCGCTGGCGGCCTGTTTGGGAGCCGATGTGTCGATATCGAGCATGCTTCGAACGGGGGGCGGAGGGCCGCTGATGTCCAGCATGCTGCGCACCGGTACCGCGTGCGTCCTGACGGGGCTATTCTTTCCAGCATCGCCGCCAACGTCCAACATGCTTCTCATGGGGGAGCGGGGCGAGGTGTACGGCGAAGGAGAGCGAGCCGAGACGGGCGAGCCTGGATTCCAGTTGGATCTGCTGGTGGTACCCTCAAGGAGGGCCAGAACATCCCTTCTTTCCTCGTCCAACATGGCCTCCATGCTCATGGGTTGATGCGACATGTTGAAAGGTGCCGATGGGTGGTCTGCGCTGTTGGCGGGGAGGGTGCCTCCGTCGGCAATGCGTGGGTGTCGCCTGTGTGATGGAAGAGCGGGAACGAATTGTTGGCGTGATGTTGTTGATGGTATCGTCTACTTGGAATAGAATAGGGCTGTATGGTTCGGGGAGGATTTGTTTTCGTTCGTAGGTGTGGTAAATCTAGCGGGGAATGATTTTGCGGTGTTGGCGTTGGCGGTGCAAGTTGTTCGGCAGAAACAGCATTGTGTAGGGGCAGTGTAGACAGGTCGGCGGCGTAGGCTTCCTAGATCATGGCTCCGGGGGAACGACCAGATCAGAAGTGCGGAAGGTGCGCTGGGGTGTGGAGGCCTAAATTAGCTTGTGAAGCACGAGTCGAGGTTGCCAAGACCGGTTGAAGGAGGAAGAACAGTAGTAGGTAGCAAAAGGCAGACGAGAGGCAGGAAGCGAAAAAGGTGCGGTAGGTGAGAAACAACAAGGAGTCGGACGAAGGCAGCGCAAACATACGATTGGTAGCGGTGTTGGTGGATGGAGAAAGAGTAAGGTATCCTAGTCCAAGTCCAGCCCAATGTCCCGACTTGTTAGGTTCTTCCCCCAGTCGGTCGTGGTGGTGGTGGTGGCAGTGGCAGCGCAAGCGCAGGCTGGGAAGGGCAAGAAAGGTGGGGATTGGCGGGTGGGAGACTGGACGGTGGAGGGTGCAAGCTGTCCAAGGGTGGAGAGAGGAGGAGAAGGAGGAGGAGGGGAGGGATCGGGGAGGGGTAGGTGCACCGTTTTTAGCGTCGACGTCTTGGACTTTGGGAGTTGGCGGCGCCCTCTTTTGCCTCTTTGTCACCTCCAAAGTGACCTTTGATATGCGGTGCAGGAGGCATGGCAAGCGGCAGACTGCGCCGGGGGAATACCTAGACCTGGAGTCGCTTGCAGTCCAGATCTTCGCTGTCTCTCCGCCTTCTGCTCTGCATCAGGCGACCTGCGTGGACTTGCGTGGCCTTGTGCAGAGACCCTCGCGGGGACTGAACGAAAACACAAACTGGAGGGCAGATCGCAAGAGATTTGCCAATGGAATGGATCCATTAATACCTTATCCGTCTCCAGTTCCAGCCCAGCGACTAGCCCAGCCCCATTTGGGCCCTTTCCAGTGGACTCTTTCCTCCTCTGTTTCCCCCCCAGAAGAAGATGAAGATGGTCATCCATTCAACGCTGCAGCTCAGACATTGAACCGCTTCTCACTTGTTCAGCGTCCCCATTAGCCGTATGAGTGCTTCGTCATCGCCAGTCTTGGTACGGATGGTACCTGCCCACTCTGGAAGCCCGGCGAGGTACACCTCCTCAGTCCCAACTCCTCGCACTTGTCGAGGAGAGTTTGCATGTAAGTTTGTGCTTGTGCTTGTGTGAAAACCCCGTTCGCCATCATTTGCGCATTGTGCCTTGCGGGCCGACTGTTCCTTCAAGCCGGGCTGCCTCCGGGGAAACTCAATCCTGACATGGGATGCACCCTCGCCCCAAGTCTGGCTTCTGTCTGTTGATGGATGCACGAAAATGAGACGCAACCCGTCCAAAGTGGACGACAACGCTCTGTGCCTGTTGGGACTTCCCACGCACCCATGGTTGACCGCCTGGCCACTCGGCTGTCGAGCTGCTTGTGTACGTACCCGACCCCAGCGACCTCTGTGCTTAAAACAAAACAAAAGAAATAAAAACAACGGGGAAACAGCTGATGGGATTCGGGGACCACTTACAAGATTGCCTTGATATTCGAACGAGATCGCCAGGACTGGTTTCAGAGCACTTTGGTGTGAAGTAAGATGGCTGAGAAGGGATGGTCAGGAAGATTCTGAGGCCGATCAAAGGAGAATAAAAGGGCTGCTAGGGAAAGAACAAAATATTGGACGATTTCATAATCTGACGGCGCTGTACACGTGGTTTCGTGTAGCGGTAATCCTCGAACCATCCCAGGTCGAGAAAAAAAAAACTGCGATGTAAGTCAGTGACGCATTCCCTGCTTGCCCCCACTACAGTTTGTGCGTGTGTGCGTTTTTCTCTCCCGCCCCTGTTCGGTTTTCTGCACATGAGTTCTGCGATCTTTTTTTTTCCCCTTCTCCTCACCATTACCGACGTTTCCTGTCCTTCCCGGTCTTCACCGCCCGCGGCCTCCGTCATTTTCCGTCTTGTCTGCAGGTCCCCGATGTAATATACGGGAAACGTAGCAATGAGGGGGACTTTACATCGTTCACAGTCCCTCGTAGCCGAGTTTACAGCACCAGTTGCCCAGTGCGATGACGACGCGGGCGTCCATCGCCAAGAACGTCCGCCTCTTGGCGACGAGCCACCGGCAGCTCGCAGGCCGTGCTACGATGGGCGAGGCATCACTCGGGCTCACGGCCGCCGGAGAGGTAGACGGCGCACTATCGGGGCGCCAAAGGAGACGCTCCGACTCCTGTCACGCACAACCCGCCCCGACGTCACTATGGGCTGGTAGGAGTTTGTCACATGAAGCCCTTTAGGCTGGGAGTAATAGCGCCCTGTGGCAGCGGTTCGTGGCTGAGGCTGAGTCTGGTGGCCCAGCCGTTGTGTTTTAACCTCACCAAGTATGCGGGGTTCAAACGATAGACCATCATGTCGTATGACTTTGTCTTTCGAGTTACAAGAGCATATACCTTCAAGACGCCTTAATCATTCACAGGATGTCGAATCTCCGATCCCATCTGTCAGGAGGAAGCGTCTAGTTAGGAGAGGCACTACTCGTCTTTCGGGTTTCGAGGCCCGCGTTGCATCCTTCGGGGAAAACTCGTCCGTCAGACCTCTCTGGCCGTGTTGAAGTTAAGTTTCGACAGAGCAGGCGCCGCTGCGGCTCGCACACTGCCAGAGCTAATCCTCATGAGAAACACCCGTGTCCAAAGCTTCTTCGTAGACAACTGCCTTGTCACCACACTTCCCGGCTCCCCGATTTCTATTTCACAAGTGATCCCGAGAGGAACAAACAATCTCAATCATGCCATTTATAAGAACCTACCTCACAGCCCTGATATTCCGGTGGAGCAGTTTGACGGGAAAGGCTCCTCTCGAGCACTTGACATTGTTGGGATGAATATAGTACAATATACACACTTTGCTTACACTTTTTTCTTCCCCTTCAACAACAGTCCCCTACTGTCTCTACTTGCTGTTCGCCTTGACAGGCTTAACCGTCAAGTTGGCACGCGTCGCCGTGCCGAGCTTGTGCAGCGCCAACCTCTTGTCCCAGACACCCGAACGGCCCTCGACGACGGCGATAATCTCCTCGGCCATTCGGTGCGGGAACTGCGTCCGGCCACTGCCCTTGGACGGCTTCTTGTTGACCACGTCGAGAATCCACTGGAAGGCAGCCCGCCGCCTCTGGCGCACGGCCAGCGGCGCCGGCAGCTCCAGCGGGCGACCACCACCGGCTCCGCCCGCAATGCGGCGGATCTTGACCAGCGGCGCCACCGAGTCGACAGCCAGCGTGAGGTATAGCACGGGGTTTAATGGCAGGTGCGCCGGCGGCGGGGCGCCGGGAAGGAGCGGGTATCGTGGGTTGATGATCGGGGGAGGAGAGGTTCGGAGGAAGTTGAGGACCATGGCCATATTCTGCCAAGCGCACTCGTTAGCATACACTATCCCTTTCACACGTGGAACCGCAAAATTGCATATGAAGATAAACTCACTCTTTGCGCCTGGGCTTTCTTGCCGTCCCGCATCATCAGGTTGGTCAACTGGTCGAGCACGGGGTGGTACCGAGACTTCAGGTGGCTGTGCGGCGGCAGAGGGAGCTTTGGCAGGGGGAACTTGTAACTCGGGGGCTGCGGCGTCGCAACCTCCACCTCCTCTGCGTTCGCGAGCAGTCCGCCGGAGGCGAGAACCTCGAGGTCACGGAGGGGGTCGCCGTTCGACGGTGTGGGGGGAATGGCGCCTTCGTTGTAGAGTGCCTGCTCCTGAGCCTCCGTCAGGCCACCCTTGAGCCCGGCGCTCTGGCCCTTGGCAGCGGCGGCGAGCTCTTCCAGTGCTGCGGCGGCCTCGTCTGTTGTCGACTGTGCATAGACCGTCAGCTACTCTCTCTTTCTTCTCCGTCGCGACATCTTCCTGGGTGTCCATCATCGGCTATGTCTCCGTACCTGTTGTCCCGGTGCAGACTCGGGGGCGTTCTGGCTCTGAGGGAAAGCCGCATTCTCAGACGGCTTCAAAGTCGGAGGCTGACTCCGTTCGCCCTTGCGTTCGTCCGCATATCCTCGTCTCGCCGTGGCCCAGACCAAAGGTTCCTGTCGGGGGGCCAGGGGTCGCGAGCGCAGCGCGAGCGCCCGGCCGGCTGTTCGCAGGCTCGGCCGCAGAGACATGACTGCTCTGAATTCGATACGTTCCGAGGGCGTAGACCGCCAATTGAGGTGTATCGGGGCGTTATCGAGCTGTTTGGAGGTGGTGAGAAAGTCGTCTGGGGGGCCGTTTCGACGGGTTCGAATCCAAGCCAATCCGTGATCCACGAAAATTATTGAGTCGCGCGGCTGTTGCCGCTCCACACCTCCCAACTGCTGTCTGCTTACCTACACACCTTGCAGGTTGAGCTTTCCAAGCTCCCAGCGGATAAAAAGTGGCTCCGTGCGCCGACCTTGATTGTTCTCTTTTCCAGACCCCACGCCGGTCAGTCGGTCGGGCCCGTGCCGCCACCGACGACCTCCACTCCCTTACCTAAGCTCAGCCCATCATTACCACCCTCCCGCGATCCACATGGTTCACCGAGATGCAGACCTTCTTCACCAATGCCATCACACCTTTTCACAATGAACCTGGCTTGCCTTGCTTGCTCTAAGTGACCAGTCACAAGACTCTCTCTCACTCTCAGCGGCTGTAGGCTTTTGGATCCGAACCAAATATCTTGCGAAGCCCTGAGACCAACGACCCCATCCCATGCCATCCGACCCAATCCGCAGGACATCCTGTCTTAAACCCCCTCTCTCATCCCTTGACCGATGCGCACGACATACCACATCCCCCGTGTACTCTGTGTGGGTAGGTGGTGATGAGAGCAACCGCTCGCGCCAATCACTTTTCATAAGAGAAACCTGAGAGAGTCAATTTTTTGGACGGCAATCGCCCGTGTCCAAGACCAAGCTTAATCTCATCCCGCTCACATGTCGCATCACTTCCGCTTCTCACCCACAAAACCGTAACACACGCAGTCGCGACCCATGCGCTCTCTCTCTCTCTCTCTCTCTCTCTCCCACGACCCCTCGCTGCATGCTGACCGAATGGGACAGTCACATCACTAAGGATGCGTGACCAAGCCGCCGCCCATGCTGCAGAGTGTGTGCAGACTCCTGCAGACGGCATTTAGCGGCTCTTTTTTTCTTCCCTGTCGTCTTTTTCACCAGCCTCTGCTTGTTTGCTTCCGCGTCGCAACAACTTCCTATCTCTCTTGTGGGGGGGTTGTTATCCCGCGGGGGAGTTTTCGGTTCAAAGCTGTCATTCCATTGACAACGACCTAGCGCGTAGCATATGATTAAGCTCCACGTTCACAAGCTGTATGCTGTGCAGTGTTTAGAGCCTTGGGGAGCTGGTTTTGGCGTAGGATCTGCCGCCGTCCCGTTGCTAGACCGGCTCCCTAGCTCGTCTTTTTTTTTTTATCTCTCGCTTTTAGCCCATAGGGAGGAGGGCCACTGCGCGCCGACACCGTACCTATCTCCTTTCCTTCATTGGTGATAGCAGCACTAGAAAAGATGTCATCGTGGGGGGGGGGGGGGGACGGGCGAGAGAGTGTTCGCCCTGCCCATGCCAATCGACACCCCTTCTGTTCCCGGCTTCGGTTGCTGGTTTTGTTGGGGCAAGCCTGGCCACCATAAGCCACTGATGTCTTTCCCCCTCGTAAACCGCTTCAAGAGAATCAGTTTGGTCATGACAACAACGTGGAGAGACATCCATTGCACGTGGAGTGAATGCAAGTGCTGGGAAGAAGTGGGTACGATCTCACGAAAAAAGGAAGCATTCTTGGGTCCTCTCTCACCTCTGGGAGACACTGCGAAAGGCCAGCTCAATCAACTCGAATCTTTTCTAATTACCTTTCCCACTGCGCATCCCTTACCATTGTGGTTGCTTTTCCCTCGTAACGCCGCTTCCAAAGAAAGGGGAAAAACAAGAATTTTGCAAATTGCAACCAAATTACGAACAAGGGCGGTATGGCAACACTGCCAACAAAAAAAAGCCCTCATGACCGTCGACTGTCTGCCGGTCCTGTTTCGCCAAGGTTCTGTCTCGGGTCGGTTTTTCTTCTCCAGACCATGTTTCCACCACGTCTGACATTGTGAGGAACACGCACGGGAAAAGCCATGCTTGCCCACCCCTCATACTGGCCTGGTGGCAATGTCCTCATGCGCCATTCCCCTCAACCAGCTCAACTCCCAGATTGTTCCCTCCGGAGCTCCAGTTGACCGTAGGTAGAAATGTAGTTGTACGCCAATATCCGTAGTATCCCCTGTGCCGTGTGGCATTGGCCAATGTCTCCCAATCCCAACTCCAGATGTATTCGTACAAGTGAACAGTCGAATGAGGGCCAAGGAAAAACAAGGAATAAACCTAGAAAAAAGGACGTCAAGTGCGACGCTAGACGATGATGCTCGAATGGTGCTCGCTGCAAGTTGCGGGAGGGGGGGGGGGGGGGGGGGGTGTCCCCCCCGTAGGTATGCCTCCCTCTCGTTCTCACCAGCTGCCTCTGCTGTTCGCTGGCGAGCTGGGGTTGGAACCGGTGAGGTAATTGAGGGCCATTTCGGCGGCGTCTTCCTTTGCGTTGTTGAGGTTCTTGCCGTCGTACCAGAATCGTGCGGAGAGGGTGCGTCCGTGAACCGTGACTCGACTGGACCAAGCAGTGCGGCCGCCTACGAGAGAACCATTAGCTACCTGGACATATTTGGTGCGGAGATCTGGCGCCAAACTTACCACGTCGGTCAGAAACGATCTGGAAGACAGGAGGCAAGATGTTAGCCTCGCGGCAGGCGTCTATTGAGTACTTGTCAGTTTTGTCAGGATCGATGAGACGGATGCAGTGCCGCTATACCCTCAAGGCGCTCCTGCCAGGTTCCTCCTTGGCTGTTGTACGAGGAAGCAGACATAGCGGCGCTCGTCGAGTAGGACTTGTTGGAGTACATGCAGTGCAATGTTATGCTCGAAGCAACAAAGGAAGTCTGTAGAATTCGGGCGGTGATCGGGTGAAATTCCGTGCCAGGAAGGTGTCGTTGATGTTGTTTGTTGGGGTCGGTTGAGGTCGTGGATATGTCTAGACAATCTACAGCGGCAATTGGTAGTTCTTATACTCGGATCAGGTCGGCCGTGAAACGAATGGGGATATTCCCATTGGAGTAGAAAGATTGTGATGTGGCAGGACAAGATTAGTTCGGTGCTGTTCTGAAGGCAATGGGTTTGTTTGCACAACAAATGTAAAGACGGGTAAGGAATCAGTTGGGCTGGTACCCTACGGCATGCTGCATTTTGGGATGGGTAGAGGTGGGAGGTGAGAAAAAGAAGGGGAAGATGGGAGAAAAGGGACCTGATCCAAAGAAGTAACGACACAACATCACGTCCCAGTTCCGTTTGGGTTTAGAACGACAGGACCGCGTCGATTTCCTGTGTTCTTTCTTTTTCTCCATGCCCTGGTACTTGTCTCTGATGAGTGGCCGCCGCGGCGGCGGCGGCGGCGAGGAGAAGAGGGGTGTGCCACTTGGGTGTGAGTGCTTTTGCTTCGTCTGATGCCAGACCACAGACCAGACCGGCGGACGTGGGGAGTGTGGTAGTAGCGGCAGAACGTCGTGATAAACTCGGTTCCTTAGTGTCATATTTTTGGTCGGTTTTTTTTTTTTCTCTTTATTTCTCAATTATTCTTTCTCTCTGCTGTCTTCTCTTTTTCCCCCCCTCTTGCACACCCCTGGGCACATGCTGGTCGTGGAACCCCCGCGTGGTCTACCGGTACATGGGGGTCGACAATCATGGATTGATGAACAGGAAGCTAGAAAATATGGACTTGCGGGACTTGAGACAAGATGTTGGTAAGGTGAGGGAATACACGCTACTTCTGAAGGGAGACCAGGAATTGGACGCTCTGAGCGAACAGCTGATTGGGACATGGCTTACCAGGCTCCCTTACCCGGCGGCCGGAGGGACCAAAACTAAACAGAGCTGGCGTGGAGTGCCGACCCGTCTGGGTGGAAGAGGGAAATGATTGGGAGCTACAAGCCGCAGAGACAAGGGCTCGTACACGGCTTGACGGGGGGAAGGGGTGGAAGAACAGGAGAGGAGACGAATGGAGGGCCACGGTGACAACGATGGCAAGCAAAGTACAAACGGTGGGAAAAGGCAGGGTGCGAGCTGACCAGGGGTAAGACTGGAATCTCCAGCCGAGAGAGGGAGAGGAAACGAAGGTTACGGAAAGCGGATGCACACAGCCTGGATGTATCCGTGAAAAAAGTGAAATATGTATCCTGCCATGTACCAAGATACGTGGCTGACGTGCTACATGGTACTTGTAGAGCTTTCGTCGACATGTTCTCATCCTCGGGCGTAAAGCGAACAATGGATCGGCGAATCAAGACGAACGGACAAGCTGTACAGATAGCGGGAAAGGGATTGAGGGTAGGAATAGCAGCGAGGCTGGAGGGCTTGAGAGGAAGGGCTGCGATGGCCCCGTACCCACGCAGTCAACGCTTCAGCCGACTCGAGCTAATTGCTTCCAGGGCTAGGGCCGGACTGACTGGCACTTGTTGATCGGTACATGAGCAGTAACGCGAGGTAAAAGGCAAGGGTTTCGACAAGAATAGCACTGACATCAGATAACAAGCCGACGATTGGGCAATCAGGCCAAGGCAAAGCAAGAGACCAGTAGAACCTGGGTTATGCGCAGAGCACTGGGCACTGGCACCGGGCAGCTCTCGGAACTCTGGGCTAACAACGCCAGGGCCCTCTCTGGCGGCTTCAACTCCGCCAGCCGGTGAAGCGAAACGGACCGGGGTGGTAATGCTAAGCAGGCCGGGTGGTTGGGCAGGGGAATGGCGTTGCCTCCATACATTGCGATGAAAGGAAACTCGGTCAAGAAGGTTTGGGCCTCATCGAGACCATCCTCACCAACACGGACTGACGTTGAAGCATGTCACTGCAAAGCAGGGGAGACAAAAAGGCCGTCGAGCCACGTCGATTTCGATGCGTGATGCGCGATGCGGCAGGGAAAGGGCGGGGAGAGGCGAGTGTTGTATGTACCACGATACTGATGTAGTTAGTGGAGGGGGGAAAGGGGGTGGGATCGGGCAGCACTCGCTCCTCATCGTCATTTTGGGGTGGGGTGGGAATGAAGATCAGGGCAGGGCGAAGCAGGGCATCTTAGTACCTAGGGCGGGCCAGACCACATATGATGATGATGATGATGATGATGATGATGATGATGCTGCTGCTGCCGATGCTGATGCCGGTGAGGCAATTGTGAATTGTGAAAAAAACGGATTGGTCTGGGGTGGAGGAACCGCACCGTGTAGTCTCCGGAGGAGGACGAACATGTGGTTGTGCACGCGGAGCAGCTGCGTTATGCTTGCAATGTGCTTGTGCTGTTTGTCCAGCTTCGTGCACCTATGCCGCATAGGAACACAACCAGTGCCATGACAGCTTGTGTGCCCCAGAGCAAGCAAGGTACGTGCGGCTGCTTTTGCTGGTCTCAATGACCGTCGCTGGTTCTGGTTTAGGCCAGGTCCAGGGAGTTTGCCGGTGGTCGTGGCCGCAGTTGGAAGACGGGCGCCTGGGCGGGATCGTCTAGAGTGACAGGCGGCCGGCGGGTTTGGGTGAATGCAGCTCGGATGCAGGTAAAGCAACACGTACCGCAGCAGCAGGTCGTGTAGGTAGAGTAGGCGAGGAAGCGGGCAGCCCGCAGCTGGAAGAGCATTCAAAGTAGCCGGTCACTCGTAGAAGGGCGAAGGGGTACGGGCGGATACCAGTCGCAGTGGCGGTCCAAGTTGGTCTATGGAAAGGCATTGGTGGCCTTGGTGTCATCGGGGAACGAGAGGAGCCCCAGCCGGAGGGGTCCCTAGCTCCTTAGCCTGCGAGTCTAAGGAACCGTCATGCTTCCCCGAAACGAAGGGAGCAGGAAGAGGGGTGGGATGGAACCGGGAAACCGGGGAACAGGGCGGCGTTGGTGGTTGGGGGGAAACCAGGGACGTTCTCTCGTCATGCTCGGCCGTCGACGGGGTATGATGGAAGACGAGAAAATATGCTTGAGTACAAGAGACACAACCAGACAGAGAGAGAGTGGGAGAGAGAGAGAGAGAGAGAAGTTTGGCTGTGGTCGAGCGTAGAGGTCCAGGTGGAGAGTGGACAATTGCGAATGAGAGGTACGAATACACATCATCCTAGTCCTTTTTTTTTTTTTTTTTTTAGCTTACCTTCTCCATCCTAGTCCTTTCAGCAGGTACCTGCTCTCCACCCGGGCTGGTACGGTGACTTGGAGGCAGAATGACAGACCATCACTAAGGGTAAGAACGGATACTACGCAACGGCCTAGTCGGCTAGCATCATGATTAGCATCTGTACATGACAATGCGAAGCTTTGCCGGCGGTTTGATTGTCGCGTCTTAATGTCGAGTCTACATTGTCTGACGGTGCCCGTCCAGTATCCGAAGACCTCTTCTGCTCTCACCGTCTTTTGCTGTCTGTTAAACTTTCTTTTGTTCAGACGGCAGTGAGAAGGGATCAAATGCTAAACTACTTTGGAGCGGCTCAGGTGACCCCGGAAACCACTCCCTGTTTTGCCAACACAGTAATGCACAGCCCATGCTGTGTAAGGCAGCTTATAAACCATTTGGACACGATGAGGATGTCATGACAGAAGACGGACAGGGCACGCGGTGCTCTGGGCGCCCGTCAGTATTTGGAAACGACCGGGCGGGTTGTGGGAAGTCAGGAACAGAGAGACAGGGTAGATTGCATCGGGTTTGCAGTACCTAGCAGTGCGCTCCCGGGACGACCATTAAAAGACAAGGGAAGAGGGAAAAAGAAGAGAAGAAAAGAAAGGAGTGAGGAGCCAAGCAAAGCCCATCGCCATTCCGTGTTGCAACGCTTCCTTCCCGGGATTCAGGAGGTGCCCCAGTGACACCGGAAGACACGAGTGAACGGAGCTTGGACAAGGGGCAGGGTCCAGGGTCAGGGTTCCTCAGGCAAAAGTTTCTGCCCCTGTCCTGGTAGCAAGGCCTTGACCTCGAACTCAAAATCGTCAAGAGAAATCCGTCTCTTTTGATACACTACAGAGCACCTCGGCGTCGTCACCGCCTTCCACACCTAAATGCGACCTCACATCCACCATCCTTTCCATCCGGGAGACTTCGTCCACGAAACCTCCCTCTGTTTGCACCGCGTACGAGGCATTCACTTTCCTCTGCAAATGCTAGAAAACGGGTTCGCGACGAGCCGCCATTCCGTGGCCAGCAAAATATTTCAACCTGACCAGATCGGTGCTGGCCCAATGTTTGCTCGCGGATCGGCGTTTGCCCTTGGCGGGCCCTGACTAGGAACACTAACAGGGGCACCGGAACTCTAGAGAGTGCAGACGGACTGCAGGATGTGCGAGCGAGGCCAGGGTCCCATCTGGCTGAGAGGTGTTCTTGACCAACCCGTCGGGACCAGTTCCAACGTCCCCCGGACCTACCGCAGCCCTTCTGCCTCGTTTTTCGCCCGCCGCCGACCCCGTGGCCCGTGGCCCCGTCCCTCTACTTCTTTTCTCAACATGGACGCTCTGACGTGCGCCCATCGACCCATCTAAGACTGAAAGTCGCTCCAGTGTTGACGCATGGACGCTGCGTGGCTGTCGGGAATTGGGGGATGTCCATCCGTGTAAGTCCATTGGAGATCGACGATTCGTACCTAACCATGATAACACCCACGAATCTCAGCTCTGCCACTCGGGCCCTTGTCGAAGCTACCTCGCGGCAAGTTTCCGAGTGGCGCTGCATTCGTATTAGCGTCATGGGGTCCCTCCCATCGTGGAACGCTGATGAGCGGTCAGTAGCAGTTTGGCAATCCCAGTCATCAAGCATTTGCCCTTCTTTGCGCTTGATCCCGCCAGCTTGGTTTGTTTGCCGTAATTCGCAAAGGGACATAACACCGTTCCCTTGCTCGTCAA